TCCAATTTTTTTTTTCCATTTTTTGAATATACTAACAATAATATATAAAAAATACATACATTTTGATAATAAAATCATATACATTCTATTTATCAATCCAATCAAAAAAAATAGTTTGGTTTTAGTCTGTCATCCACTTGTCACTATGAGAATTCTTATTACTAATGATGACGGTCCCTTAAATGATGAATGTTCTCCATATATTAGACCATTTATTCAGCATATTAAAAGAGCTCATCCACATTGGAAAATTACAGTTTGTGTACCACATATTCAAAGATCTTGGAATGGTAAAGCTCATTTAGCTGGTAAAGACTTATGTGCAACTTTTATTTATTCAGATATTGATAAAAATGATAATTCTTTTTGGGGCCCATTTAATAAACCACAAAAATTACAATCAATTGATTCAAAATTACCGTATATTATTAATCCAGAAATTCCATCAGATGCAATCGAATGGATCTTAATTGATGGAACTCCCGCATCTTGTGCAAATATCGCTTTACATTTATTAAAAGATACTAAATTTGATTTAGTCATATCAGGTCCAAATGTTGGTAGAAATTCTTCAGCTGCATACATTACTTCAAGTGCTACAGTAGGTGCAGCAATGGAATCTGTTATTACAGGTGATACAAAAGCAATTGCGGTATCATGGGCATATTATGAAAATAGAAAAATTGTACCATCAAAATTAATGAAAATGGCGTCAATGAGAACAACTCAAATTATTTCACATCTTTGGGAAAATTGGGATAATCAAACTGATATTTATAGTATTAATATTCCTTTAGTTGATGAACTTTCAAATTTAACAAAAATTTTCTATGCACCAATTTGGGAAAATAGATGGTCTGCAATTTTTAATGGTCCACATATTAGAGAACCAATCAAAGGAAATTTAATTGAAGATGGTAAAGATACTGATCAAATTTCTTTCAATTGGTCACCCGATTTTAAAAATCATAAAAATTCTTCACATTATGATGGGTTATTAAAAGATGAACTTATTGCTCCAGGAACTGATATGGATATTATTGAAAAAAGATTCATTAGTGTAACACCATTAAGAGCTACTTTTAGATCTATGGAACATTTAAATGGTGAATTGATTTTAAAATCAAATAATAATAATAATAATAATAATAACACTGTTGTTGAAGATGATAATGAATTAAATGAATTTGTTGCAGCATTGACAATTTCAAAGGATGAATATATTTATGAACCAATTAAAAACGCTTTTAAGAAATATCTTCCACAGTATTCAATTCAATCAAGATTAGCAGATTTATCATCGGTAAAGAAATTAATTCAATATGGTGATTATGAACAATTAGATGTTGATAATTTAATGTTAGAAAATACAAAATATTTTGCTAATTCCTTTATTTATAGAAAGGCTTTAATTAGAAAACATTATTTGGCTCATACTATTCATAGTTATATTGTTAAGAATCCTCAATCTATTTTAAATAAAGCTGTATTAGAATCTCATACTTTAGATTTGGATTATGCTGAATTTTTAGATGATTCATTAGATGAAAATTGGGAATTAAGACAAGAATTAGAATCAGAGAGGAAATGGTGGATTGTTAAACCAAGTATGAGTGATAAAGGTCAAGGTATTAGAGTATTTAGAACCATTGATGATTTACAAAGGATATTTGATTCTTTTGATGATGAAGATGATGACAATGAAGCAGAATTCATGGATGATAATAAGATTATTATCTCACAATTACGTCATTTTATTGTTCAAGAATACCTAACAAACCCACTATTATTACCATCAATGGATAATAAAAAATTTCACATCCGTTGTTATATTACTTGTAAAGGAGATTTAGAAGTATTTGTTTATAATAGAATGCTTGCATTATTTGCTCCAATAAAATATAATGATGTTACTAAAAAGACAGATTTTGATCCAACTGATTTAAAGACATTACAAAGTCATTTGACTAATACATGTTTGCAATCAAAGAACGAAACTAAAGAATTATCTGTTATGGAATTTGATAATTTAATTGATATTTCAAATGATAATAAATCTAAAATAATAAAACAAATTCATGAAATTACTCACGATGTTTTCCTTGCTGCAGTTACTGTCAATAGAATGAATTTTCAACCATTACCTAATGCATTTGAAACATATGGTGTTGATTTCTTAGTTGATTCAAATTATGAAGTTAAATTACTTGAAATTAATGCATACCCAGATTTCAAACAAACAGGTGATGAATTAAAATCACTAATCGATGAACTTTTCTTAAATGTTACTAAGAGTGTCATACGTCCATTATTAGACTCAACACAATCCGAAGATTGTGATTCGGAAACATTCACAAAGGTACTAGATCATAAATCTAATGAATGGAATTAAAAAAAATAATGTAACATGAAAAAGAATTTTCTTTTAAAGATCAATAATAACAACAACACTGTCATTTTAATACATATATAAACCACACTCTCTATATATACATACAAATCAATATAATTACATTCCCTTATCTCTCTATTTCTGTTATTCGTAAAATAGTAACAATAATATTATTGAAAAGGGAAAAAAAAGCATTAAAAAAAAGTTTCTTGTATTTGGAGACTCACTGAATAACTTACTCATGATCCCCAGCAGTCTCATCTCCTTCCTCTTCTTCATTTTTACCTACGGATCTATTAGTTGTCGCACTGATAAGTCCTCTTTTCACGACACGAAGAGCGTTTGGAACAGTTACACCATCTTCCTGAACTCCTGAATATTCTTTGCTCCAGGCCATAATCCTTCCTCGTATCCTACTAGCATTATCCATATAGTTTCTTATTGTCTTTAAATTCCTTATAAATTCTTGATTTCTCTGTAAAGCTATCTGTGCCATTTGTCTTGTCGTTTCCATTTGTTCAATGACTTCAGATGATTCAAGATCCTTTAAAAGTATATCAAGACCATCAATATCTTTAACTCCAGGTAATGCAAAAAATGGGTCATTATCAGTATCGATTTCTCCATTACCATTATCACCATCTTGTTCATCATGATTATCAATATCTTCCGCTGTCTTATCATTTTGTTCATTATCTATGGTATTATCGGTAGTATCCGCATCTGGAATTGCTCCTGAAGTAATTGGTGGAGTGGTACTTCTCGATCCCTGATTATTATCACTATCCTCTTCTTCATCTGGCAATGTCAAATTATGATTATATTTTTTCAATTTCAAATTCTTTTCATATAATGGTTCAGAATAATCACCAAGAAATACTTCTAATATTCTATTATATCTTATTATAGAATTTTGTTCTTTCTCAATCATAAGAACAGTTTGTTGAGATAAATTTTGTAATATAGAATTATTAAAAGTTCTCGCTACAGTAGGTCTATTAGAAATATCACTCAATGATGCAATTGGAGTCAGAATTTCTCTCACGTTAACTAAATCATTCAAATCAATTTCTTCAATTTCGTCCTCATCTTCACCAGCTAAACCTTTCTTTTTTGATTTTTCTTCAGGGAAAAATTTCATTCGTTTATGCATTCGTTGCAGTAATTTATGTTCAGATCCATTATAATATACAACATCTTCTTCAACAGAATGTGGATTCAAATTACCTCTAGTGACCACTTCACTGCCTTGTAATAATTTGTTACCTCTATTAGAAACAACTCCAGATGCATCCGGATATACCAGTCTACCATCTCTGGATCGTTTCAACGGTCTATAGTTACCACTACGCTCTTTGATGATTCGTTGTGCAAACCTCCGTATGTAAGCTTGTTCCTCTGAAGGAGACAGTTCAGTTACATTATCTGTAGTCATTGTTAAAGATTTCTTAGCTCTTTAAAAATATGTCAAAAAAAATACCTCTCAGGAATAAAAATGATGTATGTATGAATGTAGATATATCAAACAAATGTAATTACAGTATACCTTGATAAACCAAAAAGAAAAACACCTGAAAAAAAACTCTTTCCTGTTACTAGTTAACCGTTCTTTAAAGGAAATTATTCAACTGAAAACTCTCTAAACATTTTCAATTTTTCCTTCTTTGTTATTTTTTCTGGCCCTGTTGATATACTATCTGCTGATTGTTTCGCAGTGGAAAAAAAATTGGTAAAATAACTGAATAAATAAAGGGAGAGAATCTCTATTTCTACTATAAACCTACCAACAACGAGAGAGAAAGAGAGAGAGGGAGAGAGAAGGGGACAACTATATATGAGTAAGCAACAAGGTAGACTTGCGTTTGATGTTAAACTAAATATCAATTACAACTAAACACACTCATATATATTCCTAGGTTGAGAATTGCTGATTTCAAAGGTTCTAGCTATGTTTTAGTTTCTTATATAAACTCTTTTAACCATTCCACACTCTCAGTATTTACTCTTGTGATAAGTGATGTTGTTAGCCACTATATAAATGTAACGATATAATTATTCAAGTAAAAAATGTCTTATATACTTGATGGTACACCCTTTGGCTTTATATTAAAAGCGATTGGTCGACCTTTAATCAAAATAACGACAAATCGCTTAGCCCGACAATATAATGATTCATTTCGTTTTTTCACTTCAAAATTTGTAAAAACTTTAAATATTTGTCGAGGTATTCTCTCCCTCTTGAAGAACTAGTTACTGCTCTTTCAGGAATAGACTAGCATATTTGAGTTGTTATTCAATTGGAGAACTCTTTCAATTGATATTTTTTCGTTTTATACCATCAATTGGAAACTCGACGAATAATAATAAAAAACAAGACCACTCATATACCCTCGCCCTATTTAATTACACTATGCGTCTCACTTGTACGATATTGAAATGGTTCCTAGGTTTTTACTTGGTTAGTTCCTATAAGAGTGTTCCAGGTGCATATTTTGTAAGATTCTATGCTGCTATCTTCCCTTTATTATTGGGACCTTTAATTACAGGTAAAAAGAATACTGAAAATATTAAGAAATTACAAAAGAATGAGATGTCTGCTTTAGGTTATGTCAAATACAAGACGTATGCCTCTCCAATGGAATGTGATTTCTATTTACATAAGAATAATGCTACTTATTTCACAGAGTTAGATATCTCTAGAGGTGAATTAATGACAAAATTATTACAAAAAATATTCTTAGATTCTCCTAAGTATCCATATATCCCTGTGGCTAATGTATTTACAAATTTCTTAAAAGAGATCAAACCATTTGAATCATATACTGTATCATCCAATATCTTATGTTGGGATGAAAAATGGATCTATGTTGCAAGCAGATTCATGAAGAAGAATGATACTATATTATGTTCATTTTCTTTAACTAAATACGTAGTGAAGGATGGAAGGAAAACTATACCTCCAAAGGATGTATTTGAATTTTGTGGTATTTATAATGAAAAAGTTGAAAAGATTGCAAAGGAGAATTACAAGATTTTGTCAGAAAATTCAGGTTTCCATGATACAACTTTATTGGAACAAATAAAATATGATTATCTACCACTATAGAAGAATCTAACGGCTACAACTTGTACTGACATTAAAGTTTCCTTTGCAAAAACACATTTTACCTTTACTATGAGTTTATAAATTAATTATACAAATACATATACGTATATATACATCTTTATTTATTTTGCTATATATATCTTTCTCCTTCTGCTTTATTGAGTACGGTTTTGTTCATTTTAGCTTATACCGACTTTAAAATATAAATTACGTACACACGATGAACAAGAGGACTCCGCAAAGTAGGATATACAAACAAACATGCAACGAAGTAAGAATATTTTCATGTATTACATACATTACATACATTGAGACACTACGCAACATTATTTACCTCCTTACAAATTTAGAATTTAACAAGAGCCGATTATTCACCTCATATATTTGCTAACGAAGAACTGAACATGGGTGTACAACTATCAATTTTGGCTCAGTCGTCACCATCCATCGGTATTTTCTCTTACATAGATGTCCTTGAAGATGTCCACTATATTGCATTACTTAATTCTTCTCGATTTTTGAAGACTTGTAAAGCTGTTGATCCCAATGGTGAAATTATTATCAAAGTATTTGTCAAACCAAGGGAAGGCTATTCTTTGACATCAACTGTAGAGACCCTAAATAAAGAATCGATGTTATTGAGTCAATTACCAAATGTTTTAAATTATAGTAAGATAATAGAATCAAATAGAGCAGGTTACCTTATACGACAACATTTAAGAAGGAACCTATATGATAGACTAAGTTCAAGACCTTATCTTCATGAGATAGAATCCAAATTTATCGCGTTCCAGTTATTGCAAGCTTTAAATGACATTCATAACCTTGATATAGTTCATACTGATATTAAAACTGAGAATATTATGGTCAACAGTTGGAACTGGATCGCATTGACCGATTTTGCAGCTCATGTGAAACCAATATATTTGCCAGAAGATAACCCTGGGGAATTCTCATTTTATTTTGATACTTCCAAAAGAAGAAATTGTTATATCGCTCCAGAAAGATTTAATACTCAACTATACAACGACTCAGAGAAAAGATATGAACCTTCTAAAGAAATGGATATTTTCAGTGCTGGTTGTTGCATAGCAGAATTGTTCTCTGAAGGGATACCTATTTTCAACTTATCACAATTATTTAAATATAAGACTCAAGAATATGACGTAAACGAATATTTAAATGAACATTTTTCTGAAAATAAAGAATTAAAGGAATTGATAATGGATATGATTCAATTAGACCCAACTAGAAGGTTATCTACATTGCAGTTACTAGAGAAGTATAGAGGGACATTTTTTCCAGATTATTTTTATACATTTACATATGACTACTTTAGAACATTAGCATCATTGGTAACAAGTATCCCAAACACAGGAAGTTTAACAGAGAAATGTCTTTTGGAGGACAAACAAAACGTGTGCAATAATTCATTATTAAAGGTTTATGATGATTTCAGTTCAATATGTGCGTCACTAAATTTTCCAATAATTACAGATAAACCTAAACAGGCAAAAGATAAACTTCAGCCTAATGTTTTTTCCTCAGAGCATATAAAGATAGGACATAACACATTTGTCCAATTGAAAAGTTTCACCAGTTACAAAAGTATACAACCGGTAGAAGAAGAATGTGCATTACTCTTTATTTCTTACCTTTCGCGAATACTTCGAAATCTAACGTCTAGTAGCAACAAGATTAAGTGTTTGGAACTGCTGGCAGCATTTTCTCAATTTATATCTGATGACAACAAGATTGATCGTGTAATTCCGTATTATGAAACGTGCTTTGAAGATGAAAACAATTCAATGATTCAGGCTTTAAGCCTCCAATGCACTACACAGGTTCTTTCTGCAGTTGAACAGGTCAACAAATTGAATGAGAATGTCTTTATGGATTATCTTCTTCCAAGAATTAAACGTCTGTTGAACAGAAGTAAAGAACATCTTTATGTTAGAATGGTACTTGCAAATCTAGTTGGTAATTTCGTTAGTTTGGTATCCAAATTTAGGGAGATATCGTTAATGTCAAGGCTAAACTCTAATGAACAAGATAATGATGAAAGTATTTTAACAAACAACAAATATAATGGGAGACTAATGCAACAGATGGAAGAGATCATAATATCATTACTTACCGATTCAAGCGTATGGGTCAAAATTTCCTTATTAGATAATGTGCTAAGTTTATGTAAATATCTGGGAAAGGAAAAGACCAATGATATAATATTAAGTCACCTGATCACTTATCTAAATGATAGAAACCCTATGCTGCGTATGGCGCTTGTGGAGGCAATTTCAGGAATTTCCATTTTATTAGGCCCGGTGACACTTGAGCAATACATTCTACCTTTATTAATTCAAACTTTAACTGATTCAGAGGAACTAGTTGTGACTGCCACTTTAGAAACGTTGCATGACCTCTGTAAAACAGGCCTTGTAAATCAAATAAATGCTTTCACTGTCGCTAACGAAATCTCTCCTTTACTGTTACATCCAAACTATTCCATTCGTCAATTTTCGTTATTAACATTATTTGAGATTTCTCAACAACTTTCGAAACCGGATCTCTATTGCAATCTATATCCTATTATTAAACCATATTTTGGATTTGAAGTTGAATTTGAACTTGATGTGATGTTAGACAGTTGCAAAACTCCGATTTCAAGAACAATATTTAACCTACTCTGTAGTTGGTCATTGCGTGCATCAAATTCATTATTTTGGAAACAAGTCATGTCTAAAGAAGTTGACGCCTTTGGAAAACCGACATCTACATTCATTACAAGAGATTACATTCCTAAGAACTACGGCCTTACCAATAATACATTAAGGAGTAGCAAAGCTATGGACGAACACCCAAACGGTTTTGTGAGATTATTTGATAATTCCGAAATTCCTCTAACAACAGAGGACAAATTATGGATCGATAAATTTAAGACTTTGGGGATGAAGGATACAGACCTTTGGAAGCTTCTGTGTCTCAGATCATATATTCTAAGAACCAAAAATAAACATAATGAGAAATCTCAGCTGGGCTTGCACGAGATTGATGAAAATTTAGATAAAAAATACTCATCTATTGGAATAGCTAACGTGATGCCACACAACGTCTTTTACGATATCAAATTTATTGAGCAAGAAGAGACTGATTCTGAGGAGCTTCCTTTATCCGAAAATGATACTCAAAAACAACTAATGGAGCATTCATTGTTACCAAAAGAGTCTGTCCCAACCATCGTAAATATGAATGGTTCATTAATTTTAAGGAATAAACCTTCGGCAATCACAACACCTAATCTCCGAAACATTTATGTTCAGTTGGAACCTAACAGAACTCACAATCAAGTACATAATCCATATTCCCCAAGAAGATTCGATGATCGCAGTTTCCCAATCCCTGAATATGTAGTTTCTAACAGTTATGAAGGTGATGTTGAATCTATTGAACAATTTTTGAAAAGTATAGATATATCCCCAACTCTTTCTGACTATAAGGAGTTTGGAATAATAAGTAACGCGATAAAGAAAGATGGAAGATCACTGATATCATTAAAAGGGAAATCAATTTGTACACTATCCACAAATATTAGAAACCTAATCGTATCGATATGCACATCATCAGGAAGTAGAAATCCTTATCTTGTAACGGGCTCTTTACAAGGTGTAATTAGTGTTTATTCAATGAGAAATATTGTTAATGGGGAAGATTATGAACCCGCATTATTCTTCAATTGCAAGGCAACTTTAACAAATATGATTATGCTACAAGGGTTTGATACATTTGTTGTTGCAACCACAGATGGATTTGTAAAATTCTTTAGAATATTACAATATGATCCATTACAAGAAAATAGACAGTCAACATATACCAAGGAAATCAGAAGTTTCCACGTTAGTGGAGAATCAAACAAATCTGGTCCTAATGGAGCCATGGATGGAGAGGAACATGTTACAAAGATGGAAGAATACATAGCAGATGATAAGGCGTATCTAATATGTTTAACGAATCGTTCAAGATTATTTAATTTTGATATTCGTAGGTTGGATGATATGAATTTTATTAATATTCCTGCTTCACATGGTGGTATAACTACTTTTTGTACTAACAAAGAGAGTAACGTACTAATAATAGGAACAACCAAGGGTATTATTGATATATGGGATTTAAGATTGAACATTCTAGTGAATTCATGGGCGTTCGATAATAACTGCATAATTAAGGAAATTCATTTGATGACCCAACTTGGCAAAAACATGATATTAATATTAGGTGGTTCATCTAGTGGTGTCTTATCTGTGTGGAATTATGCAAAGACCCAATGTCGTCTAATTGTAGCACTTCCGGAAAGGACACCTTCAATAGAAAACTTTCAACCAATTACGAAAAGACTTGAAAATGTTAAATATAATTCAGGGAATCTTAATTCGATTGTTTCAACGGTACATACTCAAGGTACTACAATTATATTTTCTAACAATGAGACATCTGATATGTTTATGCTTGATCTTTCGAATACTAATCATTCCAAAGTACTATTTGGCCCAAATAAATCAGAATATATCTTTGGTGGAAGGAAAGGTACTATAAACACAACAATTGTATCTATACAACGTGTATCTAGTACTACAGAGACAACCAGCTCAAGAAAGAACACCTCGAATACGGGTAATATGGTAACCACTATTGAAACTGTTCAAAGACAAGATAAATTATATCTTCTAGTAGGTGATAGTCTGGGAATTATCAATATATATGATTGATAGAATTCTTCAATTGAACCATTTTAATGTCCTAGACTTTTCTGTTTATTGAATAGCCTCATACCCTTTAAATTGCTTGTTGTACGTTGTATTTAGTGGAATATTCTGTTTTTAACAATCCTATTCCTTCTTTTTTTTCAGGTTCAAGGAGCTTCTCTCTTCTCTTCTTTTTTTTAATTTTTTTCAGAGTTCCCTCTAATTCCTGGACAACAAACAATATTTTCACAATGGCCTCCCATAATACGAATAAGGCATTTAATTGACAATACAAAGAGACCCTAGTGTAATTAAGAATTTTTTCTCTTTACTTATGTAATCTTGTAACACTTCTCAGAAAATAAAGAGAACATTCTGTATACACTTCTATACATATATTTATTTGCAGATATATCAATTAATAATGCCGATCGACCAAGAAAAATTAGCAAAGTTACAAGCTTTAAGTAATAAGAACAAAGTTGGAGGTGCCAGAAGAAAGACTGGTTCTAAAGTTGCTGGTTCTGCCACTGCTGTTGCAAGAGATGATTCCAAACTTTATTCCACTATTGCGAAACTAAATGGTGTCACTGTTGACAATGTTGCTGAAGCCAATTTTTTCCATGAAGATGGTAGTGTGATGCATTTTAGCAAAGTTGGTTTACAAATGGCTAAGGATTATAACACTAGTGTAGTATATGGTCTTCCAGAAAAGAAGAAACTTGATGAAATGTTCCCTCAAATTCTTCCTCAATTAGGTGCAGAAGCTTACCAAGCTTTAGCTCAACTTGAAGCTCAATTAAAGGAATTCGATGAGAAGAAGAAGAATGAAGAAGGCGCTAAAGTTGAAGATGCTAACTAATCCTTCTCTCCTACAAGCATCTCATACATGAGACATTATTCACTAAAGGGTACGTATATATAATTACATATGTGTACATAAAATGAGTCAGTCTCTTTTTCATTTAAGCAATATCACCTCAACAGCACAACATACGATGTGAGCAATGTCAATCTATATAAACTTTAACATAAGCAAACAGGAAATAAAATCTTCTTACCAAATGAAAAAAAATAGTACATATATACATAATCATTAAGTATTTTAAATATATATAAATTTAAAATTATATCACAAACTAATACCTTCCTTTTTAGCTCTCTCTAAAAATTCTTCAACTTTCCCATTTGTTATCTCTATCAATTTATTTCTATTTCTTCTACAAGTTAATGTATCTTGATGTCTCTTTAAGGCATCCTTTCTTGCAAAACCTTTACCACATTTCGAACATATATGTGGTAGTACCAAAGAATGTGCCTTTTCGTGTCTACGTAAATCGGAAGATCTAAAGAATACTAAATCACATTGCGAACAAGGGTATTTTTTATCAGGTTTTTCCTGTATCTTCTTCTTATTTCGTGGTTTTACAGTCTTTGGTTGCATATGTGTAGCAGGTGGTTTATCATACTGTTGTTTATTTTGCGAATCCATAAATGATGAAAATACAGACTCAGTAGATAAAAGATCTTCTTTAGCAATATCATTATACTCTCTCTCTGAAGCTCTGTTTGGGATAAGTGTTACTGACTCGTTATTGATCGGAGAAGATGCCAAAGATTGCTCAAAAGATTCTCCATATGCTGAAGAAACTAGAGCATCGCCTAAACTATGAATATTATTATTATTATTATTATTATTATTATTATTGTTGTTGTTACTATTATTAACTTGCTGGACAGGTATACTTTCTGGAGTAATCACATTTCTCCCGGGACTTTCAGTACTTGTAATTTTCCCAAAGTCTATCTCATTATATTTTATCCTCTTTAACAGTTCCTTTATTGTCGGATCCACATTAGATATATTTAAAGATGTCGCCACAATAGCTTCTGCAGCTTGTTTGAAAAATGTCGCTTCTTCACTCATAAGTTAGGTGTATTTTCCTCGTTTTAATTTAACGTTGTTCAATATTACCCAAAACAAGTTATATCTCTTTAATACTCTTAACAAGGATATCTCTTTGTTAATTGTTTATTAGTAATTTATTGTTGTTGTTGTTGCTCATCACTGGTTAGGTTTTCATGTATATGGCTGATCGTGCGAATTTCACAATTTTATCGATTTTTCCCTGTTGAAATGAAAAATTTTGGTGCAAAAGTGTGTATGTGCACGTGACTCCAAGGTCTGAAAAGAAATGAATTTTATCTCATCACAACCTAAACAACCTGAACAACTTGAACGTTACAACCTCTCTATCGGATGGAAATAGCAATTGTTACTATTATTATTATGTAGCAAACCTATCAAAAATTATAAAACCTGAAAAATACCTATATATGTATATATAAAAAAATGATATTATGATATGTATTATACCCGTTGGTATGAGAAATTGAGAAATTCGTTTTGTTTTAGCATTGTTATTATCTTCATCTATGTATTCAACATTACACTATTGTGAAGTTTTCTAAGACTAATTTCTTACCCATTTCATTGAATTGTTCAATTTCCGTGTTCATAATATATCCATTACTCAATGGAGAATTGTCCTTAACGCTATTGTTCCGGTAATGATGATTATGATTATGATGTTGTCTTCTTGTGGAACTATTGATTTGATTCAGTTCATGTAATGACGAAATGTTATATCGAACGTCATTGATTGACGCAGGTGTGAAGGAAGGAGATTCAGAAGAGTGTGAATATGATCCGTGACTTTGTATACTTTCATCATCGTTTAAAGATGGTAAATTTGTTCCAATATTATAATTTGCACTATGAACATCAATACTTTTTTGAGCCACAGATAAAAATCGATTATAACTCATCAAATTTTCATCTATATTATAAGGAGAATCAATACTACTGAAACGAGCAACATTACCATTACCTTCAAGGATATTGGTTGGATTATCATTATTTAAAGAAGTAATTGTAAGGTTATTATCCAGATGATCATTTATCGGAGACCGACTTATTCCTTTTTGTTTTCTGCTACGTCTAATTAACACGGGTCTCACTATAGAACAACAGTTTGTAATTTCTTCAATGGTTAAGCCAGATATTTTACTGTAAAGTTTATAACATGTTTCTCTATTCATAATCTTGTTACCTTCGTGACTATTCACATTAGGAACACTTAGAACAAATGCTACAACGATTAGTCTATGAAGATCATATTTCAAATGTTTCATGTAATTCGTTTCATTCTTACAACATTCTAAAAATTTAATGATAATACAACAAACTTTCTTAAATTGTAAAATGGTAGAATGTGCTCTCTTTAAGATAGTCTCAAAAATGTATGGTGTCTTATCTTTATCAAATGTAAATTTAAATATATTATTATTATTAAAATCTGCGATCCCACTTACATCATCAGGAATGAAAAGATATACATGTTTTAACATAATACCTCTAATAAAATTTTTAATCATAAACTTATTTAATGTGTTATTTTGTTGAACATCAGAATTTGTCTTTACTGGGCTCTTCCCAGAGACTGTTTTTTGAGCCAAACCGTCATTCATTATTATAGTATAATCCCTATTATAACTGATACAATTTTGTTTCACACCTTGGTTGCTTCTATGTCCATTAAAATTTACTGGCAGTTCTAGCGTGTCATTCAACATCAAAACGAATGTGACTATCTAGATATACTGTTTCGCAAAAGATAAGTTGGATATAAGCCCTTACAACTAATAGACCAATATAACAACGAAGACACAGACCTTTCAGTGACCAGGATACCGTTCTAAGAGACTATCAAATACCAGTTCTTATAAAAGATCTCTGGCTTTCGATGAGTGGTAATTGACTCATTTTTCTGTTGCTGTCAACTAACGAAAAAAAAATTGCTGTTTGTCCCGCGAAGTGCACTCCTTCGCCTACAATTTAATTCAATACAAGATATCCATCGAGGGAAAGTTGACCTTATTTAATGAACATTTTTAATTAATTCGAGTTAAGGAGAGAGAAGCTGGAATAGTCACTTGCTCACACCTATCAAGTTAATTGATAGATATATCAGTTAATTGAAATACTGTTTTGGATAGAAAAAAATTTGATCTATCCTTGTTTTTTTTTTCAGTTCAACTTTCTATGAAACTATGTTTAAGGGTCTGAGAGTGAGCGGTTTATATCTCTCGAAACGACATGCTAGTTCTCATAGCTACCAGGGTACTTTAAATTTACCAAAGACTAAGTTTTCACCACGTTCAAACGTTCAAAAAACGTATAATGATTTAATACCTCAATCTTCACAAACTGTATACAAAGAACAATTAAATGAATTTTTCGAAATATACAATAAGATTCCACGTAACGATATCTCTGAACGATTGGATTTTATCAAGAATAAATTATTTATACTACATGATGGTCCTCCTTACTCAAATGGTGACTTACATTTAGGTCATGCTTTAAATAAAATTCTAAAAGATATTATTAATAGGTACCAATTATCTCAGGGGAAATATATTTACTATAGACCCGGTTGGGATTGTCATGGTTTACCTATAGAATTGAAAGCATTGAAGAAATTGAATAGTAACCAGATTGAACACATTTCTCCAGTGAAAATTAGACAAATTGCATCTCAATATGCTAAAGCAGCTCAGTTGAAACAACGTTCACAATTTGAACAATTTGGTATACTTACTGATTGGAATAATCCTTATATTACAATGGATAAAAATTATGAAATTAACCAATTGAAAATTTTTAAAAAATTATTCGATTTTGGTTTGATTAAGAGACAGAATAAACCTGTGTATTGGGGTACAGAAACTAGAACTGCTTTGGCAGAAGGTGAATTGGAATATATTGAAAATCATAAATCCGTATCAGCTTATGTGTATTTTCCATTAACTGAAGGATCTGTATCCATGTTACAAGACAGATTAAAAATCGAGCAAGTAGAGAAAATTGATTGTTTAATTTGGACAAGTACACCATGGACACTGTTTTCAAATCAAGCTATTTGTTACAGTGAACGATTCAATTATTGCCTGGTTAAATTAGAAGAAGGTCAAAAATATTTTATAGTCGCAAAGGATTTAATAGACTCATTAAAGATTTCTGGACAGTTTAAGATTGTATCTTCGTTTTCTGGTTCTCTATTAAAAGGATTGACATACTATAACCCACTAATGAATGATAAACCCTATGTAGGGAAACCTCTTCTGGATGCGTCACATGTTACCAATACCGCAGGTTCAGGATTAGTACATACTGCCCCTGGACATGGTCAAGATGATTATTTAGTTGGGCTGAAAAATGGTTTATCAATCTTTTCACCTGTTGATCATAAAGGTAACTATGATTTAACTAAATTCACAGAAAACATAGATGTTCAAGATTTTTTAAAGGATCCAAATAGTGAATTCGGTGAAGGAAGAAATGTCCTGGACCCCAAGACTACCGATGCTATCATAGAAAGACTTAAAAAAATTGGTATATTGATGGATGTTGAAGTTATAACTCATTCGTATCCATATGATTGGAGATCTAAAAAACCCGTGATTATTAGATCCACCCCTCAATGGTTTACTAACTTAGAAAATTTAAAAAAGATAGCCGTGGATAGCCTCGAGAAAGTTCAATTTTATCCGAAAAGAGGTGAACATAGACTTACTTCTTTTGTCAAGAACAGAAATGAATGGTGTATATCGAGGCAACGTTCATGGGGTGTACCAATTCCATACTTCCAACATCGTGAAAATCCTGATACAATTCTAATGGATGCTGAAGTTATATCAATTGCTATCGAAAATATCAAGAAATGGGGGATGGATTCATGGTTCCTTGAGGAAGATCCTGCTAATGAAAAAACAGATATAAAGAGTTGGTTACCTCAAAAATATCATGCCATTTCCAACCAATTCATAAAAGGAAAAGATACAATGGATGTTTGGTTTGATAGTGGTTCTTCATGGTCAACATTGATGGACTTTTTTAGTGAAAAGTTGGGAATAGTTGAAAAAGATCAACCTAACCCATTAGCAAATGTTTACTTAGAGGGTAGTGACCAACATAGAGGTTGGTTTCAAAGCTCGTTATTATGTAGAGCATCATATACTGAAACACCGGATGCTCCATATGGAACGGTTATCACACACGGGTTTACTCTTGATGAAAAGGGAATTAAAATGTCTAAGTCCATAGGAAACACAATTGCACCCAAGGATATAATCGAAGGTAGCAAAGAAAGAGACCTACCAGCACTTGGCGTAGATGGTCTGAGATATTTAGTTGCGCAATCCGACTTCACAAGTGACATTACTGTAGGCCCAACAGTAATGCAACACACATCCGATGCTTTAAAGAAAATCAGATTATGCTTCAAATTTTTATTAGGTAATTTACAAAAGAGCTCTGATTATAAATTATTACCTTATGAGCAATTAGCACCTGTCGATAAATATACAGTTTCAAAGTTGCAAAAACTTCTAGATGATACAAAGAAAAATTATTTAGAATACAACTTTTCCAAAGTGTTGATTAATCTTCAATTCCATCTAAACAATGAATTATCCGCATTTTATTTCGATTCTTCCAAAGATATTCTTTACTCTAATTCATTATCATCGTTAAGAAGAAAACAAATTCAGACTACGCTATATTATATTTTGGACGCATATCGTGCGATTCTATGTCCAGTTCTACCAATAACGGTACAAGATGCTTGGAATTATGTCCCTGAAAAGTGGCTAACAAGTAATCATATCGACAAGAGTTTATCTCCGTTTGTTAAGTCGTGGCCAAATTTTGATGCTGACCTAACGGGATCAAGAAGCCTGGTCGACTCATTTGAATCACACGAAATTAAAATAAGGAATGCATTTAAAAAGGAGTTTATTAATATTACTGATTCTTCAATTACAAAGCCTTGCCAGACGCTTGTAAAAATATATTCCACAAATGATCTTACAATAAAAGAAGACGACCTAACTGAACTCCTACAAACATCTAACGTTACATTTATTAAAGTTGATGACCTGTCTAATGTCTCACAAAATGCCAGAAAAATAGACGAATTGAACTGTGCTATTATTATAGAGCCCAGCGTGATGCATAAATGCCCAAGATGTTGGAAACACAACTCTCCCGAAGAAGATCATTTATGTAATAGATGTCAAGAAGAAACCTTGCATATAAACAACTAAAAACTAATCTTGTAATTAATAACTCAACAAAACGTTTTATATACGTATTTTTTATTATTCTTTTATTCATTTTATATTATATTGAAGACACATTTATTATTTCATGTTTAGCCTCGTTTAGTATCAAACTGCAAAAAAAAAATAATGGTACTTTTTAAAGAACTACTCTATCATCCTCCCTTGGCACTAATGGTCACTTTAAAATAATTAAAGGAAAATTTAAATAATATCGATCACTATTTAACCTTCCACTATTTGTTGAGATCCATCCAAAGATGTTAAATTTAATTGGTAAAGGTAGATCTCCAACAATTGGGTTAAGAAGAACCACCCTCTTCTTGAGGTCTACTACTCTTGTAAGTTCGAGCATTACAAACGTAAAACCAGTTATAACCAGTTATAGTTATGTGACACAATCTGATTCAAGAGGAAAACCTCACTCTGAGGAAAGGATACCGGAAGAGAAGAGTGGCACCCCTGAAACATATCAAAATGAACAGATCAAGAAATTAATAAAAAAGTCGAAAATGCTTTCGAAACTTCAAGCTGATCCTAGATTCTCTCATTACTTCAAGAGAATAACAACATCAGGAACAATCCCAATGATAACTTCCTTTTTTATTTTACATGAATTAACTGCCATAATACCTTTATTTACGGTTTGGTATATCCTTTACAATTTAAATCTCTTCGAAAACTTCGAATTTTCTGGAGAGCTAATGACAAAATGTAGCAATGCAATAGAAAAATTTGTCGGAGACAAGTACCAAGATTATGATAAACATCGGCTTATACTAAGTGGTGCTATGTCGTATGCACTCGTTAAAGTGATGGGCCCTGTAAGAATCATTTTGAGTTTGTGGGGTGCTCCTTACTTCTGCCGATGGTTAATACTGCCATTCAAGAAGTTGACCAATTTAGTCAAGTCAAAGAAATAGGATTTAGATTATTAATCATACTCTCCATTGTTCAAATGGTCATTACCCAACATCACGCCCGACTAATTGTACGTTGGGACGGAACGATATTCAAGCAGGCTGAGGCCTCCACGATACCAAAAGATCATCAACTTGATAGAAAACATAGCATATAAACTCAATTTTTTATATAAATTTATACAACCAACAATTATATTGATAGATTTCAATCAATAACTTTCTCTTGGTAGCCACGTATGTTGAATTTTCTTGTACTCTAGCCAATTTAGTTTTTGAGCTTGTTCTCACGTGAGCGTCACCATCCAGAAGTCACTAAGAAACAATAATTTTTCAGCTTGAATCATTTAGCTCAAGAAACAGGTAAGGAATGAGTTAAGTCAAAGCAAGATAGTTTAGCATAAGAAAAACCATATCTTAATCAAGAAATACACTTAAAATCTTCAAGTTGCAAACATTTTGCAAACAGATTTTTAAGAATAAATTATTTATTTCCTTATAATAAGGACCAACCATTTTACTTATTGTACTCAAAGATAGTCGAAATCATCGTAGTAGAAGGAAACAACCGCCAGAACTCACCAAGAAGGAATATAAAAAGAGAAAACAACAATAATCCAACTAAAATCTGGTTACCCCAAACAAATTATGAAGGAAATGCGTGAAAGGGGTCATCAAAACGATTCTAATATGTATCAACAATATGACCAGAAGTTAGCTCAAGATCTGAATGGACGGAACCCGATTCAATCGAATGTTGTGAGTAGAAATCTTTGGCAAAACTATTCCCAGAACCATCACGCATATTCCCAAAGACAACATATGATGAATAAACAGACTTCAGGAGCTGTTCATGGGAAGACCCCTATGCTGATGGCCAATAATGATGTCTTCACGATAGGGCCTTATCGAACAAGGAAGGATAGACTAAGAATTTCCGTACTTAAGAAATATGAAATCATAGGTTATATTGCTGCTGGGACATATGGTAAAGTCTATAAGGCTAAAAGTTTGATGCCAACTACCCCTTCATCAGGAACAACAACAATTTTACCAATCGAAAACTCATCGTTGAGCAGTAGTGAAAACAGCTCGGGTAGTAGGTCTAATAATAAACAAGATTCTAATACATCAAAACTTGGTACTGACAAGAAGTTTTCAAGGGACATAAATGATGATAGCCTTAAGAGTGCAAGCGCTAATAGTATAACCGCATCTCTTTCTGCCAATAGTACCCATATTATTAACAGTTCCAGAAATGATCCCAATTTAGCAAAAAATAGCTTGAACAGTAAGGAACGCAATGATCTAAATCAAAGAAATCATATAACTGATAATTTGAATAATAACATGATAGGGGACAGCCATAACAGCACAGATCATGCCATTACTAACTTGCATTCACCTTCGAAGAAGAAGAACATACCAATTTATTATGCTATTAAAAAATTTAAAACAGAAAAGGAAGGTGTAGAACAACTTCATTATACAGGTATATCACAGAGTGCATGTAGAGAAATGGCTTTATGCAGAGAATTGACTAATGTACATTTAACGAGACTGACTGAGATATTTCTGGAAAGAAAGAGTATTTATTTAGTGTATGAGTATGCTGAACATGATTTGTTACAAATCATTCATTACCATTCTCACCCAGAGAAAAGAATGATTCCTGCAAGAATGGTACGGTCTATAATGTGGCAGATATTGGATGGTGTTTCTTATTTACATCAGAATTGGATACTTCACAGAGATCTTAAACCTGCAAATATTATGGTTACAGTAGATGGTTGTGTTAAAATTGGTGATTTAGGTTTAGCAAGAAAATTTTCTAACATGTTACAGACCTTATATACAGGTGATAAGGTTGTTGTTACAATATGGTATAGAGCCCCTGAATTGTTACTTGGTGCTCGCCATTACACACCATCTATTGATGTATGGGCAGTTGGTTGTATCTTTGCTGAATTAATTGGTCTTCAACCAATTTTTAAAGGTGAAGAAACAAAAATGGATTCAAAAAAGACAGTTCCATTTCAATCGAATCAACTTCAAAGGATTCTAGAAGTCCTCGGGACGCCGACCCCAAAGACATGGTCCAACTTACATAAATATCCAGAGTATGAACAATTTTTAAAGTTTCCCAAGTTCAGGAATAATCTACCTGCATGGTACCACTCTACAAGTGGCAGAGATAAGCATGTATTGGATTTATTATACAAATTATTAGAGTACGACCCAATTAAAAGAATCGATGCCATTGATGCGCTAGATCATAATTATTTTGCAAACGGAGATTATCCTGTTTGTGAAAACGTCTTTGAAGGTTTGAATTATAAATACCCTGCAAGAAGAATTCACACCAATGACAGTGATATAATGGATCTAGGTATACATAGGAGTAAAAATTTGAATCCACAACAACAAGCGGTGGTGAACAACTCTGCGGCTAATACCTTAGGTGGCCTTGGTGTAAATAGAAGAATATTAGCAGCTGCGGCAGCAGCTGCGGCTGCCGTCACGGGGAATAATTCCCAGGGCAATTCTCGAAACCAGGAGCCAACTAGGAAGAAGAGGCGGTAAACTATGATAAGGAAAAGAACACATAAGGAATACTATTTCCTGTACATGATTTAATGACAATATGTAAAAATATTTTTAATTTAATGCATTTTTTTACATCTATGGTACATAAAGAATTAAAATTCTTAAAAAGCTTAAAGAATATATATAGATATACTACTTTCTATGATGCTTCTGTCTTCTCTTGAAACCAATTAATCTTTTAATATCCGCACCCATGCCATCCTTTGTATCTTCAGGTTTTTGTGATTCCTCTATTTTAGCTTTCTTAGCAGATTCATCTTGTTCTACCTTCTCTTCTCTCTTTCTTTTAGAGCTTTCTCTAGCATTATGGACGTTATCTCTTCTTCTTTTAACAACATTAGCATTTTCAATAGCAAATTCGACACATAAACGTCTAGATTTGGTAGATTCCATGTCAATCATTTTCTTCTCTTCCTCATCAAGTCCATCAATAACTTCTTCTTGCGAAACCAAATGAACATTCATCCATCTCAGACCCATCAGAGCATGTTTATGATCTTTATATTCTACGAAACCATAACCTCTACTTCTACCAGTCTTCGAGCCTTTGACTTCCATAATAACCTTAGCTTGCTTAACGATACCGTGTTTCTTGTCCTTCTTCTTTTGATGGGCAATTTCCTCAGGAGTCATAAATTTGTATTTTTCTTTTGTAGATCTAACAATTTCTTCTTGCGACAGAGGATGTCTTTTTCCATCTTTGACTTCTATAGCAAATTCCACAACAGCCTTACGAGCAAGTGCCTTCAATGTTTTATCTGTCATAGCTCTTGGTAAATTTCTAATAGCCAATCTAGTCATGGATAGATGTAAAGATGGATTCTTTTTCAATTGTTCAACTCTTAATTCGTAAGATTTATCTCTAATTTCCATATCCTTTGTTGATAATAACTCTGCCATCTTGGAGCCATCAACGACTTTACCTTCGTTCAACAGATATAGATTACGTTTATCACGTTCGCCAGGTGCCTTTCCTAAGGCTTCTTTTCTCTTTTCAGCATTCCTTTCTGCCCTAATATTAGCTTCTTCTCTGACCAAAGTTGGTGTGACAGATAAAACACGACCTTCATAAACGTATTCTGGTAAAACATCATCACCAATCAATAGTGAAGTAGAACCAGCTGCAGGAGCATTTTGAACACAGTAATCGTATACCTTTTCATCAGTGAATGCAACAAACGCAGTACCCTTGGCAAGACCGGTCTCTCTATCTATAACAGGTAAAGCATATCTAACCTTACCAAACTTCGAAAAGTGTTCTACCAATGATTCAGCGGTTGCATCATAAGGAACATTACGTACGAAGATAGAAAATTGATCTCTTCTATTCTTCTGATTACGTTGCTTGTATTTTTTTTCTTCTTCTTCATCAACTTCTTCATCAGAATTCATTTCAACATCATTTTTATCTTCAGTTTCTTCGTTTTCGTTACTGTTATCGTCATCATCGCTTTCTTCTTCATCGTTTTCATCCTCCTTTTTGGCAGGTTTTTCATGTTTAGATTGATATGATTCCCATCTATTTTTTTGAACGGCAAAATCAACTGCAACAGTTCTACCATCAATCTTCAAATCTTTACAATTATCAAGTACATTTTTACAATTACTTATCTTTTTCATTGTAATAAATGCAAAACCGCATAACTTACCATCACGCTTTCTTGGAATAGTAGCCTCTACAACAGTACCAAATCTACCGAAAATCTTTTTCAATTCGTTTGGATCACGACAACTCCATGGCATGTTTCTAATAATTAATTTAGGCTTACCCTTCAATGCCTCATCGTCATCAGCAGTAGCCAGTGGCTCTTTTTGAGCTGGGGTTGACTCTGCATTATCCTTCTTGTTACGATCTCTTCTTTTGGCAAAATCAACTCTCAAAAGGTGGTTCTCTAACTTAGCTTTTCTAGACTTATGTAAGGCATCTTCAGCGTCGGCTTCTGATGCAAAACTTACAAAACCGAAACCTCTAGATTTTTTGTTAACATCCTTAACTACAACGGCATGCTTTAATGGAGCAAAATTAGAAAAAAATGAGGTCAAAGTTTCATCTGTTACACCTTCTGGAATAGATCTCACAAATAATGTCTGTAAATCAAGATTTTTGTCAAATTGAGACACCTTCCTTGATTCTTTCACAGGTTCTGACATATTATTCACAGTTTTCTTGATATCCTGTTTATCTAAGTGTTTATATTACTATAAGCCTATAAATAATATTTAAAAGGGCATTACTTTTCCCAATTCAAGCAAGGTTTTAAACCTATCTCTCTAAGACTCTTAAACTGTGATGAGATGAGATGAGATGAGCTTAGCAGGAAAAATTTGCTTCGCAGTGAAAATTTTTAGAATTCCAAAAACCAAAAAATTAAAAGTCATGTGACGTTTAATTATGAAAACCGGGTAACATGTTTAATTTACACATAACCATTCAATTATCATATCTTAGAGATCGTTTCAGTAATGAAGGACCTCAATTGTGCCTCATTAACAGGAACTTGTTGGTATAGTTCTTTTAGAGCGAGTATATTCTTCTCCTTTGTGAACATTTGAGCTAGTTCAAAGTAACCCTTAATTTCATATAAAGTTTTAATCTTTTCCTTGTATGGCATCTCAGATATCATTGGAATATATCTTGCTGATTCTTTATGTTTCCCTGCTTTAGTCAAATATTTGAAAAAAGGTTGGTACCCGATAGGTGATTTTTTGTGGGTTGCAAATTCGTAAAGGTTATCGAATCGTTTCTCTTTAATTAGAGTTCGACACATTATATGATAGTATTTTTTATCGCTAATTTTAAACATCTTAACAAATGCTTTAATTTTTTTGTCCTGCTTCATGGAAACCAATTTTTCAAGTGTTTGAACCACCGTAAGTCCTGGAAATTCAAAGCCTAAAGTATGTGTAAGTTCCTCTTGGAACTCTACCAATTTTTCATTTCTTTTCAGATATTCGGTATCTTGTTTTAACAACGTATCATCGATGACACTCGAATATAAATCTTTAATTTGAGGTAAAAAGGGAGTAACATCTTTTCTATTATGTGAAAAGATAGCATGTGCCAATTCATTATATTTGTCCGTTTGTCTATAAATATCAAACAAAAATTCATAATTATTTCGTTCGAAATATGTGTATGCTGAATTTTTGGGTAAAATCATTACGAGAATCTTCATAAATTGCAAGTTTGTCACGGTATTCTTTAATAAGAGTAATACAGAAACAATAAATTCAGGACAATACGATTTTAAGCTTTCTTGTGTTGCTAACAAATGGTCATCCAACTTAATCAAGGACAACACCTTCATTTCTGCAGATTTTTCAATCATGGCAAATCGTCTTGCCAAGATAAACCGTCCTTCATTGAACGATACTTGGGAAAGTTGTGCTGCAGAGACTTGATCCTGGACGTCCATATTAGTTAACCTTTTATTAATGATACCAAATAGATCATCATCATCAATATCCTGTGATAGTTTTATTTTTGTTTCAGACCAATTTTGCACCACTTTGATCATCAATTCAAAATTTTTAAACTCTGTACAGATTTTTAGACTCTCATAAAATTTATGAGATAGTAACATCATTTCGATAATTGCCTCAAATCCCATTGCCTTATATTCGAAGTATGTAAAGAAAAAACCCAGATCTCGGAAAATATTTAACAATTTGATATTATCACAAGCTTTCACAAATATATTAGAATCAAATTCATTATATGACAGCATCGATTTACCAAAGGAAGCCGCATTTAAAAGTTCCTTTTGTACTTTTGTATCCATCTCCTCCTGAGCAGCCATAATACAGTCATTTACACCTTTAGCCAAATCGAAATCTTTCAAATAATCGATTGCTCTTGCTGTATGGGTAGAAAGAACATACCAAGCATCTAATAACATTGAACCTGCTTCTGTAGAACCCATACAATAAATGTCTGCAGTATATCTTGGAACTTTTGTAATTAAATATATCTCTGTGTCCGTAAATACTTTCAAACCATCAATTTCCGTCTTTATGCAAAATATATTTGATGAGTACCAAAATGAAACATATTCACCTTCTGGTCCATAGAGTTTCACAGTATCATTAAAAGTACACGCAATGGAATCATCACCACACCATCTTATATCATCTGGGGCTAAATCAAGCGTGTGTTGTAAAAGGAGCTTCCCTGAATCCCTAAATATATCCAGTTTATTGTATTTGGCATTATAAAGACATATGAACCCATCCTTAGACAGAGCAACTTTATGCCATTCATTATTTTCTTGAAACTTTGTAAGTCGACGTGACAAAATATCTAGCTGATAAACAGATTCTGTATCAAGTATTATAACCATATTTTCATTACAATGCCAATGTTTTTTAGTTAATATATTAAATCTTGCCTCATTTTTCAGTATAAATTTGAATTTCTCTCTTTCTAAATCTAAGTAGAGCACATCCTTACTAACTTTTGTAACATATACATTCCCTTTAACATCCCATAATGTATCATTGGTCTTAGATGGTAAATTAATTGTTTTAATCTCTAATGGGGCCCAAGTTTTGACAAGTTTGCAAGTTTGTAATCCTACCACAATTAAGGTTCTTTGATCTAATTCATCAAAATGAAATTCAGTAATAACATCAAATACTTTAATATCTATCTCTGTCAATAACTGCCCCAAATAATTGAATATTTGAATCGATTTATCAGTTTCAATTGCTATAAAAGTTCTTGAGATGGCATATCGAAGATCTTTTTTTGAAGACCATTGTAAATTGTGAAGTTTTCTTGAGCGATAAAACACATTTTGAAGCTTTTCCCAACTGAGACTTGGATTAGGTGCCATAATATATGACTATTAATTCTTTTTGAAGTCGAGAAAGTTACTCTTTATAGTTGTTTTTACTACATTCACCCCTTTAAAGACTTTTACCAACAACAGGCTATTTAAAGGAAACTGCACTGTAAATTAACCGTATCTAAGTTATCTGTCTTTATTTTTCCATTCCCGCTTTAAAGTTTAATCATGTTTGAACATTTTCTTTCATACATAAAGGGAGTTGAGAACAAATTTGTTCAGTTTCATTGTTCTGATACAAAATATTTAAAAGACTTTGTATTTTGTGGTTTTGATAGGTTAGAATCAATTAGTAGTGATTGTATGTCATTCAGCAAATGATTGATTGTGAACTATACGGCATATCCTCACAATTTTTAGAAGGTTCTTAATTTGAACTTACAGAAGTAAAGAACTACAAGATATATATTCAAGTACTGAACAATGAGTTCATCAAACGAAATAAATGATAAGCAACAGGACATGGTTTCCCTTATTGGATCAGATAATGTAAAACACGCTATATCAAGGGAAAATGCTATGCTATCCAGTACACTTAAATCAATAGCCAGTGGAAAATTTGCTGATAATAAGGACAGTATTGAACTCCCTTCAATAAGCGGACCTGTCATTGAAAAAGTGATCGAGTATATGAACTTCAAGGGTAAATTATTACGTGAGGGAAGAGAAGGAGAAGATACTGAAGAAACTGCTGAAAAATTCGAGAATTTTAACATCCCTACTGAACTTTCTCTTGATGTACTATTAGCCGCAGACTATTTGAATATATAGTATTCATTTAAGAATTAGATGAAAAGGGAAATGATATTTGTGTGATCTCAAGTATTGGTTACACTGACATTATTAAGAAACGTAAAATTCGAAATATATTGAACATAGCGAGGGGCAGTGGTGCTTTTACAGAGTATATATAAATAACCCCAACTTCTACAACGTTACGTAATTCTTTATTACTTAATATTATACAACTAGAATTGTAGAAAATAATAATAACAATACGTCCACTACTAGTTAATATTATATCTATCTATCTATCTATTTATCTGAATTCTAGGATTCAACCGGAAAAAGGATGTCTTAAAGAACATTGAGCAATTTCATGTAATTGGTTTCGTTATGATGATGCATTATGTTTGATAAAATTAATAAGGTAACCTTGAATATACCTAGGCGATGATGATGATAATGATGAGGGCCAGAACGGACATTTTCCTTTACTGACATGACAATAGTTTTTAACGACAACCATCATCGCCTACCCCCTCTACCTAAACAACGTTCCAAATGAGCAGCAAATCTGTTTGCAGATATCTCTCTACCACAATTTTTACAGGTAAAATATTTGGACGATTCCTGTGTCTTGGGATTACCATTAATATCTATTTGTCCTGTGTCATCACGAACATATGGAATCAAGTTCGGATATCGCGAGTTCAAAAGTCTCTGTTTTGCAGTCTCTCTTGCGACTATATCTTGAATTATTGATGTGATCAGGTTACTATATATCCCTGATGATAATGTCTCAACTGTTTCTGGAACTGGATCAGTCATTTGTGTTAACTGCAGTGTAGTCTATTTTGTTGTTTGTAAAAAAAAAATAATAAAAAAAGATCTTAATCAAAATTTGCTCTCCTCTTGAAATGTGGTAAAGATCCACTTGATTATATCGTTATATCACTTCCTGTTATCGTTATCACTTCTTAGTTCTTAGCTGCTATAAAAGTATACCGGGTTCACTTAAGGAAACTTCGCAGGCCTTTGTTAAATCAGCAATACCGTAACTTGATATTTTTTTTCAAGTTTTTCAGTCTTTTTCATTGCATACAAAGCAATCAACATAACAGTTAAAGAAAATTAATTTAGTGAAAAAAATATAAAAAATAATAGATAAATAAAATATTCAATAAATGTGTATATATATATTTTCATCATTTTAAGACTTTACCGTCAGCAATTTCTCTGTTTTCACCGTTGACAACAACTGGCTTGTCCCAAGCCCACATGTTATTGATGAATTCCTTGTCTTCATCCTTGGTTGGGTCCAACTTGGCATAAGAGTAAGATTCCCAATCTGGAGCAACATCGAAGGCTGGAGCATGGTCTTGACCCCTGATCATGATAGCACCAGTGATACCGTTATTGTTGTTTTCACCGTAGATAACCATACAACCGAAGACATACTTGGTAGAAGCAGACAATCTGTTGAAGAAACCACCGACCAAGTTGTTAGACATGAAGGTCAAAGTCAATTCATCGTTGTACTTGTAGTCAACCTTCCAGATAGAGTATTCTTCTGGGTTGTAGTTGTCCCAGAACCATGGTAGAGCAACTTCTCTGGTGTCTGCGTTAGAATACTTTCTCTTCCAGTCATCTAGAATGAAGGTAGACTTACCTAGAGCTTCTAGAGGGTGCTTAGCCTTCTTTTCAGCTGGTTCAGCAGCTGGCTTTTCTTCCTTCTTAGCTTGTTTCTTTGGTTGTTCTTCCTTCTTTGGCTTATCCTTTTTCTCCTTCTTTGGTGGAGCTAATGGTTCATCAATGAACTTGAAATCAACAAATTCATCCTTCATAATAGGAGATGCAATAATAGTAGTATACCATCTAACAATGGATGGATGTTCATTTCTCCATTGCTTACCAAATAGGTAATTGAAACCTCTGGTGAAGACAGCAGCAGACAACAAATCACCAAGAGTGATGTGTTCAGAAGCTAAATAAGTATAATCTCTTAGTCTAGTTTCGTAAATATCAGTGATCTTAGCAATTTGAGTCAATGCAGTATCAACAGCCTTCTTGTTATAAGGAACATCACCTCTTAGTGGTTTGAAAGCATTAACAATTTCACCACATAAATCAGTGTTAGCTAAAGACTCCCATCTCAATACTTGACTTTGAGTCTTTAAATCTTCACCTAGTAATTGGGCCTTCAATTTTTCATCAGTGGATAAATTGACTAAGTAGTTCATGACAGCCATAACTTCGGTTAATTTCCATCCTTTGTTAGTGATGAAAGCTGGTAATTTCTTCAATGGAAAATCCTTAGCGAATTGTTGTTCAGCCTTTTCTGGTTCGACAACAGTAACGTCTAATTTCAAGAAATTGACTAGAGCCCTTGGAACGAATGTTCTGATTCTAAAATTTGCGTATAGAGTGGCTTGTGACATTTTTGTGGAGCTTGAAGATCTTATCTAGACTTTTAAAAAGCAAGTACGGTTATACTTGAAAGAAATCAATGTTCTATTCCCAAACAAAGTTGTTTCTATAATATGACTTGTTCTCTTGTTTAATTATGTCAGCTTTAATTTTTGGCCGTAAAGGATAATCCCGTTGCATCGCCCACACGTTTCCTTCGCTGCCATCTCAAATAATAAAACTTTTCAGATAATAAGTTACTATTTTCATCATAAATTAAAAGAAACTGTTAGTGATATTTGATATTAACCATTTAAATATTTCTGTGATTATATATTATCACATTGAATTATAATTATATAAAAATAAAATAAAATAATAGAATTCTGCATGGCAATGATGCAGATAATTAATCATTAAAAGAGGATTGTAAAAAAAAAAGAGTTGAGATTATAATTTGGTATTTGGTTCATAATCTGGTGGATTATCGATATAGGTACACTTGCCCTTCTCTGTAAAGGAGGTACCTTCGTTTCTAATATCAACACCCGAATCCCTACATTCTTTGACCAATTGATCAGAGACACCCATGGGATCCTTACCAACCCAAATGATTGGATCATGATCATTAACCGAGGAGTCAATGTAAGCATTCTCCAAATATCCAATATCGTATTGGATAGTACTGTTCAAGATTAATGGCATTTTTTGTCTAATGACAGGGAATTTATAACACTCCCATGGTTTGAAGAATAGAGTTACTCTTTGCAAAGCACGATAATCACGAAGACTATTTCCAGGTTGTGATCTTTCATTGTCTCTCATTGCTTCAACATCTCTATATGTATCACCAACATCACCAATTAACCAAACTCCATGTTCATCCTGTTGTCTTAAAGGTACATCATCTAATCCATTACCGTTTAATCTTGATGGATCAATATCACTATAATGTAATTTATGAAATTCTTCATCTGGTGAAACAAATGTACTATTTTTTCTACTATGTTCTCCAGTGGCACCTGTTTCTACTTTAACAATATTAGCATTCTTTGCTTTTTCTTCTGCATCCTGACTAGTATTTGAATTTGACGAGCCACTAGATTGAATCAAATCTGCACGTACCAATTCAGGTCTTGTAACTTGTCTAATGACTCCACCTGTTTCATCACCTTCATGTTGTAGTCTCATCTTTTCAGCAAAATCTTTACTTTCTTGAAGTCCTAAATCTTTATAAGGATATACACTATTAGGTTGGCCACGTGCATATCTGATTGCACTTAAAGGAACGATATTTAATACAGGTAAGAATATCCGTTTGAAATAAATATTTGCTAATGCAGTTACTACTAGGAAGAAACATTCTAAAACTAATGGACCCCAGGCTTTAGCCATAATGAATAAACCAATTAAACATATTTCAGCAAGATATAAAGCGACAAAGACTTGAAAGATTGCATATGGATAATTTTTACCCATTAAATCATGCTTTGGTGGGATTATCACATAGACCAAATTATAAAGATTAGCAATATATGTTGTAATCAAAGCTAAAGTTGTAAATATTAAGATTATTGGTGCAATAATAGTGTATGAAATCATGATTACAGTTAAAATTTGAATTGATGGATATAATACACCATAATTTGGTTCAGATAAAACGTTATATCTTTTCCATTTAGCACGAGGTGTACTATCAAATAGATGTAAAATTTTTGAAAGAATTAATGTAACAATTTGTAATAAATTACCAGATGGTGTTGTTAAACCCAATAATAAGAAATAAACAATATAGAAATTCGATGCTTTAGGTAAATTTGCAGCTAAGAGCGTCATTGCAGAAGATGGATCATCAATAATTGCTTGAACAGTTGCTGAAGCTGAAGAAGCTAATGTTACCACAATAAATACATCCACTACTTGGAATGCATAGTACCATTTTTGAACAAATATTGAGGTTTCTTCAAAAGTTATTGCACCTGAGATATTCCCAATTTTTGTAATAATTGGTGCTACTAATGACATTAATACAGCTAATGCAACAGTTGGTAAAATACCTGTAATTAAACCCATTAAAACATTTGGTAAATTATTAATGAATTTTAAAAATGGAACTTTTTGAGTTAAAAAATTAATATTTGAAATACAACCAACAACAGCCACAGGAATAGCCCAAAAAATAATTAATAACGTTAAGAATGTATTTGCTAAAAATCTTTTAATTTTACGTTCTTTTGTTGTCATACTCATGTTTGGCCAATTAATATCCTTTGGAGTTGAACCAATAAATTTTTTACCAAAATTCTTTTTACCAACAACACCTTCAAGTGATTGATAACATTTTTGTGCTTCTAATTGTGAATTAAATTGAATAAAAATTGAAGGAAATTTTTCATTTTGTTTCCAATGCTGTTGTAAAGGATGAATTTTTTCATTAAGTTCTGTAATATGTTCGCTACAATAAGTAATAGTTTGAACTTTTTTCCTGCCAAACCATTTTTCTAAAGGTGGAAGAAACCATTTCCCAAGACGATGTTTTGGTCTTTTTTCAAAAGGAATATAAGTATCTAAATTATCTTCAGGTTTCTCCTTTGAATATTTTCCTTTTAAATATTTTTTTGTTGATTTATTAATGCAACTATTAACTGCGGATTCTAATTTTGTGACATTCTTACCTCTTTCATCAACTAAATTATTTAAATCTTTAAGATTATAAGAATAATTAATAAATTTTAACGATGGATATAATCTTTCAAATTCACCTTCTTGCATTAAAGATTCATTTAATTCTGTTACAATAACAGTATGAGATGATAATAAACCATCATAAAGTGGTGTAGTCATAGCTGCATGTCTAACTAAAATGTAGTAATATAATTCTTTATAAATTATAAATAGTAATAAACCAAATACTAACCATGATAAAAAGACATGAGCATAAAATCTATTTTTATTTTTAACATTTGCAAAGGACATAACTTCAAAACCTTTTAAATGATTACCGTTAGTAATATTAACAGGTAGTAAAATTGGGAAAAGAATAATTGCTGCAAGAAAAGAAAAAGCAGCAAATACTCCAAGATATCTTAAATAAAAATAACCATCAATACCAGCATGTTGAATAATAAAAGAATGAGGTTTTCTTAATAAGAACGGTAACCAATGAAAAAATCCAGACGGGACAGGGTCTGTTCTATCTTCATCAAATAAAGTTCTTATATCATCTAAAGTACGTGGCTCATAAACACGTTTATAACGTTGTCTTAAAAGAAGAAAGCCTAATAAGAAGATACCACCAATGATACTATTAAATATCAGTGTTGAAACGAATGCAGAAGTTGAAGAACTAGTATCTGCAGACATAATTGTGTGTGTGTGTGTGTGTGTGTATTATGTTACCTATATAGTTAAATAGTATTACAAAGAATAAACTAATCAAATTATCAAAAATATCATAAACTCCTTCCTTATATACACGCACATACCGGCAAACTCCTTTAAGGGTACATCCTGTCTCTCTCTCCCTCCCTATCCTTTACCCTAAAATCCATGTTCTATCCTTCGATGCTTTAAATATTGCTGTATGTTGTGCTATTCTGTGTGACATAATAATAAGGGAAGCGTCAGTTTGCCAGCTGCACACGCGGCTGTGCAGCTGAACACACAGCGAAAGCACAAGAATGGGGCGTAGCAGCCGGGATATCGTCATGCACGGTGTGTACATGACGATATATATTTATCGTATAGTTACTATATGGGTATTGCAATGGTAACAGTGACAGTGACAGTGACAGTATGGTTGCATAGTCGATGTTGTTACTTCTTCTTTGGCAGAATTTCATTTTGTAATTGTGATGAATTTCTTAAATATAGACTGAGATCATCAATATTAATTTGTTTTATCGAACGTCCCGTATCATGTTTGGCAAATTGTTCTAAATCTGTTGTGATTTCTTGTAATTTAGTTAATATTACCTCTACTAATGCATTTATATATTTATTTGAATGAGTGACATGCATGTGCCCCGTGGTTGTTGATGCTCCGACGTTCTCTCGTGATTCGATGTCCTGCAGTATCATCTCTAAATGATACCATAATTTACCTTTCAATTGAGCTAATATTTGAGCATCACTGTCATTGTTACTACTACCACTACTACTCATTGTGCTGTGCTGTGCTGTAGTGTACTGTACCCGTCTGTATGTATGTATCTATGTCTTTTTTTTACCTTCTCTTGTTGTTGTTGATGTCCACGTAAGTAACTGGCAGCGTACTATTAATTATATAAATCTTTTCACTGGTCGCTGCGTTTGTCTTTGATTTTTTTGTTTTTGGCTTTAAAAAAGGGGAAATATTTTCTCACTGAATTAAGAGAGTGAAATTTAATATGCATAGAGGTAAACGACACTGAACATCAATATACACACACACATATATATATATTGATGTATATTGATTAAGATCGGTATTATTATTTTTTTGAGAGGATAGTCCTGGTCATAGTATTTTCTTTGATATTTAAAAAACAAATTGGATTTCAATCTTATTGTAACGATATCCTAATACTAAATGACATCGCTTACAGTAAGTTATGGTTTGATTTCACCTCAATCACCAGATAAGAAAAATGCACATATTTTACCAGTTTCAAGAATTTTACATCCAAAATTAACAGATGATTATTATTTAACTACATCAAGAGATGGTTCAATTGTTTTACATCCATCAAATCATGATGAGACTCCAACAAGATTTCAAATTCATTCGGATTGGGTCAGTGATATTATTGAAATTAATCAACACAGTTATATTACTACTTCACATGATTTTAGTATTGTTCATGTAAACCTTTTTAAAAATTCTGTTGGTGATTGGCTATCATCAATTAAAATTATTGGTAATCATAAAGATTATATTAAATGTATTAGTTATATTCCAAGACATGACTTATTCGTCACAGGTTCATTAGATTGTACTTTAAAAATTTGGAAAATTTCTTATTTATTTGGTAATCCCGATCCAAGTTTTGAATTATATCATATTTTTAAAACTGGCATTGGTTCAATTTATACTTTAACAACTTTAAGACAAAATAACGATAGTAATAATAATTTTGATTTAATTGCAGGTGATTGTAATGGTGATTTGTGGTTTTATTCTGCTATTGCGAAAAAAGAAATTAAAAGAATTAAAGGAGCTCATGAAACAAATATTAAAGTAATTAAATTAATTGATGATGAATCAAAATTAATTTCAACTTGTTCAAATGGTATTGTTCATATTTGGGATATTAACAATATTGAACAATTAAATAGAATTAAATCTTGGAAATGGAATTGTTCAATTTGGTGTATCGATGGAAATGTTTCAAATAATTTATTAGTTGGTGATTCATTAGGTAATATTAATAAATTTGACTTCACTGATCTTAATAACATTATTGTTAAATCAATATTTAATTCAAAAGATTATTTTTTAAAATATGAACCTTTATTTGATGATAATAAACATCTAGGAATATTAGATTTAAAATTACTTAATGATTCAAATATTTATTTTTCATATTGTTCAGATTCAAATTTGAATTGTTTAAATTTAAAACAAAATACTTTATCAATAGAAAAAGGTGGGTTTGCTTTAACGAGAAGTTCATTATTAACAAACAGAAGACATGTAATTACCGAAAATACACAAGGAAAAATTCAAAGATGGGATATTGTTTCATGCGAACTAATTAATACATTTCCTCGTAATGAAGGTACATTTGATGAAATCGTAGTAAAATATACTTCGAAGGAAATTTTATCACATTGGTGTACTGTGACAGTAAAAGTTGGGATGTTGTTTGTTAAAATTGGACCAAAATTTTCAAATACTGAATTATATGGTTCGGCATTGCAAGAATATTTTGTTGTTAACGATGTTAAATTAAATTCAGACGATAGATATAATATTGGGAAAATTGTTGTAAATTCTTTATTTAATGATTTTATGGAATACGAACAACGAAAGGATGAAGATTTTAGGAAAGCTTTAGTTAATAAGAAAAAAGATCATGATGAAAAAAATAATAGTAATAATATTATAACGACCACAACGACAATTACAAATAATATCAACGAGATGAGTTCAACACCTAAATATAGTTCTAACAATGGTGGTTCAATTACCCCAAAGACTAAAGAAAAATTTATGAAAATGTCAGGATTTGGAAAATTGGGTTCTTCAATATCAATTGGGAACTCTAATAAAAATAATGAAACACCTTTTGTCTCAGCACCAACAACACCATTGGATAAAGAAAAACAATTATTTTCAAATGAAAATAACATTACCACACATCAACCACCAAAGACCGCACCAGCTGCAGTTACTGGTGAAGCTAATAATAACAATAATAACAGTAAGGATGAAAATTTTAATCAAGAAATTGTTAACCCAGTACCTGTATTATCTAAAAACTCCTCAGGTCGTGCTCAAAGTTCAGGGTCTTTATTAAGTAGAAAATTTAAATCATTTAGATTAACTAAAAATGATTCAAATGTAAGTTCTAGTGATTCTAAACAAGTTACATCTGATGAAGAAGAAAAATTGGTAGATCAAGCAAATTTATCAATTGATACTGATATCCCGGAAGAGAAGACAATTTGGAACAAAAATTATGATCCTTCATCTGGTATGAAGGGAGAAAGTCCATTTAATAACTCCAAGCCATCAGATTATCAAAACCCATTATACATGAAACTCGCAGATGAATCAAAGATGAAATCAAGAGCACATTCTACTTCTACATTAAATTTACCTTCAACTGTATCAAATGCAACCACACCCGTTAGAACAGAAAAGAGACAACAATTTATGGCAGATCTAATAACAGAATTCCATAACGCATACGTGGATCAATATACCAGCAATTTAACTTCATTGAAATTATTAACAAGAAAGATGCCTGATACATTAATCAAAAGGGACCCAACAAGTCCAGTTGTTAAGATCAGATTAGCAACTTTAATAGTGGTACACTCTTGGGAAGAAGATGTATCTGGTGGTAGTGTCCTTTCATCAAGTATATTGCCTCCAAGCTCTAAAAGAAGACATACCTCTAGTGATAATTCTAGTAGTTCTTCTCTAGTGTCATCACAATCTGATAACCAAGATCCTCTAGCTGCTAAGAAAACCATGAAAAAGGGTGGGTTGAATAATAATGATAACCATGACTATTACAATGATTTTACTACTACGACGGGTCCCGAAGCAGGAGATGATGAATTTCATATGACATCATCAAAAAAAGATTTGTTTGAACACTTGGAGAGAGACTTACCATATTGGTTTGCAAAAAAATTATGCAAAGATATCAGAATGGTCGATGATCAGCAACCCAAATTGAATTTTGTCTTACAACCATGGTTAAATGCAGAACAAGAAGCCCGTCAAGCTCTATTAGATCCTGATGAAACTGTAAAGACAGAACAAAAACATTACATGTTAAAATTTGGTAAATCTAAAGGAACAGGAATGACAGATTTACCAAAAATATCAGATATGAATGCACGTCTAACGGCACCTGGGATGATTAAAGTTAAAAAAATCAAATTTTACGTTATTGATAGATTTGAAGCAAAGACAGCTGAAATGAAGGCAAAGACAGATCCAAGCGAATGGTTAGAAATCCTATGTAAAGGTCAAGTTCTTGATAATGATATGACATTGAGTACTGTACGTACTTTATATTGGAAATCACAAGGTGAAATCATATTAAATTACAGAAGAAAAGTCGACGGTTCAGTTCTAACCATGAACAAAGACAATTAAGATTTTAGACTCATCCATTGTAACTATTTTGGACATATACATACATACCCTTACACATATACATAAATAGATCCTCTTAATAATTACGTAATACACATATATTTTATTCGGTTAAAGAGGCTGTTGCAATTGCCCATCGCTTAAGTTAAAGGAGAGAGAGGGAAAAAAAGCGGCCCCATAAGGAAAGATCTTTAGATATATATATATAGTAGGAATATTTTCTATTAAATTGTGGTGTCTGCAAGAGAAGAAGAAGAAGAAGAAGAAGAAGAAGAAGAAAACGACCACCCCATAATATATTAGGATCAATCTGAATATTAAGACTGAAAGATTTTTCTTTGCAATGCTTTTAATCTACTGGTTATTTTTATTTTTTGGACAAACGTTTGCCCATAGCACACAAACAAATACGAATCAAAAAGACAACGATGAGCATGTCACGTATATTATGGATACTAATCAATTCTATAATTTTACGAACATCCCAAACTCGTACACTGTGGTCAAGTTCTATACTACATGGTGTTCACATTGTAAAACTTTGAAACCTGTGTTTCAAGATGTTGCTTCAAAATTCCACTCTGAAGTTTCGCCACCAAAGGTTAATTTTATTGAGGTAAATTGTGAAGTATTTGGTAACAATTTATGTTCATCGTTGCCTGGATTTCCTATCATACATGTCATCAAACCTAGTGATGATACTATAAACGCTAACGATAATACAGAGAACCAAAATGATATTTTAAAGAACGAATCTGTATGGAACAGATTACTAAATAAAATATGGACAACGAAGGCAAGTCCTAATACATTTATTGAACCTGCAAGGATTGTACAGTTCCAAGGTAGAAGAGACGCTTCCACTATTGAAAATTTTATAAGAACTATAATCACCAAGGATAATGAGCTCGCTATTATCAAGACAGTACTCGATCCCTCAGCTGATTGTGATGCAATGAACGAACTTTGCCTACTGGGTAAGAACTACCTAGAAGAATTGCAAAAAAACAAAATCTTAAAGAAAACTCTTCAAGGCTACGAATTGGTTAGCAGCAGCAACATCGATGCCGAAAGATCCAAATTAAGCAATATTCTAAGAAATATCAACCTTGATGCCGATAGTAATGATGATGCAGAGACTATCTCAAAAGTGAAAAATTTGAAGTTTCTGTCTGCGTTACTGAACCATTTAGAAGATTCCATGGTGAACCAAACTCGCGATGAGTTGTAGAAATACGCACATCAAAATAATAAGCCTGTAGGGAAAAGTGAAGGAGCCGGGGTGTTACTGTTGCTGCTGCTGATGTTGTTGTTGTTGTTGTTGGTCGGAGGTTAAAAGCAATGTTTACGATATCTTTTTATCCACGGAACTTTATTAATCGTGCGACAAGCAACAAAACTTTTCTCGTCATATTTTTTCCGCTGTAAAACAGGACTACACGGCAAAAAGAGAGAGCGAGCGAGCCTGCTATATTGTTATATAAGGAAGTTATCCCGTTCCGAACGGCCCTCGGGCAATTTCAAAGGGCAAGGGACCGATCGGAACTTAGACGAGTAAAAATGGAATACCAAGAGTTCCGTTAGAAAGTATGGTACTTTTGAGAAAGGAGCATATTTTTTGCAGGTTTTACCATTTTTTTGGTATTTAGTTTATATGTATATAAAGATTCTTTCAATAAACAAGCCTATATACAAATATCTGTGATATTTATCATACAACTTTTTTCCTTTAATTCTTTTTTTTTTTTTTTGGAAAAACAACAGAGATAAATTACTGGAATATCATTTCTCCCCTTTGAATTAGGTCAAAAAACAGCGAGCATTCCTTTGCTTGATATAATCACCAAACAAACGAAACATTCAGAGGTTGAAAATGAGTTTGAATAACGGTCCTTCGAATAAAGGCAATCAACCATTACCCAATATCATGGGTTATATTCAGGCTAATAATTTACCACCTGTTAATCCACGCCACAATATGACGATTAATGGAACTCCCGATATTTTAAATCGTCATCACAATAATAATATTGCTCAAAATCAATCAAATTTTCAGAATCGTCCTTTGCCGGCAATGGGAGATTCATTTATAAGCGATGACACTGAATCAAATAATACTACTACTAAGAAGAATAGTGGTAATTCCGATTGGAAACAGCAGAATCCAATTGTGCCTGTGAAAAGAAGAGTATCAAAAGCTTGCGATCATTGTAGAAAGAGAAAGATTAAATGTGATGATATTGATCCTGTTAGTAATAAATGTTCGAATTGTATGAAATATAATGCAGAATGTACTTTTATTCACCATGACAATCCTCCAAAGAAAAAGAAAAAGAAATCTACTGCTAAAAATGATGATAACAACTCTAATACTACCAATGCTGAGACAACTAATAATCCTTCAAATATAGATTCATTTGTCGCGACTCCTGATATGTTAAGAATGTTCCCTGATAACAACAACAACAATAATGGTAATAACCATCCTTTAAATGTACCTGTGCAAGGGAGCGGTAATTCAAGTGAACCATCAGCGCAACAAATGGCATACAATAGTAGTTTAAGAAGTAGTTCAAATATTATGAAACAAATGAACAACGATTTTCCTAATTTGGCATCACTCTCTCCTGGCAATTCGAATACCAATAATTCTCAGGATAATACCATGAATAGTAGTAACCTAAGAGTAAATGATAAGGGAGTTGGACAGCTCCCATCAAGTAGAGGGCTTGAGGGTAATGAAACTGTCATTAATAGAGTTGAACAAGTTGATAGGAAAGTGTCTATGGTCATCGATACTATGGCTAGATTCGAATGGCTGGTTGATAAACTTTCAAAAAAAGTCGATGATAGATTACCAAAAGCGACAAATGTACAAATGGCAAAACATAAACAATATTTCTCAAAACTTTTAACCACCCAAAAATTGGAATGGGCGAAATCCATTGTCTCTGAGGATGAACCAAACAGTGTATTCTTGGGACCAATTAAGAAATTTATGACTGTTAATTTAAAATGGTACATTTTACAATGTAAACATATGATCGAGTACCCAATGATTTTGAATTTCAGAGATCAAAAAACATTAAACATGCCTTCTAAAGACCACGCGAAGGTCTTGTTAGAGAATTTTAATACTCTAATCAAATATCATTCTAGTATAATGAGTGAGGATGAAATATTAAAATTATACGAAAAATATTATGAAAATGATCCTAGTACGTTATCATATGGAGAACATCTTGTCCTAAATATTAGCATGGCAATAAGCGCAAACGTTTCTATCTGTGATGGGCATGAATTCTTCAAAGAAGATCCTGAAAATGAACCAACTTTACAAGAATTACATAATATTGAAAAGATGACATTCGAGAATGCAATGTACTACTACCATAAACTTGTTTTATTTTCCGCTGGAGCAACAGCAATTACAGGCTTACTATTACTGTTCCACTATTTGAACTTTAATTTTAACTCCGAATTTGCCATAGATACATTATCATTGGCTATCAGATATGCCTACGATATGAATCTTAATATGAACTTCCACTATAAATCGTTGGCACCAGGTGACGTCATAAAGCATAGAGCCCTTTGGTGGTATTGTTTCTATTTTGATAAAATGATTTCATTAATGCTATCCAAACCACCTCTAATCAAAGAACATGACATGGATATTTTAGCAAATGATGTCTATTTCGAGTCCATCAAGTATTATCAATTACCAAAACATTTTAAAAATAACCCCGGTGAAATTGATAAGATCACTAATTTAAATGATGCTTTATCAGCTATAATCAATTATAGTGAACATTTCCCATTCTTCGTGTCGTTTTATTCAACAAAACTAATTTCCATCGAGAGTCAAATAGGATCTGTATGCTTTTCTATCAGAAACACTATTGATTATTCATTTGATGATATAGTCCAGAAAGTTTTGGATATCAGGACAGATCTTACGACCTGGAAGGAAAGTTTACATCCATCAATGAGATTAGAAAGTTATAATCAATATTTAAAGATGTTGTATGCTCAATCGCCCTCAAAAAGTTCGAAGCTTGGTTTAGAAGTTTCTTGCTCCCAAGTTATAAAATGCCATCTACATTATTTATACTTGGATCTCACACTTAGCTGCTTTGCAGTTGCTTTCCTGTTGGACAATACTAATCTATTTACTACGTCGTTGCAACCGTTGCCAGAGACATTCCATTCATTTTGCAGGCAAATTAAAATAGATTGTGTTCAAATCTGTAAAATTTTCCAAAAAGTGCCCTTCAAGCCATATCTTTACCCAGAACTGCTACATTATGTTATGACAGGTATTTACTCTCTTATATTCCATGTCATAAAATATATGGACGATCCAAAGGAAATTGATATTCCAAAATTAATTTCATTATTAGTTAGCGCACATAATCATGTTGTTGGTGAAAATTATACCAAAGTTCCAACTACGAATGTTAAAGTTAATGCATCCATTTTTTACTTTACTTTCTTACTGAAGTATATAATTAAACATTACAATAGTAAAGTGCGTAATAGAGATGAAGAGGAATTTGAGTACTCAAAATATGATGACTTATTGATGAAGCTTACCGAAAATATACAAGATAGGAAGACTGAAACAATAAAATCTATTATTCAACAAGTACGTGGTAATGGCGAAGATGAAGAAAATAGATGGTCGCAATTTAGACTTAGTGATGACAAGATAGTCGTCGATCCTACTTTACCACCGATTGAAGTTAATATATTCGGGATGTTCAGTAAATTTACTCCGCATTTATTGCAACTGTTGGACTCTCCCGCCACCTTTGAGTCAGTGTTTAATGACAGAGAAATAGAAACTCCAAACGATCCGTCATTATACACTTCTATAAAGCTACCACCTACACTGCTATTTTCTATACACGCCAATGGTGATATTGACGAAGGATACAAGCAAGAACAGTTAAGGAAATTAGGTGACACGAAAAATACATTTGGTTTCAGCAGTCAATTACCTCTTGGATCATTGCTCTTTGACAGAGATTTCTTATTCATTAAATACCTGAACCAGGAGAGGAAATATAAGATTTCGTATTGAGTGAACTGAGTGAGGGGGATTAACCCTCCTATTTCATCTTAGTTGTAATTATATATTAATATATTTAAAATGAAAATACATATCTCTAAATTAGTGCTTTCATAAGAATAATTCTTTCAAATAATTCATGTATTTGTGGTCAACATTTTGATCATTTTTAATTATTGTCTTGATCAGTTCTTCCACTTTATCTCTACACACTTCTTCAGTCAATTTTGATGAATCAGTAAGACCCTCTTTTTTTGCATCTGCGACCCAGGTCTTTAATATTTTTCTTAACTCTCTATTACCTTCGTTAATTTCGGAAATGCTTAATTTAGCCTTTTTGATATTTACTTCATCTTCCTTTAGACTTTCCAGTTCAACAGCTTTCCGTTTAGCCATTTTTATAATCTTTTGGGGGAACTTCACGACTTCGGCAACATGAATACCGAAGGACTGATCAGAAATACCTGGTTCAACTCTATACAATAATGTGATTTCATCCTTATCTAAATTGACATTTTCCTTATCTTCAATATGCGCAACCACATTTAAATTCTTAACATTAGGTAGTTCTTCTGATAGGGTTGTTAATTCATGAAAATGAGTAGCAAAAAGTGTAAAACAGCCAATATTTTTGGCAATATGTTCCGCAATGGACCAAGCAAGCCCAAACCCATCGTAGGTGCTTGTACCTCTCCCTAATTCATCAACAATAATCAGAGAGTTTCTGCTAGCATTTTTTAGAATGGAAGCTGTCTCTAACATTTCAACCATGAATGTCGAGACACCCTTCAATTGAGAATCACCAGCACCAACTCTACACAAAATTGCATCGACAATGGCAATATCTGCTTCATCACATGGAACAAAACAACCAATTTGGGCCAGAAGGGAGATTACGCCCACTTGTCTAATATAAGTCGATTTACCACCCATATTTGGACCAGTGATGATAAGGAAATCTGCACTCCCCTTTTCAAGATGAACATCGTTAGAAATAAAGGTAAGATCATCCTGCATTTCCAAGACAGGATGCCTAGAACCCACTAATTTAGTTTTTCTTTCAGAATCCATTGAATGCATAGTAGGTCTAACATATGGTATTGGTGCATATGATGAAATGTGTGCAAACGACACAATAACATCAAGGTGAGCTAACACCAATGCCAATTTCTCCATGACTGGAGTATATGTAACGGTAATATTGACAATTTCCTTAACCAGGGAGGATTGTTGTTTTTCATATTCCTTCTCCAATGCAAATGTATTTTTTGCAATCTCTTTTAACTCTCTGGTGCTAAAGAAGATACCAGCTTTAACAGTTGACAGCTCGACGTATTCCTTATGTTTACGTAGTTCTTTAGCATCATTACGTGTTAATCTCATACACCAACCATGAAGATGATGATTTTCTAATTTAAGTTTCTTATCTGGGTCAAATCCCAAGTTATCAGCGGCTTCTAAATGGATTTCTTTAATTTTATCCTTAGCGTCATCGAGTTTGGTTTTAATGTCTGCCAAATCTTCATTAAACTCCACTCTAATCATAAACTCGTTATTTTCTTCATATGCATCAAGATCTACAGTTGTCTCAACCATTTCTTGTAGCTTAGATAGAGGTTCCAGATGATTAGTTAATGGTTCCACCCAACTTTCATTTATTAGTTTACGTAGGTCATCACTCATATCGCTATTATCATCCAGGTGTGATTGCAACAATTGACTGATATCGGGTATTCTTCTGGTGAATTGATAGATTTTTAAAACATCCTCTAAATTACCATTCTTATTCAATTTCTTAGTTAAGTTACGAACATCTGGAATTAATGGTAAAAAATCTGTCTGAAGGATTTGCCTTAGTTCCAGCTGATCGACCATGCACTCCACTAAATCATGTCTTTTATGAATATTATCGATATTGGTTAATGGTTGCTTCAACCATTCGTTCAATAATCTCACACCAGCATTTGTTTTACAATTATTCAATAATTGAAACAATGATGTTATTTTACCCTTAGATGACGTATTAAAGATACTTGATGCTGAAGATGGGCCAAATGGTTGTACTGGTCCCTGGGTGTAAACATTCAATGCTTTGATAGCACTCGCATCCAACTTCATAAATTCTTTTAATGAATGTTCGGTTAGTTCGAAATTCCCTAGATATTCTTGATTATTCAATAATTGTAAATAGTTTAAAAGAGCATGACAGGCACCCATTGCTAAGTTTGAATACTTTTGTGGTAAAGACAATGCTAGCTCATTATCAATAAGTTTTGCTAAATCTAGTTCGACATCCTTTTCTTGGAATTGTGAGCTTTTAACCAACGTAACAACACAATCACAACGATCTATAACCCCGGTGATCTTTTTCATTTCATTCTTAGATGATTCGATATTGCTCAGATCTTGTACTAGACATTCTTTAACACCCAATTGAATTAAAAAACTCTCTAAATTCGAATAAACTTCATTGTCAACGATATCTAGCATCCCGATTTTTAATGTGGTTGTGTCTACAAATGCAATACCAAGTGTACTATTACCATCCTTTGAATTCAATTGTATTTTCAAACTTGCAATGACGATAGATGTATTAATAGCAATATTCAATAAATCGCTGACCTGTTCAATATTACCAGGCGAAGCATTTTTCAATAATTTCCAGTTTTTATCGTAGATTTCTACCTTATAACCAATATCTAATAAACAATGTTTTAATAAATTGGCCAGAATCTGGGACGAAATTGTTACATATTGGCAAGGCTCTGTAAAACTCTTAGCTGTCAATTGGTCAACATTACAATTTTTCAATACAGAACTGGTGTGATAGATAGATTCTGCAACAAAGACAGCATCGTTACCGACTACAGTGAAATAGTCTCCTCTATCAACAACACGTACTGTAGATGTAGGCTTGTCTGGTAATGAAACAAACTTTCTGTAAAACCCTCTTTCTTCTGAAACGTCAGAGAATTTCAATTCAGGCCTGGTGGCGGACATATCGTTAATAATATAAGATGTCTCTTGTTGGATGACTATTCTTAACTAGCTATTAATAAATAAAAACTAAGATTTAATTAGGTAATGTGCTGGGATTCGCTCAAACAGTTGTGTCTCTGTTATATATTCACCCATCTGTTAATTGTATTTTTCAAATTTTGATTCAGACTAATTTCGCGTCTCCATAAATAAATTTAATTTGTGATGAACGCGTATTTACGTAAAGTGAAAATATGACAGAAAGAGAGAACCTCATCGATCCAGATGGTTCAAGCAGCAGGTGAAGAGTATTGGGCAATATTGTTTTATAATACGGCTGTTTCTTACATTGAGTTGACAGGTGAACTGGTTATATGCCCAATTAAGTCATATAGACAATAGTGTATTATTAGTAATTTTTACAATACTTTGTAGCATTTTATATAGAATACTTAGTCTTCCTTTATTTTTTGTTCAAATGAATTTCTGTTGTGCTGCGAATGTGAACTTCTCTGTTGTTTTTTTCTCCTTTTTAATTTCTTAATATAATGAGTTAGCTCATTGATATATTCTACTTGATCATTACATTTTCTATCTAGACTCTCTAACTGAGAACTGAGAATGTTATTTGTGCCAATTGTCTGAACAAATTGAGATATTAATTGATCCATGAACTTATTCGTTGCTACTTCTTGATAGAATTCATGAAGTTGGGTTTCGATTTTCTCAAAATGGTCAGTAAATTGGAAGTCAGTAAAACTAGATAGAAATTCTATATTAAGTTTACTCGTTAGAGATTCTAGAAGTATATTGTACTCGAACATTACATTTTTATCGACATAATTGCTAAAAGAATTCATAAATTGTGACATAAATTGTAATGATTCATTTTTCTGGCAATCTAAAAGTTGAATTTGACTACCTAATATTTTCTTTTCTTTTCGCAATCCGATCACCTTTTCCCTTTCCTCATTATACATATCAACTGTTCCCATATAACGTTCTTGCAACAATTCTCCTCTTCCTTTATATTCTTCGATACATTGTTCTAATTTGAAGATAACTTTTTGAAACTGAGATTTTATTGCCTCATAAGTTTTATCTTCTAATTCATCTTTAGAATTTTGAACTTCCATTTTTAATGTGCGACACATTTCCTTTAAACCTGTATTTTCATTATATAACGAAGCAATCTTAGTCTTTAGCAATGAATGAGTTTCTAAAATATTAAAAAGAGTCTTTAGTTTTTCTGTATCTGAAACATCTTTTTTTGTTGATGGTTCAGTCAGTTCAAACAATTCATTAATCTGATCTTTCTTAGATTTATACTTTTCAAGCAAGGTATCTCGATTTTGAAGTTCTGTTCTCATCCCTTCTTTCTTGACGACTAATTCTTTTTCAACGATATATAGCCTTTTAGTAAGCTCCTCTTTGGCAATTGAAGCTTTATAGACTTCATTTTTTAATGTGCTTACATTCTCAAGGGTGCTACTTGCTTCTAATAAAATTTGATCTAAAAGTGTCGCCATGTTTGAATTTACTTCAATAGTCATTATTTGCTGACTTGGTGACGTAGTCTCCTCTATCCCAAATTTTCTACAAATACCTTGAATTTTACCGCATATTTCTTTCTGATAGTGAGTATCTAAAGTATTGGTATCGTAAGTGGCTTTCCCTAGGAGTTTCGCATTACTCTCATTTTCTTGTGGTGTTAAGGGAGATTCAGTAAATAAGAAACTCCCCCGTCCTTCAACAATACTACGTTCGTCTCCCATATTGAATGAAGTATTAGAATGCGATGAATCTGATGGTTTACGAACTTCATTATATTTTGCAAACATATTTTGATATCTTTCTTCATTTTTCGAACTTTTGATTGGGGGATCATCTTTTAAAATGTCAAGGTAAGGAAAAGTTTCTGTGTGGAAATTTATAGGAGTACTAGATTTCAATTGATCTGGTTCAAGTTGTGACTCTTTCTCCAAACTTTCATCATTCAAAAAATTATTTCTCTCTGTTACGTCTGAAGTGGACTTGTGTGGTTTACTTTTAAATTTTTCCTTAAGGTGGGAAAGCACTCTACGTACTAAACGTTTCTTCTCAGAGTTAGTTCCAGAAACATTTTCAAGGCCAGATAAACCAAAACTCGAAGATCCAAATGAACTGGCAAAACTTTTACTATCCTGTTGGTCTGATGATGATTCTTCATAATCTGTGTTAATCTCATAGTCAGATTCTTTAGGTAATATCACACCTGAAGGCTCTATATTATTGTCGGTATCTGACGAAATTACATCAATCATTTCTTTAACTTGGGACGACATATTCTATCAAAGAAAAGAAGATGTGCGTTTGGATATTTTTTGATGTAATCTTAGCTGCTGTGTCCTTTCTTTTGTATTCACACTCTTCTATAGTGATTTTTTATTTATTTTTAATTGTTGTAATAATTTTTGAATTACTGACACAAATAATTGACGCCGCAATAATATTGCATCAGCGTAGATAAAGGGAAAATACATAAATAAAAAAGTATAGTAAGGTTGACGGTTATGATTTTAATGAATAAATATATGGATAAGGATGATAATATATGTATATACTTAATAGTTCCTTCTTAAATAAAAATTCCGTAGTAGATTGAATGACTTGTATGTTTTTTTAATTTTGTTATTCCCTTCTTACACAGGAGAGTCTAATGATATAGATTTCCCTACACCATATGCAAAAAATTGGCCAAAGATAACGAAATCCATGACCAAAGTACCTGAACTACCTAGCAACCAGGATGCATTCACCATAAGGTATGTAGGATCCGAAGAGATGACAAGGACAGATAGAATAAAGGTAATATTACCAATACATGCAAACAAAAAAAACAGGAAAGAAATACCTTCACATGATTTTCTCTTGAAATTTAATAAAATTTGTGGAATTCTTGAACCTAAATATAATGCAGCACTCAAATATCCAAACATCTGTGCAAGTACATTGACTGTAACAGGAGTAGGTTCCGACGGTATCTTAGGTTCGTTATCACCATGAGACATTCTACTACAATAGGTGACATACCATGATATAAATCCAGCTAGCACGACGCATACTACTATAAAACAATTGTAAAGTTTATTAGATTGAGATAATAATTCTTCTTGCTCTTCTTCAATTTCTATTAACGTATCAATGGCTTGAGTTCTTGATTCCTCATTTACATCTAAAAGACTATTAGCTTGACCATTCGATAGAAGTGGTTGGCGTTCATTGAAGACATCCTGCAATACGTTTTCATTCATTGGATTTGCAGGAGATAAATGAATTGGGTCAACTTTTTTTTCATTGTCATACCATAGGCATTGCGCCCATAGAATAATATCTGCAACAGTATAATAAGCTGCTAATACTATCATCGTAGGTAGCAAATGTTGCATCATTGCACCAAGTAAGTTAAAGACATCACCTGCCAGCCAAAGGACCACAAACAGTAAGGATAGACCCTCAGCAGATTTTCTATAAAAGTTTTCATATATTTGCGGTACGAACACTATAACCCAACATGCGATCGATATGGAGCCAAAGATACCGCTCAGGTTTTCTGGATTAAACTCTATGGGTACGAATTGCATTGTTTCTTGTTCTTCTGGTATGAATATGAATGTAGATATGAATAATATATAACCTATATTTTAATTAGGTATTTGTTACAGTTTTTCTTAAAGGGGACAAAACCTGAAAATACCAAATCGGCGAATGATGATGGGAGTGTATTGAACAGCTTCTTATATATAGACTTATAATTGTAAGAACAGCTTCAAAATGTAGTCACTCACAGGGTAGTAATACTAATTAAGCCACCCAGTCACTTTACCAGTTCACGTTAACCTTGACTCATTCATTCACTTAGAAATGTTTCATTCCTTTCTTCACTTTTTGCCATTTGAAAAATATTTTTTCTTCCAGTGAAAAAATTCCCAGCGGAATTAAGAAAGCTGCGCGATCAAAGGTCAGCAGCAGCAACGGAAACAAGAGCGATGGGGATTTCCCATGGATTGTTTTCCAAATCAACCATTCGATGCATAAGGAAACTGATTCTATGGTTGCGTAATCTATACTACACATTTTGATATGTTTTTACATTTTTATATATTGCGGGTGAATGTCTATGACATCTTATATATCTTTTTTGAGGGACTGTTCACCCATCCTGGCAGCGGCTGGGATTTCTCTGTGTTCATCGTCAGACTCCGACCCACTATCTGGCAACTCACTCAAGGATGGAAGACCAATTTTTCTGGCAGGTAAGACATTTTCAAACGCTTCCTTCCAGTCGTGTGTATCGTAATATTTTAACATCAATTGTACGACATGTGTTGTGGTGAGCACTTGTCTACCGTCAATCTTAATAAATTCATCGATGGGGAGCTTCTTGACTGGGATTCCCAAATTTTTTGCTTTATTTAAGCATAATTCTTTGTGTCTATTTTTATCAACAATACCACCTACAATGTAAGTCATTCCAGGTTCAATGGTATCCAAAGTTTCTTCTGTATCAGCTGTTAAATATACCATCTTATTTTTATCACCTTCGGTGATCAATGTTTCATCTGCTACGAATTTAAAATTTGGCCATGTTTCATGTAAACTATCGACTAATCCCACTTTAAATCTTTCTTCTAGTCTCTTATTGAAACTTGTCACAGTCATCTCCGCATAATGGTCAGCTCTTCTGTTAGCTGCATATGCTCTTGTCAATTGGTTAGATAAACTTAAGATTTCTTTTTCATTCATTAGATCATCAAATCCACAATCCAATAATATTGAAAATCCAGCTGCAGTTTGGTTAACATTTTTTCTTGGGGGACGAATATATTCTGCTGGGATCTCTTCACCACGGTCCTTGAAACCTTGAATAATACTTCTTCTATTTTGTTTTTGTCTCTTACGTTTCTCACGGCGTTTTTGAGCATATTCTTCCTTATGTTCAACAAATTGTTGCCTTCTCCATATCTTCTTCCATTTGGACTTAGACATTCCTTCAGGTGGAGGTGGTGCATCATCACCTATTCTCTTTTTAAATTTTGGTCTATCATCACCAACTGAATCAGTAGCTTCGCTCGAGGACTCTATTGGAGTTGCTGCCGCAATAGCAATATCAGCTACAGCAACCACAGGAATTTTGGAATCAACTTCTTCCGACATCTTATTCACAGCACACTATCAGTTGAATCTGGTTTCGCAATCTGCTTGATTTAATCATTTGATCACAAATCATGAAATCGATGAGCTTCAAAATTCATTTCAAAAAGTTTTTTTTTTAACATTTTTATGACTGACATTGAAATTTTTCAGTGTGCGGTCACGTGCATATTTCTTTTTCAATTTTTCAATGAGACTGAATTTTTCATTTGGCGTTCCCTTTCCTATATAATTATTAATTTTCAATTAGTTTCGTGATCTGATTGAAGTGATCTATGAAATCAAAGAAAAGTATAAAACAATTGTTTTTGACTGTTTTTTTTGTTTTTGGAATACTGGAATTGTTCAACGGCCAAGCATATTTGACCAAAATATTTTATTATTTGACGACTGTCCCGGCACCTTTTTATTATTATTGTTATTTGTTTAAATTGATGTCGAAACCAACGTTGAAATTAGAACTACCCTGGGTTGAAAAATACCGTCCTCATTTATTAAAGGACATTGTAGGTAATGAAGAGACAGTAGAGAGGTTAAAACAAATTGCCCTGGATGGTAATATGCCAAATATGATTATATCTGGTATGCCAGGTATTGGTAAGACAACTTCAGTTTTATGTCTTGCACATGAATTATTAGGTGAATCTTATTCTGAAGCTGTCCTGGAATTGAATGCAAGTGATGATAGAGGTATTGATGTTGTTAGAAACCAAATTAAACATTTTGCTCAAAAAAAATGTAGTCTCCCACAGGGGAAACATAAGATTGTAATTTTAGATGAAGCAGATTCAATGACAGCAGGTGCACAACAAGCTTTAAGAAGAACAATGGAATTATATTCTAACTCGACGCGTTTTGCATTTGCTTGTAATCAATCTAATAAGATTATTGAACCACTACAAAGTAGATGTGCAATTTTACGTTATTCAAAACTATCTGATGAACAAGTGTTGAAAAGATTACTAGAGATTATAAAAGCAGAAGATGTCAAATATACAAATGATGGTTTAGAGGCAATTATATTCACCGCTGAAGGTGATATGAGACAAGCACTTAACAATTTACAAAGTTGTGTTGCTGGTCATGGTTTGGTAAATGGTACAAATGTTTTCAAGATCGTTGATTCGCCTCATCCTTTAGTAGTTAAGAAGATGTTGATGGCTCCAACTCTTGATCAATCTATCACACATTTAAGAGACGACCTATGGGGGAAAGGTTACTCTGCTGTTGATATTGTAACAACATCCTTCAGAGTAACAAAAACGTTATATGAATTGAAAGAACCAAAAAGACTGGAGACGATAAAAGAAATTGGTATAACGCATATGAGAATTTTGGAAGGTGTCGGTACATACTTACAATTAGCAAGTATGTTGGCCAAGATTCATAAACTTAACGCATAAGATTCTTAAATTTTATATGTAAATAAATATATTTAATTCACATACAAGTCAAAGTTTAAAATATTAATGTATATGTAAAAGACATTCCAAAGTATTGTTGGAAACTTATATCATTTTATCGAAAGTTTGTGATACATCACATTTACCTCAAAATAATGTAAAAAAAGTTATATTAATTTTAAAGAATGACATATTTTTTTAGAAATCGCTTATTAAAAGTAAAAACCTCATTTGTTTAAAGAGTTTGAGAAAAGCATACTAAGAGAAACCTATCTAGACATTGATTAGAGAGTTGAAATCCGGATGGATAGTGAATTGACACCGTCACAATGTGCGGTTTTAGAATACCCTTATTTTCCAGCTAATACTGTTAAAATTATAGCTGGGCCAGGATCTGGTAAGACTTTCACGTTATTGCAGAAAGTTCATCACTTAATTACAACACAACAGGTTAAACAGGATGAAATTCTAATATTATCGCTAACTAACAAAGCTGTCGATAATATCAAAGCCAAACTAATTGGAACCTTTGAGAAACTGAATAAATCGGGGACCTTACAGGATGATCTTCAGAAAGTTGTGGATCAGATTGATGTCTTTACAATTCATGGATTAGCAAATAAATTAGTCGTTGAGCATGAAGGAATTATAAATATCATTGAAGAAAATGGGTGGAAGGGACTATTAAAATTAGTCTCTTCAGAGTTTTGGAGTCGGCTCAAAATTTCGTCACCAACATCTAAAAATTTAGAAATGTTATTGAAGGCATATAAGCAGAAGACCAATAAGGGAGAATCAAATAGTACTTTATTAAATATTATAGATATTATGGAAAGTTGCAAAGTCTTAACCAACGACGACTTGATTTTGAAGGCCTCAAAGTACCTTTCACTAACTACAGTTCCAAATGAACAAAGTGAGTTTTTAAATAAAATTAAAAATAAATATAAGGTGGTATTAATCGATGAATTTCAGGACCTGTACCCTATTTTGCTACCATTAATAAAAGAAGTGTCCTTTGGGAAACAACTGATAATGTTTGGTGATAGCAACCAAAGCATTTATGATTTTTTAGGGTCCAATCAAGAAGTCATGAGAGAACTTGATAAATTACATATTGCCGATGTATCCAAGACTTTACATCTATATGATAATTTCAGATCTACTCCCGAAATAATATCAGCCTCTAAGCTCGTTTTACCACATCATATAAATACAACAGAACGAGAAGATTTGGTAATGAAGTCGCCCTGTTTCCTAAAACCTCAAATTTATCAATTCAATGATAATATGGATCAAATGGAATTTATCGTAAGTGAAATTGCCAAATTGGCCACAGCAAATGTGAAATTATCTGATATTGCAATTTTGTCAAGAACTAACAATCATTTGAATGTAGTCGCTGAATATTTTCGAAATTACCAGATCCCTTATAATAAAATGATAACCCAACCAGATTGGTTGATGGATACACGTATACAATTCCTAATCGATCTCATTAAAGTTGTTGTGTTTGCTCACAAAAGTTCCCAATCTATTGATGATGAAGTTAGTGCAGTACATAGGAAGAGTGATTTCAGTGTACTCATAACATTGAGCGCATTAAAGGGTATCGGTTCAAAATCCATCCAAACATTATATGCTGCTGCCATAAAAGAAAGATTACCCTTATGGGATTATATATTGACTGTCCCTCAATCTCAATGGCAGAGTGGAATATCTAATAAAAATAAAATAGTGGATTATACCAACAAAGTATCGAAATTGGTTGCTGATAATACATTATGGAGTGCACAATCACCATTAGATATTATGGAAATTATAAGTTCCGTGGCGATGGATCTTGACTATACACCATTGAAAAATATGTCAATAACGGATAGTAAACAATTCAAACGTCACTTGGAAGATATGTTCCAAGTAATGAAGCTTTGTTTATTGAATAAACCACATGATTTGACATTGGTAGAATGGTTTATTGAGTCCTTCTTTGAAAAATGTGCAGAACAACATCAAAATTCGTTAAAAACACCCTCCTATGGTTCTGGAAATATTAATCTGTCAACGATTCATTCTGCCAAAGGTTTAGAGTACCCTGTCGTGATGCTGTTGAATTCTACCACAGATACATTCAGTATAGAGTCTAGTACATTATACGTAGGGGTAACAAGGGCAAGAAATTTACTTTATATGATTAACATAAATCATAGAAAATTTAACAAACAATGGAAGGATCCCAATTTATTTCAAAACCAACAATTCTGGAAGTACTACAACAATGATCTCAACCGTCCTACAACCAGTGTTCCTGGCATATTAGCGAGCAACTCATCCAGATATCTCAGTTTAAGTAACAAGTATGGATTGAGAACTTATAGTACATACTCTCATTGTATCAATAGATCGTTGTTTAAAGCCTTGAGATATCGTTTATAGATGTAAATAAATACGAACTAAATATTGCAGAATCATCATATATTCTTTATTATTGTTCTTATGCGGAAAAGAGTTCCCGATGGGACCCCCAAAAAAGGGACATTTCTTTATTGAACGGGATATATAAGACAACACTACTTGACAGCAAATGGGGTTGAACAAGCATTTTCGAAGGAGGTAACAGTGTTATCCATTACAAATAGTTTGATTGGTTTAGCTCCTAATTGAGTAAACTATGAGTAGCATAATAATAAGAAATCAACCAGTCAATAGGCAGTTTCAGCATGTCGCAAGGAGTCTGCCGCAATGGTTTATTAGACACAAATCTACAGCCGCCTCACCAGAAGAAATCAAACATTTCCAAGAGCTGGCTCCTACATGGTGGGACACGAATGGTTCTCAAAGAATACTTCACAAGATGAATCTAGCAAGATTAGACTTTATCAGAAACACATTGAATAAAACAGTCAAAATTACGGATCCTAATACGTTTATACCAGGTTATAACTACAAGGAATTCTTGCCAGAAAGTATATCACATACAATTGCGAAGGAATGGAATCAGTCTCTGACCAAAGAATTAGAAAAAAGACAGTATAATGTACTGGATATCGGCTGTGGTGGTGGTATCCTTTCTGAATCGATGGCAAGACAACCGTTTGTGAAACAAGTACTTGGAATTGACTTAACTCCAGATTGTATATCTGTTGCCAAAATGCATGCTAAATCAGACCCTGAGTTAAAAGGGAAAGTAGAATATCGCGAAGTTGCACTGGAGGACTTAAAACAGAAGGACTACGATATCATTACTTGTTTTGAAATGTTGGAGCATGTAGATAGACCAGGCGATATCCTCGAACAAGCGTGGAGAAGATTAAAACCTGATGGCCTGTTATTCCTGAGTACTATTAATAGGGATCTTATTTCCTGGTTTACCACTATATTTATGGGAGAAACAGTTTTGAAGATTGTACCATCGGGGACCCATCATTTGAGTAAATATATCAATTCGTCGGAAATAGAAGAATGGTTTCAAGAGAAACATCCTCGAGACCATAAATTATTGGATTTAAAAGGTACGATGTATGTCCCTACACAAGGTTGGGTAGAGCACGATTGCGCCAGAATCGGTAACTACTTCATGGCTGTCAAGAAACTCCATTAGATGATCAAGACTTGTAGAGAAGAAAGGAACCATTGCTCCCCTGTATATAGGCATATATCTCATTCCACATAAGTAGTTCTACGAATTCAATAGCTATAATATGACTAATATCAATTATTAACAACAAGAACATTGTCCACCCCCTCCCATATTTTTTCTTTTATCATCTACTATTCATCGATCAGTCATCAGACTCAGTCTTTTGAAGTTGATGGCTAATTAAAGAGTTATAGCAAGGCAGCAATAAAATAATGAAAAATTTCGATAAAATACTGAGAAAAGCCCGCAGGGAGAGAACTGGAATTTTCTGTGAAAATAAAAAAAAAATGAAAAAAGTTGAAACTTTTCAGCTTTGCAAATTTCCTATCAATCTTATAAAACAAAGATTATGACATATTTTCTTTGGACTTTTCATCGGTAATTAAAACCTTTACTATTTTTTATTCGTTTTTATTAAAAGAAAATTCACTCATATATCAGATTTACAAATCACATTATGGTTGAGGAATCTGTGAAACAAGTTGCTGAGCAACTTGCCAAGGTTGATCCAAACGTCGAAAAGGAACAAGTTATCACTCCATGGGATGTTGAAGGTGCTGTTGATGACAAAGGTGTCGCACAATCGATTGATTACGATAAGTTAATTTCCAAATTTGGTACCAAATCTGTCAATCAAGAAACCTTGGACAGATTTGAAAGGGTTACTGGTCATAAACCACACCATTTTCTACGTAAAGGCTATTTTTTCAGTGAACGTGACTTTAACAAGATTTTAGATCTGTATGAACAAGGTAAACCATTTTTCTTATATACTGGTAGAGGTCCATCGAGTGGCTCTATGCATATGGGTCATATGATTCCATTTTTGTTTACCAAATGGTTACAAGAAGTGTTCGATGTTCCTTTGGTTATTGAATTAACCGATGATGAAAAATTTTTGTTTAAGCCTAAATTGACTATTGATGACGTTAAAAAGTTTGCTAAAGAAAATGCTAAAGATATTGTTGCTGTTGGTTTCAACCCAGAGAATACTTTCATTTTCTCTGATTTACAATACATGGGTGGTGGATTTTATGAAACAGTTGTTCGTGTCTCTAGACAAATTACCGGTTCTACAGCCAAGGCTGTCTTTGGTTTCACTGACTCTGATTGTATTGGTAAATTCCATTTTGCCTCTATCCAAATTGCCACAGCATTCCCAAGTTCATTCCCTGAAGTATTGGGTTTACCACCAAAGACTCCATGTTTAATTCCATGTGCCATTGATCAAGATCCATATTTCAGAGTCTGCAGAGATGTTGCCGAAAAATTGAAATACAGTAAGCCTGCTTTGATTCATTCCAAGTTCTTCCCAGCTTTGCAAGGTTCTTCTACCAAGATGTCTGCCTCTGATGACACATCTGCTATTTTTGTCACTGATACTCCAAAGCAAATACAAAAGAAAATTAACAAATATGCTTTCAGTGGTGGTAAAGTTACTTTAGAGGAACACAGAAAATACGGTGGTGACCCAGATATTGATGTTGCTTACCAATACCTAAATTTCTTTAAAGATGATGATGAATTCTTGAAGGATTGTTACAACAAATATAAGTCTGGTGAACTATTATCCGGTGAAATGAAGAAATTATGTATAGATGTCTTACAAGAATTCGTTAAGGCATTCCAAGAACGTAGAGCTAAGGTTGACGATGAGACACTAGAAAAATTCATGAAACCACACAAACTTGTCGGTGGTCAAAAGGAAAGATTAGTTCCAATTAAGCCAAAGGAAGCTAAAGCTAAAAAATGAAGAAATTTGTGAGATATATATATAGCTTTTTGTTTTCTACATAAGTTGTAATATAGATATATATTTATATGAGTGTGTATGATAGATAGATATGAGTTTTACTTAAAATTCGAATCCTATAATTCTTATTTAATTGAAAGATATTTTACAAGATCTTCGATTGAAACCAATGGGATATTATGTTTCTTACTGAACTCCTCGCAATCTTTCAATCTCATCATAGAGCCATCTTCATCCTTAACAAGTTCTCCAATGACTGCAACAGGTGGCAACCCACTTAATTTACAAAGATCAACAGCTGCCTCAGTATGACCTCTTCTTTGTAAGACACCTTTGTCAGCACTTCTCAAGGGACAAATATGACCAGGTTTTAAGAAGTTTATTGGCTTATTGGCTGGATCGGCTAATGCTTTACAGGTCAAGGCTCTATCATGAGCCGAAATCCCTGTAGTGGTGTTTTCTGCAACGTCGCATGTAATTGTGTAAGCTGTACCGTGTCTATCATCTGCATTAGATAAACATTTAATATTTTGTCTCATCAATGGTAGGTCTAATCTGTCCGCATATTCATTTGACATTGGTGCACATATGTAACCTGAAGAATAGCGTACTAAGAAAGCCATTTGACTTGAGGTAATATTTTCAGCCGCCACTATTAAATCTCCTTCATTCTCTCTCGAGTCATCATCCATAACAATAACAAATTTATTTTGTTTGAAATGTTCGATGACGTCTTCGATTGGTGTAAATGACATTAATAATTGGTAATAGTTTATATTTTAGCAAGGTGGTATATATTACAGGTAAGGGTAGCTTCAAACAATAATGAAAAGATATATTTCTGCCTTTTCAGTGCTTATATACAATTTTATAAAGACGTAAGTAGAACAACTGATTTGCTTCCATGGCGACCTGAAATATTATTCAGTTATTACTAAAAAGAGTATACAGTAACAACACGCAGTCGTTTAATTAATGTGGGGGGAGGGAGGGGAGCCATTGTTTCGATATAACTTAAGGAACGGTTTGAACTACTGATTTACATAAGGCCTCTTACCTTATATCCGGTTTCTTGTCTAGTGTTTGTCTCTTTCACCTGTCATGTTTATTTCCTTTCATAGTCTGCTAAACCCCGGAGACGCTAGAAAACCTGACTGTTATCTCCGCTTGCAAGCAATAATAGTATCAACAGTGAATTGAAGAACCCCCCGTGTTAATCAGTGGCAAACACTCAAGGTGTTCAGCATCCTCAACCAAATCTAATGATATAACCTCGAATACCACGATGATCATAATCTTGTCCATGAGAGAGAGTGCAGCACTCTGAGCCCTAACCATTTTTATTACCAATTCTGTCAGTAATTAGGGTTATCACCAGTTAGGGCTTGCAGGCAGCCTGAAAATTTTTCACGATTTTTTTGATTCGTTTTCGTATTTAAAGTGAAGGGAATTTGAAGAACTTTCATAGAGATGAATATCTGTTCATGGTAAATGATGGCAACAAAAAAGAAGGCTAAGGAATGTCAGTAGACATCCGGTGTGCATTGTATTAGATTACAAGACATCTGAAAATGATGATATAAACTACGAATTTTTAGACGTTAGACTTCTGATGTGTTACCGTAAGGTAGCCCAAGGAAGAAAACCGTATAGATATCTGATTTTTAGCTTTTCCACTTAACGTATATTATATATACTTATATCTTATATATTGTATATTGTTATTTCTTGTAGGGGGCATGGTGAAATATATTGATATATATAGTATTATGTAATTGTAACTCTCTTATAAACTTGATTGCCTTAAGTGATTTCGGTGGTCCCGGTACCAAAATAAACGGTTTTGCCCTCATCGAAACCGATTTTTTTTTTTTATTTTGGCTTTTGGTTTTTGGGTTTTTGTTTGATTTTGACATGCTAGCCCTTTTTAAACAAACATTTGGAGTAAAAGAATTACTGTTTTGTTCAAGTATTACAATTATCAGTATCTAATTAACTTGATTGTTGATTAGTAGACCTCAATTGCAGTAAATTGATTCACAACTAGATAAAACGATACAGTTGAAAATGGAATTTAAACGATTAACTTCCTTTAAATTGGAATATGCTCCACAATACCACATTACTAAATACATATCTCCAAGGACTAAGTTACAATTAGTTCATATTAACCATAAGTCTTCTCCTTTAGTACAAGGTTATTTTGCTGTTGCTACAGAATGTCCCACTGATTCTGGTACGCCACATACTTTGGAACATTTGATATTTATGGGATCGAAGAAATATCCATATAAAGGATTTTTAGACACTGCAGGTAACCTTTGTATGTCATCAACTAATGCCTGGACCGCTACAGACCAAACAGTTTACACATTGACCTCTGCTGGTTGGAAAGGTTTTAAAAAATTATTACCTGTGTATTTAGATCATATCTTGAATCCAACTTTAACTGACGAAGCTTGTTTGACAGAGGTTCATCATGTGGATCCAGAGGCTCTTACAGATAAAGGTGTTGTTTATAGTGAAATGGATGCCATCGAGTCACAAAGTTGGTTTGTTACAATGTTAGAGAAACAAAGAATGTTATTCCCAGAGGGGAGTGGATATAGATCTGAGACAGGTGGTCTTACAGAAAATCTAAGAGATTTAACAAATGAAGAGATTAGAAAATTTCATCATGATTTATATTCATCAAGTAATTTATGTTTAATTATTTGTGGTAACGTTCCAGAGGATGAATTATTAAATATTGTAAGTGAATGGGATGCAACTTTACCTGAAGTCGATCATACTAATATAAAGAGACCATTTATGGATACTGAAATTTCACAAATTCCTGATAAAAGGACAGAGACCATTGAATCTGAAGTTGAATTTCCTGAACTAGATGAAAGTCAAAGTGAAATCCTTATGGCATGGATTGGTGAAAGATATAGAGATTATGAAAATGATCTAGCTGTATCAATCTTATTGGAATATTTTACAGAATCTGCTTTGGCGCCTTTCACCAAGAGTTTGGTCGAAATAGAAGACCCATTGGCTAATTCTACTGATTATTGGACTGACGATTTCATGAGATCAATTGTTAATATTGGTATACATGGTGTTCCAACTGAAAAATTACAAGAAACCAAGGAAAAAGTTTTGGATATTTTGAAAACTCATAAGATTGATATAGAAAGAATGAAGCAAGTCATTGATAACAATATGTGGGAATATATTTTAAGATGTGAAAAAAATGGTGATAGTGCATTATCACAGGCCGTTATTACAGATTTTTTGTATGGGAATCAAGATGGTTCGTCCCTATCTGAGAGCTTGAAGGATATTTCTGATTTTGCAGCATTGGCTCAATGGCCTGTTGAAAAATGGCAAGATTTGTTAGATCGCGTTTTCATTAAGAATAAGCCAGTTATTGTCCTTGGTAGACCAAGTTCGGCTCTTTATGAGAAAAATGAAGTATCTACTAAAGAATTTATTAATAAAAGAAAGTCTGAAAATTCTACTGATGATATTGAAAAAATGATAAATGATTTGAAAAATGCGTCCTTGAAGAATGACAAGATTATACCTGAGTCACTATTATCAAAATTCCAAATAGAAAACCCAGCTCACAGTGTTGATTTTATTAGCACTGAAACAGTTGATACAATGAAGGACCTATCCAATGGTGATGCTGGTAATCTGAGAGAATCTGTGCTGAAAAATAAACCAAAGGATTTCCCACTATTTCTTTATGCGCAACATTTCCAATCTCAATTCATTGAGTTCCATTGTGTATTAGACTCTACATTAATTGAAGATGAATCACTTCTATCATTGTATCATATATTTAACGAGTTATTCTCAATGCCAATGAATGATGACGATGTGACTTCAAGTAAGCTGATATCATATGAAGATGTGGTTTCACAATTGAAAACGGATACTGTGGATTATCATATTTCTCTTGGAGTTCAGGGTACAGCTCCAGATTTGATTGATTTCAGATTGAGATGTAAAATTGATAAATACGAGGATGCTGTTGCGTGGATTAAACACTGTCTCTTCGATATGGTATTTGAAGAAAAACGTGTAAAAGTATTATTAGAAAATTACGTCAACTCTATTGTTGAGTTAAAGAGAGAAGGTGATATTATGCTGGATTCATTGATCAACAGAAAACTGTACTCCGACAGAAGTGTCAAGAAATCAGTTGATCCGTTATTTGTCGAAGAAAAACTTGAAGAAATTTTAAATGCAATTGAAGATGGTCGTTTTGAAAAAGATGTTTTACCAAAATTGGAATCTTTAAGAAAGCAGATGGTTCAAAAACTTGATAAATTCCAAATTATCGTGTTAGGTGATATGGATAAGATTGGCTCAAAGCTATTCACTCCTTGGACATCTCTAGTTGAGTGTATAAAGAAGGGATCACCTCAAAGTCATAATTTCTCTAACGCAGTGCCAATTATCCCAAGGTCACTTGATACAATTACAGATTTATGTCGTTCTCCAGGTGGCAAATCCTTTATTATTTCCACACCAGCTTCTGAATCATCTTATATGAATGTGATTACCTCTGTGCCATTTAATTTAGACTTCGACCATCCTGATTATGCTATTGTTTCTTTGGCATCGGAATACTTGCAATGTGTCGAAGGTCCATTTTGGAAGGGTATTCGTGGGTCAGGACTAGCCTATGGTGCTAATATGATTAAGATGATCCAAATTAATTGTTGGGGATTTAATATCTATAGAGGATCCGATATTATCAAATGTTATGAAACTGGGAAGCAGATTGTAGAAGGATATGCAGATGGTACTGTTAAATTTGAAGAGCAACTAATTCTTGGTGCAATTAGTAGTATTATTAATAGAATTGCTACAGTTGAGAACGGTTATGTGGCTGCTGCAATGTCAAAGTTTGTAGATGATATATTATTGAAGAGAGGTCCTGACTTTAACAAAAAATTCCTTGCAAAGTTAAATGATGTTACTGTGGAAGATCTAAAAAGGATTATGCAAAAGTACTTCGTCAACTTATTCGATAAGGAAAAGAGTGCTGTATTTGTCAGCTGTCATCCAACTAAGACTAAGTCTATTAATGAATTCTTAGAGCAGCAAGGATTTGAAGTTGAAATTGAGGAATTGGAAGAAGACGAAGACTCCGAAGATGAAGACGACTGATCTTTGCTCTAAAATAAACTTGAATGACTATCCGGACAAAAACCCGTGTCATTACGAAAGGCTAAATATTTTTATATAAATACAAATGACATCTCATGGATGTTATTTCTCTAGATAATAAAGAATATGATATTAATTATTTTACGTTACTTGTATCTGAAATTAATTTTTGATAACCCAGATGAGCTTGAATTACTTGAGTTATTTTTATCGTTACTGTTCGATATCCCAAGACCTAGGATTCCGTTATTAGATGTTGTTGGTAAACCATTAACCAACTTTGAATTTGTGGGAATACCTAATTTACTAGATCTTCTTCCACCTTTTTCTCTTGAACTAACATAAGAATTAAATATTCTGCTCTTCCTGTTTCCTGTAGAATCCGTAATAGTAGGTAAGAGTAAAGAGCGTTTGCTATCTGCGGAAGTTGATCTCGATCCTAGGGAATTTGTAGAAAGGGTGTGTTTACCGAGTGTCGGCGATGAAATTGGTGATGCATTAGGACTATGTCTGATTGTGTTTTTAGTATTCACTGTATCAACACTTCTAATAGAACTTGAAGATATACCAGGAGATGCATGTACAGTATGTGAACTTCCTGTTGAATGCTTGGAATGAGTACGTTTCTTGTGGTCTGTCCCTAGTTTCATAGCCTTTTTTAGTGTCTTTAGCCACAATGTATTAAAATGTTCTTTCTTTTCAGGATTACCTCCATCAATAGAACTTAAAATGAAAGACTTATAAGGTGTTTGTAGAACTATTAGATCGTTAGCCGGGTTTTGAAAGCTTATTTCCTTGACAGTTAAACCCATCTGACACAAGTCGATATCATAACATAGGCAATTAATTAGTCCGTTTTCTTCTGAAACAGATTTACGTTTAACGAACGTTAATATTCTACCATAGTTCGTAATAATTACGATTCTTCTCATAAATTGTTCGTGGTCTATCGATATCATAGTAGTTGGAGGAGGTGTTGCTAAACGGTTATGGTGAAACAATTTCTTAACTCTTCCTGGGAATAATAGATGACCTGAATCTTCTTCGGCCGTATTTTGCGATGCATTGGTTTGCGTTGCAGATTTATTTTCTTGGGCGTTCGAAATTAATTTCTTTTCCTTTGGCAAAACCGGAATAATTTCATCAGCGTTATTTGATTGTGCATCACTCGCTAGTAACATTTGCATGTCAATACCTATCGTTTTATAATGGTCTACAACATTATCGAAATCTATATTACTAGATTCATAATATTTATCTTCGGGTATACGGAATCCAGTTCTTAAACCTGTGATTTCCCCACCACTTCTGGCTACTTGGGATAATAATGTTGATCTTGTACTCGAATTAAAATTGTATGGATCATTCATAGCCTTATGAAATCTTGAAAGTTGTTTCTCTAACGTGACTGTATCCATAATAGCTATGTTGAATTCGTTAATTCGGATAATATGTTCCCCGATATCTTTCAGGAAAAATGACCAGGGTATATCAAGTTTGTTGACACTAGCATGAGCAGATTTAGTAATCATCTGAGTAGCGTAGGAAACAGATTGTGAAGAAGCTAAAGAATTTTCGCTTGGTTTCGGACTAGATTTGTAAGGTGCAGCCTGTTTGTTGATGAGTGGAGATGTTGTACTTCTCAAGGATGCTTCAGAATCATTGTTTGTTTTCAAGTTGTCTGCACCTGTAGCGGTCGTTGGATGAGGGGTAGTTCCTCTTGCTACCTTAACAGCTGATGTTGGGGGTCGCGAAATATCAGAGGCCACATGCTTGTGACTATTATGATTTGTTGTATGATTATGGTATTGGGAACTAATACTTGGATGAATTTGTTTCTTTTCTGATTCCTCTGATCCCATAGTGCTTTGAGAACTACTCTGTGTATTTGTATTGTTGCTGTCAATAGTGGTAGTAGCTGTTTTCTTATTAAAAGCTAAACTTGCTGCCAAAGCAGCCCCACTTACAGGATGTTTACCCTTTGAAGTTTTTCTGCTACTTACACTACGTCTTGCATTTTCTAATATAGCAGTGGTTCTTCCGTCTGTTGATTTTCTGCTAACAGGTTCATTTTTATCAGACTTATCTGAAATGCTTTCCTTTTGTGCTGATATAGCATATGAGCTATTTGACCTTGGTAATTGCGGAGAATTTGGCGTTGAAGATGGAGTAGTTACTGGTGTGTTTGATATGGCTGCTGATGAAACAGATCTTTTTGCATGGTTTATATCCAATCTTTTATTTGAGTAAATATCTTTCAAATCCGGAACAGGTAACATAGATTTTGCACTAACTTTGTATGCTGATAATTCAGGCACAATATCTGACCAAATGGAGCCATCTTTGAAATTTTTATCTTTGTAGAATGGATGTTTTTCTATATCTGCTATACTCAATCTTTTATTCATTTGTTTGATCAAGATTCTTTTCACTAAATCTCTAACAATTGTTGGGAATCCAGCAGTAAAGGCATATTGAACTTTCATAACTTTTTGGAAAGTTAAATATTCATTGGTTGCTTTAAAAGGTGGTTTACCAGCAATCATCTGAAATAATATACAACCAAATGCCCATATATCACATCTATAATCTACAAAACTATCATTTAATAATTCAGGTGAAACATACTCTGCAGTTCCCACAAAGGATTTCGATCTAGTCAATAAGTCGAATTTCTTAGTTGTCGGATTTTGCTCTAATATCTTTGCTGTGCCAAAATCTGTTAATTTAATTTTCCAATCTTTATCTAGTAAAATGTTTTCAGGTTTTATATCTCTGTGAATAATACCATTATTATGAAGATAACCAATGGCATCAATAATTTGAGCAGAGTAATAACAAGTTGCCATTTCATTCAAGGAACCAAACTTTTTCATTAATGATAACAGATCTCCATTTGGTGCATATTCAAGAAGAAAATACAGACTTGCTTCATCTTGGAATGTAAAATATAATTTAATGATACATTTTGAATTATTAACCCTTTGTAATGCATTTTTTTCTATATTCACATATTTCACTTTTTTCTGTTTAATCAAATACGATTTGTTTAATACTTTAACAGCATATTTTTTATTTGTATCTATCGAAGTGGCAAGCATTACTGTTGAATATGCACCATCACCGATCATTTCACCGAATTTAAAATCTTTTATACCTTTCTTAATCAATTTCTTATACTTCTCACCTGTCTTAGGATTTGTCATCTCCTGTACAATCTTCGCAGCACCTCTGTCTGCCCATTCGTCATATCTTTTCTTAGTAGATTGATCCATAGTTAATCCATCTGATACTTCTGGACCCTCGTTATTACCCTTCATTTCGGGTACAATATCATTTCCTTTTTGTCGATCTTCTGTGTAATTCTCCATAGTATTATCTATGCTACCCAAAGATATTTGGTCATCATCATTGTTATTATGAACAGTTTCATCCACTTGTTCCAATGTATAACCTTCTTTTAACGTTGGTTCATTATCTTTTGAATTTATTGAGACTTTTTTTCCAGATTCATTCCTATTGAATATTTCAATGAAATTATTTGTATCAGTTAAAGCCTTTTGTTGTTGTGAAACTTCAGATTTAGCTAAGAACATTTCTGCCATATTTCTATTTGACGTACTTCGTTGACCCATAGTTAATTCTTTCCCAGATGAAATATTGTGGAGATGGGGACGATCCACTTGAGGTCTATGATTATTTCTTGACAATTGAACGTTCAGTTGATCTTCATCTGTAGGGAGTAACGGCCTAGAGTCAGGCGATAAATCATCCTTGAACAGAGGCATGTGTGTATGTGTGTATTAATAATATAGTTATAATCTATCTCAAAAACAAAAATAAAAAAAGTGAAATAAAATAAAATAAAGGAAGAATTTAGAACAAATTATATAAGTAATGTAAAATTCTGAAACTTCATGAAAAAATAGGAGATATATCTGAGAAATTCTACCGCGATGAGTTTCTTTGATTGTTTTGTTTGTTTACCCTAGGGATGAATATATTGAAACAAAAAAATAAAAAATTCAGTTATTTTCTTATTTAGAATGTAGTAGGAGAAAAAGTTCCAATGACGAACAAGTTAAGATACTTTAACTCTTAATTAAGGATTGATTATTTGATATTTGAAAACTTTGTAAATCAAAAATATGTACAATTTTGTTCTATTGTTTAATATAATTATTATTAACTGGAGAAAGAAAGATTTAATTTTAAATTATTGGCAAGCCGAGGGGTACAATGTAATACAGAAGAAAAAGGGGACTTAGTATTAAGAAAAAATGATGTGGGCCGATTCATTTGCATACATTTTAATTTCATTTGTTTTGTCTCGTCTTGTTGTCTGACGGGGCGAGAGGATTCACTGAAATATTTCGGTCAGATGTCGGTAACTTTGGGGAGTGGGACATGGAACCTGAAGGAAGGGACACATTAATTGATCAAAAGGAAGCTATCTCAATAAACGTATTTTCAAGTGGCGTACTCCTCCAGGTTGGAAAACTTAGCAGTAATTACAATATTTTAATATCGAATAAAACATAGGGAAACAGGTTAGTATTTGTTTCGGTAACTAATTTCAATTAAGTCTTAATCTTTGTAAATATATTAGGGAAGGATTAAACTATAATAATTTTGATATATGTGGAGAAACCAACATTAGTATATATTATGGAGAGTTATAGAAAACGGCTATTGTGAGTCATTCACAGGATACATATATATGTTTCGTTTGGAATATACCAACTAAAATGTGCATACAGTAAAGAAAAATATCTATAAGTAGCATTTAAGCATAAGATAAAAAAGGTTAGTATAATCATTTAATTAAATACTTATAAAATGCTCCCATCATCTTCTATATCTGTTTATATGTTTTTGTAGATTTGAAGTATAGACACTGCAAAAATATCAAACATGTAAAAACACTTTTCTACCAGTATTTATATAAGAAACAAATTAGCCGCCCAAGAGAATTAATTTTAACAAAACTGCCTGTTACCCTATAGCAAGGAAAAGAATCAAATGTAGGGCAAATAAATTACTTCAGAAACTTTTCGTGGGAATCATAGATAGGGAGAGGCGAGCACAAGGTCGTTTCCTCTGTCCCAAAATAAACTATTCTCAATAGATTAAAACATAATACAATAATTTGGGAAAAGAGGGTAACTCAGTTTAATATGGTCACAATACAATTAATAATTATTTATTAACCTCTGTAGTCATAAGTAATGTACTCTGTATATACCCTGAACAAATGATGCATGTAAAGGAGTGAATAAAAAATAGTAAACATATCATTTTTTTTTATCTTCCCTTGTATTTTTACTGTATAAATACGTCTAATTATAAAATGACACATAACGTCATTAACCTTGCCATAACTTACTCTACATACTAAGAGCAAAGCCAAACAAACTAAATAAATAAATAAACAATATAACATAAATGCTAGCGTCGAGAATTCAACTTGGCACACACCAGATAACAAATTATATTCAAAATAAACGATTTTATAGGTTCCGTCGTGGTCTTAAATATAATCATTTTTTGCCTCAAAAATTATGTGATCAACATTTACAATCAACAGATGAATTACCAAGATGTCAAACTTGTTCATTAAGAGAAGAATACCCGCCGGTTCCATTATCAACTGTTCGTTATTTATTATACTCATTCAATAGACTACCTGTTTCATTAGATACGATAATGTTAGAACAATTAGTTGACGTGACAATACAGCCCACAACAAATAAATTAACCAACAATAATATAAATAATAATAATAATAATATTGATAATAATAATAATAATACTATTATGCGGTCTAATGCAAGAAAAAAGACAATAACACATAAGAGAGGGCTGAAATCTATCTATAATCGTCTTAAGAATAAATTTACTAACGGAGTAACAAATACTCCGTTTCGCTTCCATCCTCATAAAGAACAACAACAGCAGCCTTTGGCAAGAAGAAAATCTGGAGGAAGATTAGAACGATTATTGCAATTAAGAGGACTTCCAGCATATCAACATCCTTCAATAAGGTACTCCAACAAACGTACTACTTCCAGTAGTATTTCTTTGTCATCATTATCAACTTCATCATTACTATCATCCAACGAGGACTACCTTCAGCCATCAAGAACAACAATGGCAACAACAGCGACGACACATTCAACAAACGTCTTCAATATTTTATTCTCAACCCCGTCATCACCACCCAATTGAAATTGTTGACAATTCTCTTTTAACTATGCGCGCACGGATATTTAATCGACAAAAAAATGGTTGAATTTATTACCGTGACCGTAATTATTAATATAAGAACTGATATTACATCGTATATACAATTACATACAACTCAACAGAATGTATTATAACATTTGGTTTTCATAAGGTGATCGTTATATATATAGGTGTGACTATATTTGAAAAATAATCTTGAGTTCTTGTCTCTTCTTCTTCATAAAAAATTAGCTTTTTGATACATTAGTTAAGAATAAATCATTACGAAACAACAGCACACTAATACATTATGAGTACAGAGTTAAAGGCAGATAAATGTGCTATAAACTATACAAATTCATATTTGAAATCTTTACAAAGAAGTTTGACTGTACGCACAGATGATACTATTGTACTATGTCTTACCGCATTAACTTCCTTTGTATATTTCTTTCTTTTGATTAGTTTTACAGATTTATATTTAATCCCTAAATATCATTCCACTACAATGACTGATTATATTATTTTAAATCTTTATTTAGCATCAGCATTTCAAGCAAGTTTTCTTAATTGGATATATCATATGTTTAAATCACATTCTTCAAAGAAGGCCACACAATGGAAAAATATTAATCTGTATGGTATGGTAACTTATTTAGTATCATCAGCCATTAGTTTATTATATTATGGATTTTATGATAATGTATTTTATTTCAAATTATTAACTATTTCAACTTTTTTATTAAATTTAATAATGGTAATTTTAATTAATTTACATGATGATAAACATCAAACACAATCATATCGTTTGTTATTAGCAATTTTTATTACAGTCTTGATTGTAATGCCATTATCTGTATCGTATTGGCAATTTGGTATTCAAAAGATTCAGACTAAGATTGATTTCCCATTATTATTAATTGAAATAATAGGATATATTATTAGTGGAGTTTTATACATTAATCGAGTTCCAGAAAGATTAGGTTTATCGAGATCCTGTGTTACTGCAGGTTATTATACTGTAATTATTATTACAAGTTTTATCCATTTTAAAGTTTTGTTGAATTCTTTCGTAATGATGCGCATCGGCTTAAATAAACCAACTTTAATAAATTTTGATTCCTAGAGGATAAAGAAATTAGATTTATAAAAATATAAAAATAACAATTAATAGAGGCAATCAAAATATATTGTGGTATAAAAGCAACTATAGTCACTATGGATGCTAAGAGAGATATACAAATATCCAAAGCATTGTCATATTTGTTACGTCATGGTGCTCAAAAGGAGAAATTAGTTATAGATAACAATGGATATATTCCAATCGATACAATATTACAACACAATAGATTAAAGACACATAAATGTTCGAGGCAAGACTTAATTAGAGTAGTGAATAACAATGATAAGAAGCGATTTATTATCGATGAAGAAAAAGATATGATTGCTGCCACTCAAGGTCATTCTATTGAGTTGAAACCTGATGATACAATATTAATACCGATTAAAGATAGTGATTCACTACCTTCGAAATTAATTCATGGAACAAACGTACGGAATTGCTTAGCCATTGTTGAGAGTGGGAAGATATCGAAGATGAGGAGAAATCATATTCATTTGTCAATCGGTATTGTTGGAAAAGATACTAATGTTATTAGTGGAATGAGGAAAACTTCTAGTGTATACATATATATTAAGAAAGATCCCGAAACTTTATCTCAATTAAAATTATTTAAATCATTAAATGATGTATATCTATGTGAGAACGATATTAATATATCATGTTTTGAGAAAATTGAAATTAAGAATAAGAAACAATTGAACGATGATCAAGATACGGCAAAATTAGTTCAATTATTGAAAGATAAAAATGTTCCATATGAAATGATATAGCACCTCTAAATATATATATATCTGATATGAATATATGGTTTTTCATTCCATTTATTTGTAATTATTATTGTTATTATTTTACATAGAAATATATTTAAATATATTAATTATTCTATTCTATTCCTCAATGATTTCTTGAGTTGGTTCATATTTCAAATGTTCTTGAACCATTCTTGCTTGCTTCTTTCTCTTCTTAGCAAGAGCCTTTGAAGCTTTAATATTAAACCCATCTGTCAATATAGTTTGAACTTCTTCTAATTCTAAACCAGATAATTCAGGATAACAGAAGTAACAGAAAATTGCAGATAAAAACGACAACCCTGCAAAGAATGCAAAAGTACCTGTTGGAGTAATATTTTGTAACATAGTTAAAAATGTAGAGGCAATAACAAGAGAACCAGCCCAATTTGTTGCAGTAGCATAAGAGGTACCAATACCTCTAACATTTTGTGGGAATAGTTCGGATTGTTGCCATGGAACAGTACCGATACCAAGGGCGTAAAATGCAGCAAATACAATGATGAAGACAATAATGACAATACCCCATGAAGAGAACCCACCATTAGAAACCACAGCATCATTACCATTGAATTTAATACCAATGAAATGGAATGCAATGGCACACATTGCCAATGAGACAGTCATACCTGGTAAACCGATCAATAAGATAACACGACGACCAATCTTATCGATGGCAAAGAATGCAATTAAAGTAAAGATGAAGTTAGTACCAGAAACAATAATAGAGACAGCACTTGAATTACTGAAACCAACGGTTTCAAAAATGGTACCTGAGAAATACATTAAAGAATTCCAACCAGTGAATTGTTGAATAGCTTGTAACCCACAGGCAATGACTAAAGCTCTTAGGTTTGATGGAACAGTATGTAATTCTTTGATAGTATTCCAAACTTGTACAGCTTTATTTTTACCTGGGATAGATTTATTCAATTCTCTTAATTCATGAATCTTTTGTTCAATAATTTCATCAGTAGTATCAACGTAACTTCTACGTAATACCTCTTTAGCTTCGTCATATTTACCTTTCATAACGTAATATCTTGGGGTATCAGGTAAGAATAAGAAAAATACAAATTGCAAACAAGTTGGAATTAAAGATAGACCAACTAGGATTCTCCAACCGTTATGTACATGATTTAAACCTGCACCACAACCATAAGCAATCAATTGACCACCTGTTAACCATAAGGAATTAATAACAGTTAATCTACCTCTAACCATCTTTGGAGCAATTTCACTAATAAATAATGGTGAAATTAAAGAACCGATACCAACACCGAAACCCATAACTAATCTACCTGCTGCCATTTGCCAAAAAGTATGAGACGAAATTTGAATAATTGTACCAATGACAAACATAATATTTGAGAACATAATACAAGGTTTTCTACCAAAAATATCGGCTGCAGTACCTGCAAAGATACTCGATATTAAAGCACCTAATGAAGTAGCTGCGGTAATAATTTCTTTATCACCATATGTTAATTCTTTATGATCTAAATCTTTATTAATTGATACTAAAGCAGATGAAATATAACCGGTATCATAACCAAATAAGAAACCCGATAATGATGCAACAAATGTTAAAATAATAATGAATGGAGACATTTTTTGATTAAATGTAATAATAACAGAAGTATCATCTTCATCATTGACGGGTTTAATAATAATTCTATCATTATCAGTACGATCATTAGTATTTTTACTATCATACTCATCATCATCATTGGAATTTAATTTCATTTCATCATATTGAATTTTTTCTATTTTCTTATTATTATTTTCCGAAGATGGTGTTATATCAGTAAATGAAGGAGTATTTGATAAAGTACTAATTTCAACTAAATTTCCATTTTTTTGATTATTTTTATTTTTAATTGTATAAGGTTTTGTAATATGAGCCTCAAATTGATTTTCGCTACTAATTAACGAATTATCATCTCTAAATTGTGGAATATTATTACTATTATTATTATCATTATTATTGTTATTGTTATTTATATTATAATTTAAATCATTAGGTATACCATGATCATTAGTGTCAGGTATATCATCTGCACCAGACATGTCACTTCCGTGCATCTTGAATATTTCTTTTTTCAATAATCAAATAAAATTATATAAAAAAAAATTTTCTTGCAGATGAATATGTATACTTCTTAAAATGATAAAAGTACGAAATATTAAACGAAAGGAATAATGAAATGGGAAATACAATGATGTTGCTATTGGATAGTCCAGTTATACAATATGGTTTTTGATTTGAAAAGTATTGTTAAGCTTTATATATGTTATATTATAAAAAGAATATAAAAATTTAATTATATAACGCACACACACACGAAAAAAGAATAAAATAAAAGTTCTTATCTTGAAATATAAATATTTTCACATTCACGTAAGCAAGGAAAAGAACGCATTAAGTAATGGAAGTTTAGAATTAAAAGTTGAAGCTAATTTTAACAATTTTCAAACATCAAAATTTTTCGTTTTGTTTGTTTCCTCTGTTGACAAAATTAAAATATTTTAATTGATTTTGATACGTTCACTCACTTGCACGTACCGCAGAAGGGAAACGGGGCGAATTCGCCAGAAGAAGGAAAATTTTGTTTGTGGCGATATCATATAGTATGCAATTGCGCGTATAATTCATCACCATCACCAGTTTTAGTTGGACTGTTTGGCTTTTCATTAAATTGCCAGATCTTCGCGCGGGTTTGTTTCCTTTTGCTACTCGCCCCCCCTCTGCAATGAGGCTGTTGTTGTTGAATATATGTGTGTAGCCTCTGAATGGGATGGAGAGAGGACGTGAACAACTTTCCTTGTGCGGCTATTTACTAGGCAAAATGCAGAGAATTACTTTATTTCACGGAATTGCAAAATTGGTTTTCTGACTCGTAGGTAGTGATTCTGAATGTGAAAAAAAAAAAGAACAAACAAGATTTGGGTTTTAGGGGGAAATAAAACCGTGAAGCGTGGGGGGAATATATATTCGGTTTTTCGACCCCCCAAAGGTCGGTTTTGGAAGGTAGCCCTAAAGCACTTAGGGTCGTCTGTCATATTGGTCGCGTAACGACGAACCTTTCACTTGATTGACTATATGTCATAATTTGTAAATCCTGATGAAAAAGAAGGTAAATCTATTCAATTTTTATTGGACATTGTGAAAACGTATTCTTCACATTCAGATATTTTCGATCGTTATCAAAGGTTGCAAGATATTCGTATTAGTATATCCAATGATAACTCTTCAGATATGCTTGGAATCGATATCAATACTGATAAAGAGACAACAGATGGAGCTTTTGTTAGGTATGTACTTGAAGATAAGTTATTGAAAAAGAATAACATTATTTTGGAAACACTTTTTTCATCTGTCGAGTAAAGCAATAAATATAAGGCAGTTTTCGAAAAATATGAGAAGAAAGGATCGTTTCCAACAGATGTAAACTATTTATTACCATATTGTAAGGTTAAATCATTATCTGCTGTTCAACCATTGAAACGTATTGGAGTTCTTAAACCATTGCTAACCGACATTGATTTTAAATCCATTAGGGAACTTTTTTTTTGGAAGATGACTTCCAGGCTATTGACGATATATTGAAACTGTTATATTCCTTGAGAGAAGCTTGTACTATCTTAGCTGATAATTAATGTACATTAATATATTCTTTACCAATATTTAAGACTTGCTGGGGTTGTGTCACAAAGGCGCTTGAGGACATTAACAAGAGAAATTTAGAGGATAAAATGACTCTCAACAGTTACAAGAGGTAACTTCTTCCAAAAATAGATTATAAAAATTCGGTAATGAAATGTTACAATGTTGGAAATATATATATGGATAGTGGCATCATCAAGGTTTTAGCATATTTCGATTATTGTTTCATGACTGATGTACTTTGGAAAAATATTAAGTGCTATCGAGATATTTATGAAGGAGTGAACAATTGAGCAGCAGAACTTTTTTTCAGAAAAGAAAAAAAAAACAGATATGTTAATACCTTATTTAAATATTTTTAATGATAGTGGCAAGCCTGGGGACCACAATAGCTACACAGCGGAAAATGATGTAATTGGAGAAGATCCTCTCTCTATTAAACAATACCTTCAAGACATGGTATCAGCAGAGTTTTTAAAATACCATGCAATCGGTAACTCGAAGAAAAAACTTATTATTTTCAAGCAGGTTTCTAAAGAAACTGAATTAGAGGAGCACAATTCTTGGAATTCGCACTCGATACTACAAAACAAGCCCAATTTCTTATTTTGGAAAAAATACAGGGAGATTTTACCATTAATGAGTCTTGCTAGTCGTTTGTTTAATACTATTCCTGCTATATCTGTACATGCGGGTAGAACATTTAACCTTGCATTTGAGTTTTCCCGTGGGAGACCTGATCAATTGAGCAATAAGAAGTTTAAACAAGTGAGCATTCTGCATTCATTTGGGCAAAATATTAACCTTCAACAAATAAAGCTTTTTAAACTGTTTTTTGAAAAACGGACTTGCAAAGACTAGGATTCTTCGTCTTGATGAAGAACCTTTCAAAAAGTGGGGCCAAATAATAGTTATTCATTTTACTTTGGTGTTTTAATTAAGTGACTGCGTAACGTATTTCTGATGCCTTAGAAAAATTATAGTATCATTTATTTATTTATTTATCTAATATCAACTTTTATTGTAAATATACATGTACATACATAACGTACCCTAGTTTTTGCCCTTTTTGTTTCCAGTTCAAGAGATTTGATTATTAAGAATATAGCACTACAAAATATATTTATTTCTCAGAAACCCTAAACCTTCTTCAAAATATTTGCCTCGCTTTTCTGGGGCGAAAGTTGAAAAATCTAGTCTTATGTGACTTTTCCTCTGCCACTGCTCGCTTAGCGTGGGAGCCTGTTGAGTAAAGCAATAGTGTGGGGGCGCCCGGTGATAGTTGGCATAGATCCGTGTACGATGGTTCCTGTGTGTGAATTGTAGCAGGTAAGATAATGGAAATTCGTTCATTTTGCATGTGAAGAAATTCTCATCAGCGTAACCAACTGATTTTGATTCTAATTTCTTCACATGTTGGTTAGTTGTGTGTTTTCTCGCCTGTTAGTTGGTTATCTATTGCGTGATGTTTCTGGTAGAGTTTTTTTTACCTTTTAATGCGTGACTTTTATTACCGAATATTAGGGTTTGAATTGGGGCTAAAAGTTAGGGTTGGACCCTTTGGACCCTTTTAACATATGGAGAATGCCAGGATGTCGTCACAAATTATATAGATGATTGTCGAGGGCTGTTGGCTGAACTTCTGGGCAAAGGAATGTACCAAATACTAAAGAAGGTACTTCTTAATATTATCCATGAACCTGTGCATGGCTCTAATAACGAGTATACTTTTAATTCCCAATTTAAATCAGGAATGTTTTTCAATATATATTAGAAAATTTGAAATAATTATTCCACTTATGAGATGAAAGTACATGTAGAAATGGAGGTGCAGACGGTAGAATATCTTTGGTAGAGTAACTTTTTCTGTTTAAATAGTAAAAAGGAGACATCTGAGTCGAAATATAATTCATTGGTATAAAATATGTTGAGTTTTAAATCCTTTTTATTAAACTTTTCATTCAATAAAACTCTTTATCTATCATTTTTTGCAACACAGTCGCTGTAATATGAGTTTCAATTAGCCCAGATCATTTCTCTGGTTCAAACGAAATTTGTTTGTGACGGAAATAATATGATATAAGTATATCTAGAATGTTTTATCAATAACATGGAAAGATCACGAGAAAATTACGTAATCACATTACTAATACAAAAATAGATGCGTATTACTAATGAACCATTACGTAAGGAAGATTACCTAATAGATGAGAAGGTAATCAAGAGAAATTAAAACTATATAAATACGAGTCATTCTGAACTTACAATCTGAGTTAGAATTCATTCGTTATGTATATTAAATAAAAAATAGAAAATCACTTACAAATTTAGAAGAAAAGTAACACATACGTTTGCTTTACGACCTACTGTCACCGTAATAATCTTCATTACCCATCAACACTTATTTAATATGCAAAACCAATCCGAATCTAACATCGATATATCTGCTTCAGCTCAGTTTGTTCTTTAGGAGGGTGTCATTTGAGTGCAGAAAGAAAGAAAGAAAGACGGGTTAGTTTCCAAAACCAGTTTATTAAAAGGTGTGGTCACAGTTTTTGATAAACTCATAACCTTGATATACATTGGTTCAAATCCTCTGAAGCTATGCATATTAGGACAAAAACACTATATTCGATGTCGCTCATTTTTAAGAATGTGTACTAACAAATGTCGCATTTTAATAAGACCTCTGGGTTTCACCACAACACCTAAGCATTTTTCTATTCGATATTCATGTCGGAACTTACATGATAGAAGAAGGACGTCAAGAATATAAAATATAAGAATAAAAGAATAATAAAGATTGTCAGATTTGATAATGTTCAATATTTAACAATCCAAAATGAAAAAAGATAATAATAAGACGCATTTGGAAACCATGCATAATTTCTACAATGCTAGTATTGGAGATTTATAATCACGAAATGTAACCAAATCCAAAGGTATATAAAGGGAACAATATTTCATGCATTGGAATATTTCATTTCCCTGACTATTTTGTATATTATTTATAATTTGTATACTAAAGAAATCAGACGACTATACGTTGATTTCTAATAAATTAAATTTTGTACCATATTAAAGAAATGGATTCCTCTAATAATTCAAATATCCAACATTTCTCTACGTTTCTATACAATATTTTGAAAAACAAAGATTTTTAAAAATAATTTTCAGTGTTGTTAAATATATAAATATTTTTTAAAAATTCACAATTATTAGACTTCGTGGCCAAGCTGGTTAAGGCGTGCGACTGTTAATCGCAAGATCGTGAGTTCAATCCTCACCGAGGTCGATATTTTTTTTTAAAAATTTTCGTTGCAGCTCTTGCGATATTTCCAAAATAATCATTAATGACATTATAAAACTGAGTGAACTTCGATGAGTAAATTCAACATGGATATTACTTGAAGTTAATATTTTATCGTTAACGTTTTTATATAGTTACATCAATAAATTAAATAAATTCTTAAAATGTTATAAAATATTAAATATGTCCTTGTAGGTTCTTGTATTTTTCATTTTATTTTCTTTAGAAAACAAACATGTACATATACAAGAAAATTTATTTCCGACAGTACACTGAAATGATGGACCTGACATGACGAATTTTTCATGCAGAAATGACCCTATTTGGAAATATTCGATTATGCATCGGTCAGGTTGTATTTGTGGCGATAAGCTTGGTCCTCATTAATTATATATTATATTCGCTAAAGCGGTAAATGACTAAAGATATGGCTGGCATTGTTGGCTCAGGGTATTTACAACGCATTTTTTAATAAATATTTCATAGAGTTAGCTTTACTCACCTCAGTGTTCAATCATTTTAACAATAAACTGCTTAGCAAATACACATAAACAATGTTGGATCGGTTTATTTTGGTCAGCCATTTTAACAGTCCCATGATATGACACGTATTCATACATTTTATCAGCTGAATCAGGGACAATTTTCTTAAAATTAGTTTGCAAAAAGAAATGGTACGTATCAATTTTTCTCCTTTGATTCCCATATCATGCTTTGGGTTATTTTATGCATTTCATTAGGGTGCTCTTCTATAATTTTAGTTCTAAGCATTTTATTCTTTTTATATAACCATGAAAGATAATTTATTGTCTTTAAATATATTATTAATTCTGATCTATTTTCATTTTTTTGTAAATCAGGTACTAGTGTCACTAGTTCGTCATATATTTCTCTTACAAGTTCACGTCTCCTCTTTTCCGAACTAACGTGATTCATTCGAATTTGATCATCTGATAATTTCTTCATCTTTTTAGCTCTTACTTTTTTAACACAGTTCTCTGTCTTAACAGGTAAAGAGCTCATTGAAGATGTTATCGCAATGCCAGGATTGTTGGGTGTATGTTCAAAGTTTGTTGTTATTATTTCACTTTTTATAGTTTTTACATTCATCATATGGTTAGAATTAGTTTGGTCCATTACTAAAGGTACGGTGTATTATTGTTGTCTTAATTGAAACAACGCCAATGTCAGTTCTTACGGTGATTTGTTTCTGAGCTGTATTCTTCGCGAAAGAAGCAAATAATCAATCCAAAGATCCGTTATTATCACAAATAACTTATTAAGTATTTTCAATGTAGTATATATACTTTAATAGCAACGTGTAGATATTGAAACAACAACGACTTCAATGAACAAAAGTACTAAACAATCCATGTTGAATATGAATTTTCACATGGGTGAGATGGATTGCTATCAAAGCGCGTTGTGCAGTTGTACAATTATGATAGGAAAGGGAAACTCACTAGAAAATTGATGATCTATAAGAAATTGTGGTGATTTGTGATAATATATAACAAATTTCATGATTATATTTTTTCAATATAAGTATACCTTAAAGTGACCTATAATATTCAATTGTTAAAAGCTAAACCCGCTTAAAATTTCCATTTTTATAATGAATTGAATAATATTTTGGGTTTATTCTTAAGATCACCTTTTACGAGCGGAAAGTAACAGTAGGTGGTCTCCTCCCTAATAGCAAGTTCAACTTCACCGAAAAATGAGAAATTTCACATAAACAAGGAACTGTTTAAAATAAAGAACAATACAGGTTAAGCATTGCGATAACGAGATAACATAAATTAAACATTAGATAATCTTTTTTTGAAGGTTATATAAAAAAAAATTTCCCCTGGTTTTGATACTGGATCCTGCATTGAACCCCAACCACTAGAAAATGGAATATAGTTGTCGATTCTTTGATTTTTCTGTTCCTAATACAATTTTGGATCGTAATAAGATTCCAATAGCAACTAAATGTCTGACTATTGCGTACACTTCGTTAACCCTAATTTTATTTGGATTGAGATGTTTCTTATATTTCAACCATAAAACAGATCAATCTGTTGTGATGAATTTTAGTGACATAAATATCCCTGCATTACAATTGGTTCCGAGTAGGATTTTAAAATTCCCATATTCTATTGTTTTGTCAAATTTGGTGGATACTAGTCCTTGGAGGTTTGTTTTTAATTTGATTAATTTATTAATAGGGGGTTCTTTTATAGAACGTAATTGGAATAGTTCCAATGAAATGATCAAATTCACTTTAGGAATTGGCTCTATAACGAATTTAGTTGTCTTGTTGATTACAGTTACTGTACATTATATCATTCCAACATGGGTAAGTTTAGATACTGTTTTAGACGGAAATTATACAGTCTTGATTGGTTTTTCTATAATATATAGGCAATTGTTACCTGAAACCACTATCATTAATATTAAGAGTCCATCATTTATTAGTAAGAATTTTAGATTTAAATTATTACCAATTTTCGTTTTAACAATAATGACATCAAGTCAATTATTTGTTTTCCGCCATTTTTCTAATTTACTTTCTATATGGATTACATTTTTCTCATGTTGGGTGTATTTAAGATTTTATCAAATTTTACCTCCAAGTGCTATAGGTAGCTCAACTGATTATTATAATTCTGTACAAGGTGATGCATCGGATACATTCCAATTGATATATTTCTTCCCAGATATTATTAAACCAATATTAAGACCAATATTTAACAAGACATATTTTCTATTGAATGAAAAATTTGGAATCATAAAATCATTTGGAGAGACAGATATAGATAAGGGTAACGATATTGCAGAACAGAGAGGTGCTAAAAAAGTGACAGATGAAGTTAAGGATAGACGAAGACAATTAGCATTGGATGTATTACAGGAGAGATTAGTTTAAATAAGCGAAGAAGATTATTTATCATAAATTGCTGTAATGAGCGGTCGTAAAACAGAAGTAATAATACATCAAATACATGTTTACATCGTATATCGTTAGGAATAGAAAAAAATGATGCGCATCCAAATCAAAGAAGCAAAGAGAGAGAGAGCGTCATATAACTCCAGCCAATTATTTGTGCCTTTTCTGTTATGTAAAGAATAATAAATAATACTAACTAGCCACAATTTTCGCACCAAAAAAAATTGCCAAGACTTAATATTTCTCTATTAGTTCACAATTAGGTGATGAGATTATAGTAGCAGTTCTATTAAACCTACTAGTTACACGCCAGGTGTATTTATGTGGGAGATCGTATTCCATTACTACCGCAGAGGCAAATGGAGAGAACTGTTGAATAATTCTGGTACGTTTATCATAAACGGCGAAGAACGAAATCAATTGTCGCATTTTCCTTTAAAATGTTCTTCTTTATATATTTTCAATGTTGATCGTTTTTCATTTGCTCGTGGAGTCGTGTCATTTTTTGTCTGTACGACTTTTTCTCAGCAAGACGCGAATTTTTGCTTAAGACAGTTGTGCGATGAGCCATCAGATGATTCAATTCCTATACAGGCTTCCATCAATAAACTGCAGATAAAATATTTGATGTAATCAGCTATAATAACAAAAGTTAACATACCCCGCAAGATGTTACAATGTTCATTTATACCAGATATATCAAGATGTTATGTACTAATCGGGAATTTAGATTTGATTAAAGAAGAAGTCATTACCATATTCGGTGGGTCGTCCACTATTTGGGACAAAACTACCGATACTTTGAGATTTTTAGTTATTGAACTTGTTTACAAGTTAACAAGTATATTTATATATATATATATCAGAGTGTCTAATATGTTTGGAGTTTTTTATTTTGTTTGTTTAGAATTTTACATTATTTTATATCGTTGTTGCTGTTGATTTTTGAAAAACCAAACATACTTTAAGAACCTGAATAAAAACGCCAATTGAGTTTCACTAAACATGCAACTAAAGGCTGTATTGTTGTCATCTTCAATTTTGACCATTGCTCACGCATGGTCTCCAACAAACAGTTATGCACCAGCTACTGTTGATTGTGCTGATGATCTAAATATTATTAGGGCCGCCGATGGTTTGTCCGAATCAGAATCAAATTGGGTTGCCAAGAGAGATGCAGTCACTCAAGCTGCTCTTAAGACATTTTTAACACGTGCCACTTCTAATTTCAGCGATAAGTCGATTCTAAACTCATTATTTAGTGAATCTTCTAATGTTCCTAGGGTTGCTATAGCCGCATCAGGTGGTGGTTACCGTGCCACATTCGGTGACGCTGGTATGGTAGCTGCTATGGATGACAGAACAGACGGTGCAAATGAGCATGGTCTTGGTGGTTTATTACAAGGTACCACATATTTAGCTGCTATTTCTGGTGGTTCATGGTTTACCAGTACTGTTGTTTTCAACAATTGGACTTCTGTTCAAGATATCATTAATCAAATGGGTGACAATGACGGTTCTATCTGGGATATTGAACAATCTGCTTTAAGTCCAGGTGGTACAGACACTGCCTTTACAAATCAAAGGTTCGAAAACATTTCAGAAGCATTAAGTGAAAAATCTTCTGCAGGTTTCTCAACTTCCCTAGCTGACGTTTGGGGTTTAGCATTCTCTTATTACTTCTTCCCATCTCTACCAGAAGGTGGTGTTGGTTATACGTGGTCTACTATCCAAGAAACTGATGTCTTCCAAAATGCTGAGATGCCATATTTGATCCAATTGGGTAAGGCCCAGGTACCTGGAGCAGTGTCTGTTGATTTCAGCTCTCCTACTATTGAAGTTACTCCATATGATTTTGGTTCTTGGGAACCATCCATTAAGAGTTTTGCTGAAATTAAATATCTAGGTACCGAAGTTTCAAATGGTTCCCCTGTTACGCCAGGTCAATGTGTTGAAGGTTTTGATAATGTCAACTTCTTGATTGGTACCTGTACAAATTTGATTGAGTATGTCGAACAAGCCAACTCTGCTTATTACAACGCTGTCATTGATCAATTAGCTACATTGTTCTTAGGTAACGCCAGTACAAATGCAGACCGTACTCTTGCAATTTATTCTCCAAACCCATTCAAAGATACTACTAATTATGAGTCCGGTTCAGATACTACTTTTGTCACTGACGATAAACTATTGTTGGTTGATGGTGGTATTGACGGTCAAGTCATTCCATTCATTCCGGTTATGAAACAAGAACGTGATGTCGATGTTGTCTTTGCTTTAGATCAAACTGCAGATGCTGATGATCTATTCCCTAACGGTGATTCTCTTGTTTACACTTACGAACGTCAATTCACTGAAGCTGGTAAGTACGATGCATTCCCATATGTTCCAGATATTGAAAGTTTTGTTGAATTAGGTCTAAATAAAAAACCAGTTTTCTTTGGTTGTGACGCTTCCAACTTGACGGATCTAAGATACGTCCCTCCATTGATGGTTTATCTACCTAACGTTGCTCATTCATATGCATCCAATATCAGTACTCTTCAATTATCATTCACAGCCGAAGAACGTTTAGATTTAATCAGAAATGGTTTTGAAGCTGCTACCATGGGTAATTTTACTGAAGATCCAGATTTCTTAGGCTGTATTGGTTGTGCTGTTATGAGACGTAAGCAAGAAAAGTTTGGTTTGGACTGGCCAGAAGAATGTCAGCAATGTTTTACCAACTACTGTTGGGATGGTTCTACCAAGGATGACATTAAAAACACTACTAATATATCATCTACCGTGAGCGATAACTCTACTACTACCACTACCACTACAGATGGTGCTTCTTACACCACAATTCTTTCTACCATCGACGCTGATGAATTAAGTACAATCCACTTTGAAACTTCTACCACAATCACCTGTCATGAATGTGAACAAAACACTGCATCTCCAACTGTCACATACACCACTATAACAGCAGAATGTGGAGAATGTGAAGGCGGTTTCACAACTGTTGTTACAACTGTGCCATGTGAAGTAGATGAAGTAACTCAATCCGACACCCATAAGTATACGACTGTCTCATCCTGGACTACAACTACAGAAGTATGTTCAGAATGTGAGCAGATGGAAGCAATGGCCTCTGCCAGTGTCAATTCTTCCTCCAATGTTGTAAACACAGCTCAAGTTACTTCCCAAGGAAGCTCATCTAAGAATCTTTCTTCCAACGTGTCTGAAAATTCTCAAGTTTCCTCAACATCTATTCCATCTGTATTACAAGTTACAACTGATATGCCATCCCAATCTTCCTCTGTCTACAGCGTAATTGTTAACGAAAATGGTGCTGATCAATTATCTCTCCAAAGTATATTGACATCTGCCGCAGCCATTGTTGCATTTATTGGTTTAATCTAGATGTCGCCAATCAAAATTAGATTTCCACTATAATTTGTACTATAACATTTCAAGATTTACTATGTATTCTTCGGCGGATGAATTATTATAACTAAACTTATATACCCTCTATCTTTTTAAATAATCTAATAAATTTCCTATATTCCCTTAAAGCCGGTCTAATCATGAGAGCATTATTTAATAATTTGTTCTGAAATTCTTAATTATTTATAAAACGAATTGTGGGTTTACGATAATACTTTGAATAGCTAATAAAAAGTGTTTTCGGCCAGGAGATTGCATTATGGAAGAACAAAACCACAATGATAATTTATAAAACTTTGAGATTGGAAAAATATTTTTAAGTAATAAAGTATTACAAATATAATTTTTTGATTTTGGTTTGCAGGTCAAGGATAATAATATGATTAAGTTCAAACTTTATTACCTCAACGTTTCCATTGAGTAATTCAAAATTGCCCAAAGAAAATGAGAGTATAATTAATCGTAATAATTAAACAGAGCTAGATTTGTGTGCATGTTAGAATAAACGTTATTAAAAACGTGTTCATTTTTCGATCTCAGTATTTTACGTTATTTGATCTTTTTACTTGAAATTAGCTTATGTGACAAAGAAAAATAAAGAAATAGTGAATAATTATCATTTTATATAACATAATTATAAAGCTTAACTTATCGAGAATATTATGAAACTACAAAAAGACTGCTAGGAAACCACTTCCAGTTCATATCGTCACATTCAAAAAAAAAAATTAAGTGAAATGGATAAACTATTGTTAGAATAGTTTCATCAATAAAATAGACTAATATGCAATTAAACATATATCTGAGGCCACCTTCAGATATGGTCTGACGACATGATGACCAATGTAGATGACTAATTGTTGGATAAAGATTCTAACATTTATATTACCTCATGAAGGAGTCAATGGCTTATAAGTTAACTAAGGTTAGAACGGATTGTGGTGAAAGCATACATTTATTTCTTATTTGTATAATTATTCCTCAGTCTATTAGTCTTATTGATGTAAGACTTTTTAAAGCCGTTACACCTAGAGGTTGCAGTTTTCTAACCTATTTTTGGAGGTACATATTTAAAATGTTGCTTCCATTTGAATATATATGTGCCATTGGTTTACTTTCCTACATTCTATTTGCACCACGTAGAACATGTCACTTTAGACACATTGTTACGTTCTTCGACAATTCACCGGCACAGATGGTTGGTTAGTTTTTTCATTTTTTATTTTGTACTGGGCTTTATCTCTTTGCTGGTTTATATCCGACAGTGCAAATTATTCCTTTACAATATTTTTGAAATATGTGCAATTATAAGTTACCCTTAGTTTCTGACACTATTATAAGTTACCCTTAGTTTCTGACACTAACAGTTGAAACAGACATTTTTGTGTTAATTTCCTTTAAGTTAGTCATGCTGTCCCAATGAGTCATATAACTTAAAAATATATTCTGGAATACTATCTGCTAGCTTAGTTTGTGATATGTTATACTTAATAAATACCATATATAAAGATAATTGCTCTCTATATGAAATAATCAACCACCAAACACTTCCTAAATTACACCTAATATGTATTGGTCCATCTTTCATCAAGACATATTTTCTTTAGCCATCGTTATAAAGTGTAGTACATTTTATCACAGTATACTTTATGTCCCTCCGTACCACATGACCTGTCAACTTTAGCTACTCATTTTATAGGAATATATAAATACATGAGAATAATGTAGTGATTGGTGTATGTTAACTGAGTGTCAGGACTATGCGTCTGTGGCTCACAGCAGAGCTCCTCCACTTTCTTCAAGAGAGAGGCTAATTTATGTAAAGATATGAAATTTATCTAATCTACGAAAGTCTTCACTTTATATTCAACTTATATTCATATCAATATCGAATTGTACGAGCCAAATGCTTCTGAGTCATATAATTGCCATTTCAAACACTTTTCTGTTAATTAGACTCTCGAGTGGTAAAATATTAGAATTATCTGAACTTTGAATTCCAAATTTTCTCTATTTTAAGTAATACAATTTTGGTATATGTTTCTAAGATTTAAAGCTTTTATGGCCAAGTTGGTAAGGCGCCACACTAGTAATGTGGAGATCCTCGGTTCAACTCCGAGTGAAAGCATTTTTTTAATTTTTGATCCCTCACCCTCTGGTAACTAATTTATATTTTAATGTTATTTTAATAGTTGCCTTATATTTTTTTATGAACATAGCTGACATACTTGTACTTTCCAATTATATAAATCCGCATCTCTCGTTATTTCTAGTGATTAATCAGACCTGGTAATTATACAAAGTTTCTTTTTTAATGGCGATTTTGAAACAGTATACACTGAAATAAAATGAGCACTAAGCTAAATTTTAAAGATTAATTAATACGAGTTATTATACATTTGTCAAGAATATTATATAAAGTGTAAAACATCGACCAAAATCGAGCACAGGAAATTCGTATATCTAGAATATTTATTAAGTATTAGTTTGGCAGCTTCTTTATAAGAGGGTATTTTTTTTTTTACTTTTTAGAATATTGTCATTCATGTTAATTAAAACAGTGCTTTTATGATTCGTAAGGCTTTTCTGGGTCATCTGGGTTTACAATACGTAATTGGTTATCATTTCCTATGTCTTGTAACGAAGTTGCACTAAATATATTTTCGCTAGCATATATTGTGACAGGGTCCTCAAATGTATCTGTGTGTCCCCTGGAACTCATTCCTGTAAAGTTAGATGGATTTTCATCCCTTATATTACTATGTATCTTATTTTCGTCTACTATCGTTGTCGGTAGAGGTTCTTCATTTAGAAGATTGCCACTTGCATTGTTTGATTGGAAACTTCCTGAAGATGATGATATCCTACTACTTTTTACAGCACCCCATGCTTTTGGAGGCATACTATGTTTAGTATTATCCCTAGTTAGTGTATTTGTTGGAGGTACAACTACTGGGGAAATTTCCTCTTCACCGTATGAGTATGGTTGATATTGTTTGTTTTCACTTAAATCTACCACTAGGTCATCGTCTTTCTTGTTCCTTCTATTAAAGTAGTAAAATAAGGTCACTGCCAATATTAGGAATAATACACCGAATACTACACCTATAACAATACCAGCAATTGCCCCACCACTTAACTTTTTATGTGATCCATTTGTAGTTTTATTATTTGTATCATTATTGGTTGCTACGTTAGCTGTTTCTGTTGCAATTATTGATGTCGCAGTTACTAATATGGTTGATGCAGGTCTATTCGAAGTCTTAATCACAGACTGAATGACGACATTAGTAGTGTATCTAACAGAAATATAAGTAGACACCTGTGCTTGTGTGGAAGTAACGCTTGTTGAAGATCTTGAACTCGGATCTTTTTCACTAGTGGATAAACTCCCAGTGGAGGATGAGATTCCAGTGGAGGAGGAAGTTCCAGAGGAAGAAGATGGTAAGGATGAAGATGATATGGTCGATGAGATAGAAGTGCCAGTGCTTATACCAGTAGCTGATGTGGTTGAGGTTCGTGTTGAAGTCATCAATGTAGTTGATCCACTAACAGATGAACTAGTCGATGTTTGGCTACTTGTTGTACTATCCGCAGTAATCTCTGCATTAACATAAACATTCATAGCTGTTGAGCCACCGCACATTTGGTATGGCCAACCATTACAATCGACATCACATTCTGATTCCGAGAGAGATGTAAGGCTATCTAAAAGCGATGCTGAATTACCACAATAGCATGTACTCCCATCAAATAGTGCAGCTACTGCGGAACTTCCACATGATTCCTGGCAATAGTTTACAGATTGATATTGGTAATATCCGATTTCCTCCAACGAGGAGGTAAGATCAGTAGATTGGAAGCAACCTTTGTAGTTAAATTGAACGTCTGCTACTACTTGTTTTGAATGTATTACTAGAAGTAAAAATAATGGCAGAATGCATTTTATCATATAGGAAACACTAAAAGTTGATAACTGATGAAGCCGTATACTCATAATACCCCCTAGAGTCATCGTTTAATCTTACTTTTTACCTTTGAAGAGGTTACAACCCAGTTCAGAATGTGGTTCAAAGACTTAATTCCTGTATTATATAGCTGCTTTCAAAAGAGAAATACTTAAGTGAATCGGAATAAGGGGTTCTCGAGAGAAAGGAAAATATATATATGATATTGGAATCTTTGTCGCTTTATAAATATATATTTTGATATTTTATAATCAAATTACATCATACTTTAATAAAAAAATTCTCTGTTCTTTTTCTATAATAATTTTTTTTTGTTATTTTTATGCTCCTGAATCCCTCGTAGGAGTTTGCAATACTATTTATTATTAGTAGTAGTAGTATAATTTGATCCGAAATTGGTAATAATGAATCTCTTGAAGCGGATTTATTTTTATTTTTCTAAACAAAGACTATGCGAACACAAAAAGTAAACATGCAGCTCTACCATTTCCAATATAATTAAATGTGTAAAGCAGATTCTGTTAAGATCGACCCTTTCGGCTGTAAGTAAATTGAAAGATAATCTCTTTTAATCTGTTCCCCAAGACTAACTTGGCATATCTCTGTGAACACAGCTAGAGTGTGAAACTTTAAATTACATATAATTAAAAAAGATGGTAAACGTACCAAATTAATTATTTTTCTTGCCTTGTTACGACTACAGTCAATGTCAAGCTTAAAGACTACCGTCGGTCATCCTTACCGGTTGTTAAATTTTGAATGGAAAGAAGATACTTTAGCATCGTCTTGTTGTAGCAATCTGCTCTGGTAACATCTCATCTATGAAACTCCGTAGTCTGCATCAAGGGCTGTGAATTATATGTAAATTTTCTGTAAACTTTCCTCTATTTTTCCGGTACCAAATTTCAATCATACATATACAGGTTGGATAAAATGTAGCACTGTTTCTATATTGTTTCAAAAATTCTGTATATTCGCACAGTAATTTTAGGCTGCTCTCTTTTATCTTATCGAATCTAATGACATATGTCCTCCGTATATTTCTCAGCAAATTCAGCGATATGCGAGACAGAAATTACCTTTTCTCTGCAGTGTTATCGTTATTTCAATTCGTATTCATTTTTTTGCCAAATAAATGGAAGAGAGAAAACTTCAAAGAGGTAAGGCAGCCATTAACAATGCGTGGTCTGTAATATGCCGCACAAACGTTCATTAGGTTTTATTTATATAGTTTCTTAATAATAGAAGAAGAATGATAATAAAGGTCTGGAGTTTAGTATGTGACAAGAATTATCTGAGATAATACAATTTAGAAATAATTCTTAATTGGAAGGCACACAAACTCTAATGATAGAGAACAACGGAATGCCATTGTACCTTAATTACCGGACATTTGAAGCAAAACATGATATACTTGCAAGGTTGATGTATAGTGACAGTAAATAACAAATTTGTTTGACGTTTTGATTCGAATAGCACATTGCATTTACTGTACGGGAAGGCTTTCCGTTTGCTTCATAGATTGTTGAAGCAAATATTATAATATCATTTTGAATATCTACCCAGCAACCAAATCTGCTGCTGTTCCCCTTATTATTAGTATGAACACAACTTTTAAACTGGTTAACTGAATATTCTTTCGAATCTTGTAAAAAGAAATGATCTTCCCAAAATTTCTGGTATAATAACCGTTTTAGGACGCTCATATTTGTTTCTCTTAAAGTATACGTACCTCCATTTTTGGTAACTAGATTCGTCCATTGAAACCATTTGTATATCATATCATCGAATAATGAGGAGATGTAGCTGTCGACAAAGGTATACATTTCGAAGGACTTGTTTCCTTTGGGAATTTTGTTGAATAATAGCTTTTTAGCATATAATTGAATATGTTGTTGCTTTATTATTATTAGGTCAGAACAGCTCTCTTGACCCTTTGACTTTACATGAACGAACAATATTAAAGGTATAATATTAATACAGTTAGATTCTTCTTCATATTTAAATTTTCTTTTTTCATAATTGATATGTATCTCGTTAGGTACTATATCGAAAAATTTGCTTAGATCTTTTAGAATAATTGGTCGCTCCATTTGAAGTCCCATGTAAAGAACTTTGAACAAGTTAAAAGGAGATTTGTTCGGGCCTGTTCTTTTAAAATTAAACCTTAAATGTCTTGCTTCAGAAACAAGATTTACAAAAGACCTATTTGGGTAAATGGGGACGATAGGCATCTTAATCTTTTTCCGGTTAGAATCCTGATCAAAACTAAATTCATTATCTCCTAAGGTAGTATTAGCCTCTAAAAATGACATAGTTTCTCTTGCAGAGAAATTTGACACTCTATTGAATGGGACTAGTAAGTTGCATTATGGAAAGTAATTTTTTGTTTTTATTCTTATTTAAAATACATGGTTGTATTTGATACTTCAAGTTCGATATTTTATTCATAGCCGCCGAGCGACAAAGCGTACTCTTGGAGGAGGAGCAAGAAATTCATATTGAAGAATAATTAAGATACAAGAACAAAATGATTTAGATTATTCGTTATACAATGTGAAAAAATAAAGGTTGATTAGATGATGTTTTAAACAGCTTTTTCTAGGTCATCTTTCGAGCTGAATGAGATATAACAAAGAGAAGTAATCTTGGTAAACGTCTTATTATCAAAATTTTTCCCCAAAGGTTAAGTTCAATCTAACACTGGTATTAGGTGGAGAATTAAAGGTAATTCGTGGCAAATATTGTGAAATTATGAGTTAAGGTGCCAGGAACCAAGATTATCACTATTGTTTTTTTGTTTACATTTTTTTTTTATTATTTTGTAGAAAATATATAATATTTAATTTTACAACCAATTATGAATCTTTCATAAAGCTAATTCAATAACAACTAACAATCACGGAAATTCAATTGCTAGAATAATTAGATGTTAGGTCGTGATTAAAATTACTTCGACATAAATTATGCAAATAAACAAACTATCCCACTCATATGATCCAAATTAGCTTATTTCTGTTGGTACACACTTATATTTAAAATATTGAATCTATAAAATACTATTGCAAAATACAACAACATGTACCACCAAAAACAACAACATGACAACTTTAACTTAAAAATACACGTCTGGAACTGCATTGTCGTTCGAGCTACTCTTGACGAAGAATTCATCCCATATCGACTGTGAAGAAACTTGGTACAACAAATCAATCATATTCGAATCTTGTTCAATAGACCCGCGTCTTGCTTGATGTTCCAACCCATTTCCTAGACTATTCATTAAAGATGGCTCATTCAAGGTTTCTGTCCCTAAATCATCCGTAGTAGATATCCCTTCATGATTATTTCCGCCTATCGTTGGAACAGTATTAAATTTTTCCATTTCCTGGAAGAATTGGTTTAGTGAGATGTCAGTATAATCGGAGTTTGGTACAACATCATTATGTGTAGTTAAATTATATTGCTCCTTATCTTTTGTTTTATTTGCCAAATCATCCAATTTTAATTTCTTGACCACAGCTGCTAATGTCTTGTAAATTTGATAACAGTTTTTAGCAGAATCACATTTCCCGATCAATTCTTTCAATACATTTAGAACTTTCGCTGTATATTCCAGAACATCATATTCATCTTTTAATATTGGATCGTTTGAATAATAAATGGTGTATAGATAAGTCATACCAGTCATAAAAATATTGTGGACAGCTACCCACGTATAGCTTAATTTTTTATTAATGCAAAGATTATGGAATACATCTATCGTTCCTTTTGAACTTTCAAAAACCACCTTGAAGGACTCAGTTGTCAAATTTGGGCACTTTGGAGATATACCGAATAAGATAAGCTTCGAATAGTGATAATTTAAATCAAACACAAATGTATTGAACCCGCAATTCATTTTCAACGAATTTTTTGGTACGTCTTCGGCATACCAACGATCAAGCTCTTCGAGTATGGTAGACCTCCAGTCTTCTATATTTTTAAATGCCCTTGGCAATTCTGAGTGAGGCGCATATAATATTCTTACTATGGAAGCCTGTAATTTTCTTATTTTAAACATAGAAATTGCAATATGTTTGCTAGATATTGAATAGAGCTCTGCATCTGAATAATCAGTTATAGTTATTCCATTTTGAACAAAATCCTTAGTGTCTATATACGAGTCATCAAGCATACTAGGATATCTAGTTGTTATACTCTCTTCTGGAATTCCAAAGGGACGACCAAAATAGGAACAAATTTGCCTATCTAAGGAGTATACTGACCAAAATAATCGTCGTCTCATTTCTCTGGTGAAGGGATCATAGTTCATGTTTAATTTCTCGGTGTGCAAACCTAAATCAACCGTCAATCTCAAAGCTGATCCTAAAACATACCACACTCCAGGGACATTTGGTCTCATCAGAGCATATATAACTAACAATAATGTTCCTGATAAAGCTTCTAATCGATCAGTAGTAACAAATAATGAATTAGCATAATGGGCAGCTCTTCTCTTGAATGCAACTACTTTAGAGATTTTAGATTGTATGACATCTGTAGCAAAACCAATCGCAAATACAATATTCAGGAAAAATAGTGGGATATGTAACCTTTTAGGTACCTCGGGCTCTTTATGTTTGTTAGATCTCGCATAGCTTTTCCATATATTGTACCATGGGTTAAATGCTTTCTCCATTTCATCTTCCGCATCTTTATCAATAAAGACATTCTTGGGAAGATTAAAAGATTTATTAATTTCAGTATAGTCAGAAAGTAATGAAATATTATAATCCCATGGTCCATAAATTGGTTCGAAATACTTTTTCAAGAAAAATTCCCTATGGAGGATTGGTAATTGAACATTTGTGTATGAAAAAAAACTAACAATTAACGATTGTGCTTCAAACTTATCTGGTAATTGTGACGTATCATTAATATGACCCTGTGCATTTTGATGAATAGATTCCTTTAAAATTATATTTTCTTTATCTATACCTCCATCAGTATCCGTTACAAGTAATTCTGGTTTAATATTTGTTGCCGTAAATACCAACCTGGCAAATGATACACCAGAGGAATCACCTAGAAATGAACTTGGATTTGTCTCCTTAATTGACGCAAGACTGTTTATGTCTTTATTTGATTTACCAAAATCTAATGACGCCGCATTGTCTGTAACAGGACTTGGCGTTACTGCTAAAGTATTATCAAATGAATGACTTGCAGTTGATGGTGTAATAATATCAGTAGTTCCTTTTATTAAATGACCTTGGTTAATTAAAAAATCTCCCAATAGCCCGTTATCATGTAGATAATATTCAGAATTAGATCCAGACTGGATTGATTTACCAGTATAAGGAGGATCATTGCTCGATACAGGAAATGTTGACCTCACATTTTTTAAATCAATACTCTCTTGTTGCAATTTCTTTAAGAAGATTTGAAGAGTGTCTTCTAAGAATAAGACATATGATCTTGGTACATCTTCTCCTGTTGCGGGATCGACAGATATGCAAGATACCTTAGCTTTAGAACAATGAGCACATGTTGGTAATAGTTTGTCACATTTGATTTTTTTTTGTTTACATCTTTTACAAGCAGTTATTGGAGTATTAATTATTCTTGTAAGTGGTGATGCTGTTTTTGTATTCAAATTTTTTTTCTCAATCTTTATTGAGGTCTTTTTTGATGAAGTCTGTTTTTTGGTGGGGTAGCTATCTCTGGCTTTCATGGTTGAAATTTTGGAACGTTATCACAATTTATTGTTTAGATCAGCTTTTCCCATATATGTGCCTCGAGAAGATACGCCTTGCTTTAGATTCCAGATTCTATTTATTGTAAAGAACTACAAGTCATCGCATTTCGATGAAATTTCCTCTTTTAATTTTTTTTCCAGCTGAGGCTGTAGCGTAAACAAAAGTTGAAAACAATAATACCACTATGCAATATAATCGTCCATGAACAGAGGAACTATTTCAGAGTCGAGGAATTCTTAAAAGGATATAAATTACGAGTAGAGATACATTTAAAAGATATTAAAATTATCTAGAGCATTACAACAACTGATATTAATATGAAGATAGGCATAATACCGTATCAAAAAGAAGATTTTGAGATCGATAAAGATAAACAACGCCCTTCATTTTTAGAGTACCAAGAAACTTATAAAGGATTCAGCAAACCTATAGATACTCCCTTAAATAAACGTCATTTTATATACACACCATGCGCACCAATTTCTCAGTTTACAGAGTTAGGATATTGCAATACAGAATATCCTTTTGAGAAACCAGGTTTCAACACCATGGATAGATCCGATGGATTATCAATGATAAATAAAGGAAACGACACCGTAGGGGTAATACAATCGATGGGTTGGAGATCTGGCCGTTGTGATGTCTGTATTAAAGAAGGTGTATCGTACTGGGAAGTAATTGTATTAAAGGGTGGTGCCGTAGCTGTATCCAACGACGAAGATGGAGACAGTGAAGTTAAGACGAAGGATGCCATAGACAATAGTCCTCATTTAAGATTTGGTATCTCTAGAAGGGAGATGAGTCTCGAAGCTCCTGTTGGTTTTGATGCATATGGGTACGGAATTAGAGATCAAGCTTTAGAATCTGTACATGAGGGTAAATTAAATCAGAAGATTCGAACTAAAACACAATTAAAAGAAGGAGATAGAATAGGGTTTGTATTAACATTACCAGATACACAAGAACAAATAGAACAAGCTCGAGAATATACAATGAGAAGATTGGATGCTTTATTACAATCAGGTTCTAAAGGGATATCAAACTCAGATATGACATCAGAGAATGATCAATCTTTATCATCCGGACCACATAGAAAGAAATTGAAACATTGGAAGCCATCACAAAAGGAATTCCAAGAAGCATTATTACGAGATATTGACTATACCAATATAGTTAGAGATCAAATCGCCATTAGATATAAGGGACAGTTATTATTCGAAGGGACAGATTATGTGAAGACTACAAAACCCGAATATTATTCATCTGATCATAGAGAGAGACAAGATTATTATAATTTGAAAGGATCCTCTTTGAAATTATATTTGAATGGAGAATATCTAGGGAAATCTTTTGAGAATTTAAATCCATTTTTACCACCTTTCAGTGAATTACAATATAATGAAAAATTTTATTATAATTATTGGAAAAATGGTGGGGCCCGTCTTGCGGAGGATCATTCTCTTGATAGATACAATGATTCGACACATGTTACTAAAAACGAGAAATTAACGGAAACTGATAATTCTGGTGGTATAATGAATAATTTAACTGATGTGAAAGGAGTTCAGTTATTAAGAAACAAATATGTTAATAATAATCGATTAGGTTACTATCCAACTGTGAGTTGTTTCAATGGTGGTGAAGCGAAAATCATTACCGTTGGTTCTGAATTGAAATATTTGGAACAAGTGAAGGAACAAGAAGGTATTGATTGTAAAATTAATACACTCGATAAATTATTCAATGAACAAATAGCTGATGATATCATATGGGATATCGTTGATGAGCTTGAAGAAGAATGCAAGAAAGGAAAATAGCGTTTTTCTTTTTCATTTTGAAAAAAAATGGTATCATATGCTTTATTAATTAAATAATTTGCATGTATATGTATATTTCGTATGTACTTGTATAAATTAAAAGACATGAAAAAAAAAAGAATGAAAGTAAGATCAAATAAAGTTCTTATTATTAACAAAGTGTCATAAGTTATGAATATGTATGTTCGTAAACGTGAGTATATGTGGATGTAATGAGTGTGTGAACACAACTATGAGTTTTTTTTTGGGGGGGGGAGGATTGTGTGCCTAAAAAAAATAGGCTATGGGTATATGTATGGGAGAATATAAGAAAAAAACAAAAAATGGGTCAAACAGTAATTTTGATCCAAAATATTATATTAACCATCTCTTTGTATAAATGTCAATGATGGCACGGTAATGACCAATAGCACCCATGACAACAAAGAAATGCCATAGAGTATGTGAAGAAAAAGCATAATCCACCCACCATAAAGAAGTTAAATTCTTCATAGCTCTATGACAATTACAAGTAGGTTCATCTCTAAAATGAATATCTTTATGAGTGGTAATAATATTTAAATCTGATGCTAATTCTTTTTGAGTTGGAATAGAATCATCTACCGTGACATCTGATCTAAATCTTTCTGGAATGAAAGAACCATAGAAAACAACACCTACACTATACCAAATGATTGATTTATTTGTTACAGGCATTAAAAGAGAAGTAGTATTATGAAATCCTTCATAATATATTGTTTGTAAGAAAGATAAACCACCAACTGCGACTAATAAGATAAAAAATTTAATTCTTAATGGTCTTGCCTCCGGGGAATCAAATTTTGGGGAACAATTTAAATATATTCCAATTATACCTAAAACCAAAGATGTAAACATGAATAAAACCATTGCTATTGGATGAGAAAATAATGTAGCGAATTCAATCGATAGAATTGATGCTGTAATTAAAATAGTGATACCACTATAATCAACACAAGCAAATCTTCTACGTAAACCTAAGAATGAAGTACCATTAAAAGTATGCCAAAATGTTGAAGCTAATAAACATTTAATAGAAGCTAATAAAAATACAAAAGCGATACCTTTTGCCATTATTGGAACTTTTTCAGATTGATAAATTTCAGTATTTGGGAATTGCCAAAATGCAATATAAGTCATATAAATTGCACCAAATAAATGTGTCCAAATATTTGTTGATTCATTATGCCAACCATACCAATTAATAATTGAAAGAAATGATTTTTTATGAGAATCATAAAATCTATAATTATAAATAATATACCTATTTTCTCTCCATGGGAAAGGTAATTGATAATAATGTAAATGGTCATCTTTACCTAATTCATGAGCTCTCTCTAAACCAAAAGAACAAATTTTTTCTTTAATCTTTGGACATGGTTCTAATATCAATCTTTCATCTTCTTCAAATATTACTTCTTTTTCTAATAATGTACTACTTGTTGAAGTACGTGAAGGAGTCGAAAAATTAAAATTAATATCAGAAACTGTATCAATTTTTGAAGTTGAATGTAATTTTGTTATTAATGAAACACTTCCATGACGTGAAGAATCTATGCCGCTATTAACTAAAGTAGTAGCATCTGATTCAAATGAAATCTGTGAATCATTTTCATTATAACTTAATGGATCAAATCCTCCCTTTTCATTATTATTACTAGGAACATTTTTTGATAAAGGTGAAATTGGAACATTATCGATATTTTTAATGTTTTTGTTATTCTTCGAGGAAGAAGAATAAGGATAAGAGAATGAAGTTAATCTACTTGGATAAAACTTATTTGCGTATTCTTTACCACTTTGTTTAACTCTATGAATATTACTAATTCCTCTTTTACTTAAACGTGATAATGAACCTAAAGCAGCTGAAGCAGATGGAATATAAGAACCTTGAAGCGATGTTTGTTGTAAATTATTAGTTGTAGTTTGTTGAATCATAGCGATTTAAAGGACAAATTTTCTTGAAAGCAAAAATAAAATAAAATGAATGTAATCTTTAATATGAGATAGCCAATTTAAAAAAAAAAAAAAGAAATAAAGTGAATGAGATTGAGGCTAAAACAAACCACGCAAACGATTTACCAATGACGGGATCAATAGACTTAGTTGTTATTTGACTATAGTATACTTTACAAACAATAAGAATAAGTTGTCATTATGAAATATCGAAACAACAACAGCCCATTAACGTATATATATATATATTGATTTATAAATTTTTTTTACCTATCATAGTCTTGTGATTCTGACTACCCTCTCTTGGTACCTTTTTTCACTTTTTTTGCCGTGTAAGAGTGAAAAATACATACAATAGCAGTGAAAAAGAAAGGAACGAGAAGAAAAGCAAACAAACAACTCGCTCAGATTTCTTTCTTTCTCGTTCTCTACGTACAATAGAGACAATTCATTCGTACATGCCAAAGATATATGGGTGTGTGGGTCTTACGAGATTGCAGTGACCGGCTAAAAAAAGCAACGGGCGATCGCACAAGTGCCCGTAGCACGGAGGTATTCGCTCTTTCTGTTCTGTCTGCCTGACCGTCGCCGGTTCTCTCGAGGTGAAGCTACGGAGACACTGCCGTAGCAACGACTTTCTTTATGTGTTTGCGAGTAAACAGCGTGAATGCTCGAACGTGTGGTGTATGGGTTACTCCGTCAATCGAAGCTCTGATTACTTTCGTCATCCACCAAAAAAAGCATTTTGTCTCTCACCCCCACACACACCCGTCTGCTGAGAAACAAGCGGAGAGACCGTGAATCTTCTGTCTCTCATAGTGCGTTTTTATTATGGCGAAGAAACGAAGAAACGAGACGAGACGAGACGAGACACTTGGCAGGGAGGGAGAAAGGGAGCGTCACAAGTATATCGTAATGTACGAGTCGCTATATGTCTGCTGCTGCAACTCTCTCTTTCTACCCCCCCACTCTCCCCCTGCCTCTCGTATAGACAAAGCTAGTAATCTATCATTCTTGTGGGCGAATGAGCGCAGGACTATCCGTATGGGAAAGACTTCTTCCTTGATTGTGCGCGTATAACTGAAGGACTGCCCCGCAATTTAAAATGGAAGCTGTCAAAATTGAAGTGGGAGGCAAATAATAAGATCAATAACAGTGGTTGTGTGCGAATGCTTTCTATCTCTCTCGTTTGTAAAGAAGATCATATAACCAAATGGCAAATCACTATTTGACAATTGTTTAGATCTGTAAACGAACATCAAGCTAAATAAGCAAACAGGCGGATAAACGGGAAGTGTGTTTTAATAATTGCCGTTTCCGTCTCCTTCTTTGTAATTCACAAATATATATATATATAAATTTGTGTAAAACGCTGGATATTGTGGGTAAAAGAATTGAATTTACTATGAATAGTCAGGTAATCAAATTTTATTTTTGAATTTCCCCTGCACGTGATCACGGGACATATGTCCCGTTCCACTTTTTATCACAAGAAACTATTACTCATATTTTTTTCGTGATAAGTTAAAAACAGACAACAAACGCGCGCTATGAAGTGAAAATTTTTTTATTTTTGCTTTTTTACCTTCAATTACTAGAGATGATCAATTTTTTGACAACAAATAATCTAATTGACAGCTTGTATTGTAAGAGTCAATTATTATTCTTAAGGGTAATTGCGATATATATATATATATATTATTGTATTATTGAAATAGATTTTATATTAGAAAAAAAAATCTTAATATATCACTCTTTTATTTTGGTAATTAACTTTCTACATATATATATATATATATACACACAAACATAACGTTAATCATGACTGAAACTACTACAGTAGATCCGCAAGTTGCTTACGACTTAATTACAAAAAATTTACAAGAAGTTTTAAATCCACAAATCATTAAAAATGTTCTTGAAGTTGAAAAGAGACATTTGAAATTATACTGGGGTACAGCACCAACAGGTAGACCACATTGTGGTTATTTTGTTGCAATGACAAAATTAGCAGATTTTTTAAAAGCAGGTTGTGAAGTTACGGTTTTATTGGCAGATTTACATGCTTTCTTAGATAATATGAAAGCACCATTAGAAGTTGTTAACTACAGAGCTAAATATTATGAATGTTCAATTAAAGCAATTTTAAGATCAATTAATGTCCCAATTGAAAAATTAAAATTTGTTGTTGGTTCATCTTATCAAAAAGGTGGTGAATATACTCTTGATATTTTTAAATTATCAAATATTGTTTCACAAAATGACGCAAAGAGAGCTGGTGCCGATGTGGTTAAACAAGTTGCAAACCCATTATTATCTGGTTTAATTTATCCATTAATGCAAGCTCTTGATGAACATTATTTAGATGTTGATGCTCAATTTGGTGGTGTTGATCAAAGAAAAATTTTTGTACTTGCTGAAGAAAATTTAGAAAAAATTGGTTATAAAAAAAGAGCACATTTAATGAATCCAATGGTACCAGGGTTAGGTCAAGGTGGTAAAATGTCAGCATCTGATCCAAATTCAAAAATCGATCTTTTGGAAGAACCAAAAATTGTTAAAAAGAAAATTAATGGTGCTTTTTGTTCTCCAGGTAATGTTGAAGAAAATGGTTTATTATCATTTATTGAATTTGTTGTTGCACCAATTCAACAATTAAAATTTGGTGATGATTATTTTGAATTTTTCATTGATAGACCAGAAAAATTCGGTGGTCCAATTACTTATAAATCATTCCAAGAATTGAAACAATCCTTTAAAGATGAAAAATTATCTCCACCTGATTTAAAAATCGGTACCGCTGATGCCATTAATCAATTATTAGCTCCAATTAGAGAAGAATACGCTAACAATAAAGAATATCAAGAAGCTAATGAAAAGGGTTATCCAGTAGCTGTACCAGAAAAGACAAAGAAAGCAAAGAAACCAAAAAATAAAGGTAGTAGATACCCAGGTGCTCAAAAGACTGATGAAAATATTAAAGAAGTTACAGAAGATTTAAAGAAGGCTTCAGTATAAGATCAATCTTTTCTTACTTTCTTTCCTTTTTCGACTAGTTTCATTTTTTTGTATTGCAAATCTTTATGGCAATAATTTTATTTTTTTTTTTCCCATTTAAAGTAACCACCACTATATATGCTATGAAAGAAACTCTTCTTTAGTGGATTTGCTTTTATATAGATTTGTACTGGGTTTCACCTTAATTATATAATAACTACTAATACACGATAATATTTTTTTATTATTTCATGTTCTTCAAATATAATTAGCAATACTATTAATATGACATGCTTTTTTATTTTATTTAATCATTTTATGCAATATAGATATATAGATTTTTCTACATTCGATCTCCTATAAGGTCTCCCATCCACCTTGATCACTGTTACCATCTGTTGCTCTAAACACAATATGAGGGATCATATTACCCAAAAAGATCTCATTAGTCAAATATTCATATTTTTCGTTATCTAAGAAAACCGGAGTTCCATATTTTAAACCTTCACCCGCATCCCCATATTTGTTAATATATGGAGAATGATAAAATGTTCCTCTGTCACCATATGCAATATATATCATATTTGTTCTCATCATTAGAAATAATCCGTAGTTTGAATCTGATTCACATTCATTAAGTAAATGATTCGTACATTCACCAATCTTGTAACCATGTAACGGCACCGGTTTTTGAATATACATCGTTGAGCCACATAATAAACATAGGACAGATTCACCTCCTAATATTCTTTCAATCTTATTTACTTCATATTCAACATTGGTATAAAATGTGGATAAATTGTATGGTAAGCTGATTAAATGACCACAGGATATCGCAGGGAAATGCTTTTTTTCTAATTTTGTAAAAATTTTAATTCTTTCCTCTTCAGATGTGTTGTCATAATTTTGAATCGCTGAAGATAAATAATTATTCAAAAAGTTCGAAAGTAATTCTCCAAAATTTTTAATCTTATCACGGGTCAAATAATTAATTGCATTTTCGAAATCTCCCAATTTATTTTCAATCTTTATCTTTTCATCATCTACAGAAAAATGGACGTGGAATAGCAGAATAAGCCTTCTTAGAAATACAGCCGTTGTGCCTTGAAGTAAATGATAGAAACACTTGGAAACCTTATTTATATCCAAACCTATATTAGGTACAGTATAATTGAAAAATTTCAAGTATTGTTCAAGGACCCTAGTTGCCACCTTATAGTTTTCTAATTCATTCTCATTTCTGGCGTCGAAAGTTACTTTATTCCATGGAATTTCCATATCATCCATTGATTCGTAAAAATTAACCATTAACATACCTCTACAGAAAAGAATAATATCTTCTTCCATCTTTGTGTAAACAAGATCTAAAATTTGTTCAATTGAATTTAAAGGCGATTGATTAGGAAAAAAAATCGTATTGGATATTGAGAGAACGTTATTGTAAGCATCACCGTTCTTAAGGCGACCCATCTTCATTATATCGGCTGGTGAATGGGCACCATTGATTCGGTTATTGGTAAACGTCAATAAATCAGAAAGTAAACGAAATGTCACTAAACACTGATTAGGTAAGTTGCTTAGTATTTGTTTATCGTCGGTTCCAGAAATAAGATTCTTTCGTAACCTCAATTCGAAGTTGGCAATAGAGTTTACCAACAAATTACTTATTATGTCGTATGTGCTAGTAAACGTTTTTTTAGTTGTATCATGCCCTACAAGTTCACCAAAAATATCGCAAGCCTTCGTGCAAGTCAACATTAACTCAGGTGGCATATTAGTGACATCAAAACTTTGGTTTATTTTTTTCCAAAATGATTCTCGACTTTTATTGTTAAATTTAACTATTTTTGGAAGAAAGGAATTCATCAAAGAATTACAAACAGGGCAGTATATTAAACCGAATCCATAAGAATTTGGGACATTTTTTGTAGTTTGTGTATGAACTGTGGCTGCACTTTTCATATGATTCCCCAGACAATTAATATGCGAACCATGCCCACATATTCTAAGTACAGGCGCTTGTTGAATATATTTCATCTTGAGGGTGTTTTCGTCTTCACTGTAAGATTTCTGTTCCCACTGAAGCATGTCTGTTACATGCTTTGGAATAGAAAAGTCAATTCCAAAATCACATATATTATTTTCTTGATAAGAAAAATATACAAATGGATCATCATTCTTCTCTATTTTACAAAAGACGCACGAATCGTCTGGGTATTCCCAACCTGGCAGAGAAACAGAAGTGTTGCTATAATCCGAAGGGTGTTTAATAGATGACATCTTGCTGAGTGAGGTGTTAGCTGTAATATTCTTTTCAATAAATTTCATTTGTTGTTTAGAAAATTTGCGAAGGATTTTATCTCTTCTGGCTTGAGCCAATTTTTTCTTCCTTAAATGTTCTTCCTCCTTACTGGTTCTTGATCCTTTAGAGGATTTTAATATTTCTGGGTTAAAAGAGGGGGTTTGTTCCAATAAATACCCGTTAACATCCACATGAGGCGCCTTATTTGATAGTACTCTAAAAATTTCTCTTATTTTACCATGAACATTGGAAAAGATATCATCTAGTAATAACGAGTACAAGATGGAACCAATACTATGAAAATGATAAAACTCAGTGTCGATAATTTCATACTCATGCCAGAACACTTTCATGAAATCATTTAAATTGTTCACAACACATAAATGTATTAGATGCACCACTCTTGGTAGAAGGTTCTCATATCTGCACTTCTTAATATGTTCTAAGGTACTTTTCAGAAAGATTCCAAATGTGTCGACTGATGATATGGCGTACAGATTATAGTACGGAGTATCCTTTAAAATATCATGAACCTCTTTAACAGGGACGTAAGTATCAACGAAATCTTTCTTTTCTTTAATTTTCATATAGTTTCGAACGCTCTTTTCAATTTCATACCTCTTACTTGAACTCACACCTAAATAATAAGGATCAAGATCTTTAATATACTCATCTTTCAGATGAAATGTACCACATTCAGCACCACCACTTGCTGGAGTAAACTCTGCATATTTTTCTAAATAATTATCAAACGTAGAATGCCTTGTAATATGTTCTGGGATGGTATCCATAATCTGAGCATATGTACAACGGTTAAATGCGACTGCATGAATAATTTCAGATTCCAGTGTCCTCTCAAAATTATCAATGGATGATAGTACTATCAAAGACTTTATTTCTGTAAATAATTGAATTAATAAGAGTAGACATTCATTAACAACAGCCATCGTAGTCTCATCATCAGGGTAATCACCCATTGGGGTTCCATTAGACCAGCTTTTTAAACCCCATCGAGTTAAAAAGGTAACCATAAAATCATCGGCGTTGGCCATACACATACTAAATTGAACATTAAAAACATCGCTCATATAGGTAAGTTCTCTCATATTAAATTTCGTGTACATCCTCTTTTGATGCATGATTGGGGTACCATTTCTTACCCAGAACCCTACATTGATTTGTCCAATTAGTACCAAAGTAGATAACGATGCTTCCGATAAGTATAGAGCTTGAACTTCATCATCAAAAAATTTATGGAAATCAACATAAGAAGTTACACTCTTAGGCACAGCCTCATATCTACCACATTGACTCCACTGTAGAATAAATTTAAAAAGGTATGATGTTGGGTTTAGAAAACTTTGTGAGTCAATACCAACCTGGAATCTCACGACATCTGTCATGTGGTTACATACTTTTTCTTTTACTGCCGATAATTTAGGGATATGGCCTTCTTCGAAGGCGACAGGATGGTCAACGAGTCTTCTAGATGTACTTAAAAGTTCGAATCCATTGGATATGGTCACTTTCATAAATCTTTTAATAATGGTATATCTAAATTCTTTGTCCGATATCATCGATATACAACGGAGGTACCCATCAATCATTATCAATAAAGATGAAAAGAAAAAGTAATAAGTGGAAAAGTCAAAATTTTCAAATTCCACATGTTCCGAAATCTCTCTTCGTACTGGTAAAATATTACTAAATTGTAAAATAGCATCTAACATACAATTAAATATACTAGTACTCTCTAGTAATTCTCGTGGTATCGTATTGGCTGAAACCAAAGTACAAAGGTCTTTAAGACATATAATAGTCTTTCGATTTTTTATCGTTTCACTTGGAAGTTTAAATTTATTGTATATGGATATAGGTAGAAACGTCACCAAATCTTCTGAATTGAATGCAAGTAGCGTGAATGCGAATTTTAATGTCCGTTCAATGAAACCTGATTGAATGGCCAAATTAGATAGAAAAGGATCCTGAAAGGTATACTGTGACATCAGACTCATAAATGCTAATTTAATCCCAACAGGATCTGATGATACTGCTTTATATACTACATTAAGGTATACGTCAAGGTATTGCGCGGTAATATATCGTCTTGCATTATCAGTAAGTGAAAATAATGTACAAAAAACCTTAGTCATACGAAGAGAAGCTACCCTTGAAAGGTTTTCAAAACACTCTGCAACTAGATATTGGAAACGGGAACCTCTAAACAGACATATATTTGAGTGTGATAATTCAGCTACAACGGTCGATAGATCTCTATCATAATTTTGTAGTATTTGTGCTAAATGATCATCCCCACAATCTTCAAAATTCCATGGGTTGAACCACTTTTTTGATATTTTTTCGTCCGGTGATGAAACAGGAGATGTTGAAGAAGTATATGAAAACTGGCCAGGTGATAGGAATCCCCCAAACAAATTTATCTTCGTTTTTAATGGTTGATTATACTCCAATTCAGCATGTTCGATCTTCGGCTTCCACGAGTCCATCATACATGAACGCAAAGTATATTTCATCTCATATGGTGAGTTCATATCTGTGCACAGGTTGTACAAAAAATGAACCAAATCTTCCATAAGGTTAACCTTAAAGACATCATGTAACCTTCTAATATGAACTACAATATTTTCATCTCGAAACATTTCATATATCTCTTTAATTTTATCGTAATCGCTTGTTTGTGCCAATACAACAGGGGAATTGTATTCTAATAATTTTTTACAAATCGAAACCCCATATTCAATTGGTTTATTTAATACTTTAGAAATCTTACTTGCAAGATCCATTATATGAACTTGATTATCTTCATTATTTAATTGGATTGTCCAAATTTCATTTATATTCATATTTGAAGCATAAGATTCATATACCATATTTCGACTCTCAGTAGTTTCAATTAGGATTTCATTAAATATAGAATCTTTATTCGAGGAATGCACTTCTTCTGGGTCGTTACTAGCACTATTATCGTTATCATTATTAGCATTATTATTGTCCTTAGGATTATGATTTCGCGTAGAAATATGACTATACCCTGTAAATGATGTATTTTTCAATTCATTTGTACTTAAAATAACATCAATGATATAATCAATTATATCATTAAATGCTGCATGCATTATCGGATCAAAAAAATCGTTATTAGCAAACGATAGCTTATTATTCCTATTATTATTCAATTTATTTTTACATTTGTATGCAGATTCTGGATCATGGAAGATGGATTCATTTCCACAATGGCACAATCTTCCTTCACTTCTTGTAATAACGCTAGCAGAGTATTCATGGTCAATATGTTCATCTGGATCAAAACATGCATCACATATCCCGTATAATGGATTAATGGTACAAGTAAAACAATAATATACTATCTCTGCTGGTAAACATTGTCGATTACACATGGTACCATTATGAAAATTATCAATATTATCATGTCTATGTAAATCTTTCCAATTTTTCCCTTCTAAAACATCCTTATATGAATTATCGCTACTTATTTGGGACTCTAACAAATTTACAATCGTTCTCCAATCAATTTTATCATTATCTGTAGTTAAACATATTTTCACTGCTTTCCATACTATATAACTAACAATTTCATTATAGTCGTTATCTGCATATGTTGGTAAATGAGTTAAGAAGTCACGTAAACTCTCCGGTTCCTTTCTATTATCATACATAATAAAAACACCTTTTTTAAAAATAACTCTCTTTCTCTTACTATATGATCTATAAATAATTAGTTTAGGGGAAAAGTTCTATGCATTAATACACCAAGGTTCAAAGTTTGAAAGATCTTGTAATTGTCCTCTTATTTCTCTATTAAAAACAAGGAATGCACACTATGTTATCTTTATTCCACAGAAATATATATGCTTATATGCCCTAGTCGACAGTTTAGTAAGGATCTTATAACCTTCTATATCCCAGCCTGTGGTAAAATTTAATCCATTGTTATTATTAATTGGGTTCGAACATTTATTTATTTATGTACACACATATTTTGAAAATAGAGAACCCTGTCTACGCGTCTGCTACTGCGCGCTCATCTAGCAACAATGAGTTAATTGATATATATAGATATATCATGTATAAATAAAACACCCAATTTCAAGATACTTTCACATTGTTTACAAATAGAAGAATATGTTTGTCTAGTAGCCATTACGGAATATAATGGCCTTTTCCTAGAGATTTTCCATTAGAGTCGCGAATAACATATGGCTGAAGGCATGTCAGAAATTTTATATGTCTAAGGGTTAGTAGCTCGAATTCCAGTTTCATTACTCTTGATTTGAAATTCTTCCCATTTTACCATAACTACGGACTGCTATATTTAATCTCATTTGACATATGATGGAGTTCATCTTCAATACAAATGAACATTCGTTCACGGTGTACATTATGTATGTTTATAGTGTGTAATGAAAAAAAAAGTGCATCCCCACTGAAAAACAAAAGGCATCGGCTCAGTTTGAAAATTCAGAACTATCAAAGCTGTATAAATACAAGACTGGCATTGGCAGATTAGAGGAGATCAAGAAGACATTACAGAGAGTGAGATTACTTTTAAAGATTTCACGATATTTGAACTGTACCAATAAGATCTATTAATATGATACATTCCGTGCTTATATGTATGTTCGATTTTGATATTCTTTTAGAATATTTCATTCATTTACTAACTGATTGATACATTCCTTTGAATCACACCTATGTCCAGTTAATAAAAAATGCCAACCTAGACTAGTCAAATTTTATACACCTGTAGACCTACCCAAACAGAAATTGTTACTAGAACAAGTATATGAATTAATATCTCAAAGGAATACCGATTTTCAAAGTTCTTTCTTAGTTACTCCTCCATCTTTACTAGATACTGGAAATAACACAAGTAACACAAATAACAATATTGATGATGACGGAGCTATCCAGATAATATACAAGAATTATGCTACTTTATATTTTACTTTTATAGTAGATGAACAAGAATCGGAATTAGCAATTTTAGATCTAATACAAACATTTGTTGAGTCATTAGATCGTTGCTTTACAGAAGTTAATGAACTAGATTTAATCTTCAACTGGCAAACATTAGAGAGTATATTAGAAGAAATCATACAGGGTGGAATGGTTATAGAGACTGATATTTCCAAGATTGTCGGATCTGTCGATGATCTAAATAAAGCGTCTGAAACATCGGCAAATACATTATCAAGTGGAATAAGTGGAGCTTTACAAGCATTTGCTCAAGGTGGATTTGCCCAGTGGGCAACTGGCCAATAATTAGAATGATAAAAGCTAGTGTTTCTACTTTATTTTATTGATTTCTTCCCTTTTAAATAAAAAGGGACATGCAAATATTATGTAACAATATATATAAATACATATATATGAATGACGACTAAAACCATTATCAATATAAAATTAGTAATGGCTTATTAATGCTTTAGTGTAGTAATACAGTGCCTTTCAATTATTTGAATGGCAGATTTGAGTTTAACGTCAGAAAACCCAAATTGTGGTGCTATATCATGTATCAATTTTTCTTCCAATTGAGATACAGCGTTTAATCTTTGTTTATGATTTTGTGACGTATTTTCGTTTCCTGTATCGATTTCTCTTAATCTAGCAAGTTGAATGAAATTTTCCTGTAACTTTTCAACAGCTGATATCGGATTTGACTCCTTGGTTACTCGAGGAAATGAGTCTGTTTCTAATGGTACAATTTTTTCCAACTTTCTTTTAGCAATCTTTTGATCAATTGTCAGAGCTTTGTTTTCTTCATTTGAATCACCATATCGTTGGTTAGTTCCCAAATATACTTTCTCTACCCAATCCAAAAAATCTGAAGTACCATTGTCCGTCCAGTCATATGGGTCATCCTCTTTATTAGTACCTTCATTTTCTAAACTAGGATAGAATAGACTTGTTACACGATCTTCTATATTCTTCTCATATTCATTGTTTGTTTTCATCCCACCAATGATAGACATTATCCAACTTGTGGGATACTTGAACCTACCACCCGAAGATTCATCACATCTTAATATCCAGCGGATACATAAAATGAAGTATGAGATGGTTCGAACCTCTGGAAACCGATGATAACTACTGAATGTAATATTATCAGATTCAAATACTGAAAAAGTTTCTTCACCTTCAATTAATCGAATAACATTTGTAGTGAATAAGAAAAACTCGGGTGGTAACCTTGTTTGTAAAGTTAATTTTAGAAGTAAAGTTTTAATGTTAACTTCACAATTAAATTTTCTAGTAAAGTGAATCTTTGTACAAGTAAAGATGATTTTATTAATTAATTGACCATCCTTTGGTATTTTTTTCCCACTCAACAATCCAAGATAATAATTAGGAAGTTTATCTCTCCAATTCTTTGGTAAAATGTGGTTTGCTTTATGGTAAGGAAATGTTGTCGCACATATATAACTCGTGAAATCGTTAATGTATACGGGAAGGTTCAAATGTACGGCAGAGAGGTAAAGGATAGCAATCATTGTATGAATACTCAACTTTAATTTTGTGACTCCATGAAAACCTGATGCTGGTTCCGTTGCTTCAATATCACTAGAATCGCTCGAGTCCTCCTGAGTGTTATAACGACTTGTTTCATTATCTGCATTACTAAAAAAATCACGACCATCCTTTATATCATTATTCATTATCTTCAAATGTTCCATCCATATCGTCTTGACTATGTCTTCAAAGTCTTCAGGGAAAGATTGTTCTTTTATAAGCCAGGTTACTTGATGTCGAAGGATATATTGAAATGATCTGAGAAATAGTTTTCGAGCCTTCTCACCATAAACTTTTTTATCTTTGGCTGTTTTTTGTGAAAGATTCAGCTGAGAATTGTTAAAGCTAGATTGAAAATTACCTGTTGCACCTGTAGTAAGGTTTAATCTTCTTGTAATTACACCAGAATTTGCCATATTATCGTCATCATCATTAAATTCTACATCACCTTCCATAACATGACCATATTGACATGTTCGTCGCCCAGCTATAATACGCCATAACTGTGACGGACAGTTATCGATCCCACACACTGGACCTCTAATAAACGTTGACATTTAAATGGGTTGTTGTTTTTGGTATTTCCTTGTAATGATATACTATTTTTTTTATACCTTGGTTGTTTATAAGTGATAGTCCACATCGCAAATCTTTTGTTGTAATATTTTTTTTTCATCTTTCAATATGCTCGCCTATGCATATACAACGAAGCGCCGAGAACATATTTACTATAAGGCGTTTAACCTATTAGATCATCGATGATTGATTCTCAGAACAGAAACAAATCATATTATAATATTTCAGGAGGATATCATGAATAACAAAACACTTTTTAGTGAATAGATCATATTCGGCACATTATAAGATAGGAACAGAATGAATTATATACTATCTTTATAAGCCAGGAAAGAAAGTAGTAGCTGGACAAACGAAAGAGCCCAATAAACAGAAACAAATGCTCAAACTATACCAAATAACCATATCCCTCCAGTCAGGGAATCATTCTATGTTTTGAAAATCATCACGTAGCCAGGTTCTTGTAATTTTTTTATTAATTTCAAACTTATTAGTGACATGTAATTAAAATCCATTCACAGTTGAACTTTTTTCTAGAAATTAGTCACCAATCTGTAGATGTATAATCCACAATAAATATCAACACGGAAAACTCAGCTAACTACTTTTCTCAACCTCCCACACCATTTTAATCAACGTAGGAATTCGTTCATTAGAGCATAGGTTTTAGAGAATGATTATGATTTAAAATTTTATTTTTGTTGCTATGAATCTTCTAACACTCATAGCAAGGCTTCCCTTCATGAGGGAACCAGTAAATTTAATTTTAAATGAAGATATATAATCCATAAAATTAATTTTTGTTTTAAGTCTTGTTACCTTCAGTATATACTCGAAGTAGTTAAAGTTTTCTAAAACATACAGCGTTTAGTGTAATAAAATTTTTCAATAATAAATGCGTTTAAAAGATTTCAATAGAAAAAAAGGAGAAAAACAAAATCAAGTCGTATCATTTTAAAAAAATTATATTTAAAATTCATACCTTATTAATTTTGAAAACTCATTTATTTTGTTTGTGAATCAGTCGAGACAGTGTGTCATTTCTACATGATAGGAAGACCTAAAAATATTATCTCAATCAATTACAGTAACACCACGAATGCTCCACCTATTCAATTACTGCAAAGTGAAAAGTTTTGCAATGTATGGTCTTACTCAATGAAATGCAAAAGATATACTTGCCAAATGTATATGCCAAATAGTAAATAAAGAGGACAAATGCGTTCAAACAATGGATTGACATTTTTATTCCCTTTACTTTATTTCTACATTATCCTGAGAGAGGTATTTACTATTTCGTTTTTTTAACTCACAATTCTTTAATTCTAAAAGAAGTATTAGAATAGTAAGCGCCAAAATACTGAAATTAAACGGCATATTTTACCAAAGTTTTGCAACACAGACCAAAATATTGAAAATTTCGGAAAAATATAGGATGTCTTATATTTTTTCGATTTCAGAAATGGGCGTGTGGTCTAGTGGTATGATTCTCGCTTTGGGTTCTTTACTCGAATATGTGAGAGGCCCTGGGTTCAATTCCCAGTATGCCCCCTTTCTTTTTTGCAGAATGTGATCAGTTTTTTTTTTACCATAGCCGCCTATACCTGACAGGTAAAATTGAATCAAAATATGGTTGAGTATCACGATTTATATACGTTTTTACCAAATATTGTTACAAGGACTGTAAATGGTTTTGCAGATGATTCACAGTTCCTCTTCCCAACACAAGAAAGGTACTAAACGAATGTGACAAAAATAACTACAAAGATAAAAATTAATATATGAAGAACATTTGAAAATTACAAATAAAGACATTAAAATGTTATTTTTTTTAAAAAAAAAGATGTACGTATAAATGTGTATTTTTTTTTCTTTCGTTTATATAAGTTTTGCTATAATGAGTTAAAAAAACAATCTAAAATAAATAGATATAGTTAATATAATAATAAATTCGTTATAATTTAAATTTTAAAATTTTTTATTTTTCATGTATAATAAAACTTAGAAGTCCTCGCTAATGGAGAAAGCACCAGTCTCACTCTTAGTGGCTTGAGCCATGACACCAGCCTTTTGATAATCGGAAACTCTCTTTTCGAAGAAGTTAGTCTTACCAGCTAGGGAGATGTTTTCCATGAAATCGAATGGGTTTTCGACCTTGAAGTATTTTTCGTTACCGAAAGCAACTAACAATCTGTCAGCGACGAATTCGACGTATTGGTTCATCAAATCAGCGTTCATACCTAGTAAAGCAACTGGTAAAGCATCCATGAAGTATCTCTTTTCAATTTCGACGGCTTCAGTAACAATTCTTTCGACAACATCTGGAGTTGGCTTGTTCTTCAAGTGAGCAAACAATAGACAAGCGAAATCAGTGTGTAGACCTTCATCTCTACAAATCAATTCGTTAGAGAAAGTCAAACCTGGCATCAAACCTCTCTTCTTCAACCAGAAGATAGAAGCGAAAGAACCAGAGAAGAAAACACCTTCGATGGCAGCAAAAGCAACTAATCTTTCAGCAAACAAAGCATCAGAGTCATTGATCCATCTTAGAGCCCATAGAGCCTTTTCCTTAATTTGTGGGATAGTTTCAATGGCATTGAATAAAAATTCAGATTCCTTTGGATCCTTGATATATGTATCGATCAATAGAGAGTAAGTTTCAGAGTGAATGTTTTCAATCATAATTTGGAAACCGTAGAAAGCCTTAGCTTCTGGGACTTGAACTTCAGCGGAGAAATTTTCAACTAAGTTTTCGTTAACGATACCATCAGAAGCAGCGAAGAAAGCTAAAACTCTAGAGATGAAGAACTTTTCGTTAGGGTTCATTCTAACGTTCCAATCGTGTAGATCCTTAGATAAATCAATTTCTTCAGCAGTCCAGAAAGAGGCTTCAGCTCTCTTATAAGCTTGCCAGATTTCATGGTACTTAATTGGTAGCAAAGTGTATCTTTCTGGGTCAGCATTCAATAGAGGTTCTTCCTTTTCGGATTCCTTTAGGTCGTGACGTTGAATTCTGTGAGAATGCAAGTATTCTTTGTGAGCCTTAGTAGCATCATCTATTCTCTTCTCGACAGCAGCAGCACTGTTTTGTTGAGCAGTAGAAAGCTTGTCAACCAAGTTAGCCTTGGATTCCTTAATGTCAAGGTCAGATAGGGCAGCAGCGGCAGCCTTAGATGGAGTTGGATCAACCATTATGATAATTTATATGTGTGTGTGGGAGTTCTTTTTTTTAATTACTTTTGAAGAATTGTAAATGAAAACAATAAAGAAAATTTAGATATTTTATTTGTTTGTTTCCGTTTAACCTCGAATTGAAATTTATTAGTTTCTTGATTTATAACAATAGAAGGATGATTATATTAACAAAGGGAAGATATATATAAAGAAGATTTATTAGAAAAAACAAAAAAAAGGGAAAGATACGAAAGAGTTTAAAATAAGATGAGAGATATAATGATCCTTTAAATATATACCTTTTTTTTTGGGAATTTAGTAATATGTTCCCTTAAACTTATTAATGGTATTTTTTTTACCTGCAAATTAAAAAATGAAAATTTTATTAAGCAAGAGAGGAAAAAAATAAGGATAGTATAGTGAAAGGTTTGGTGAACAAACCAAGAAAGAAGAAAAAATGAGAAGAGAATCCAATTACTTTACGGTAGACCTAAAAAGAAAAGACTTTCAAATTATTATTATTATTCTCTGATAGAGAGAGATGTGTAGGATTATCTAATTATTACGAACTTCCACTCTTCTCACACTATTTAAGGATATTTTTGTCCCTTTAGTAATTCCGTATCTGTTTTCTCTTCGTAGTTTTCTTTTGATAGAGCGATAGATATCCACAGCCTTCTTTTACAGAAAAAAAAAACAAAAATAATTCAACTAAAATTTTAGTAGAAGGAAGAGCGTTTTCTTCTTCTTCTCTTTTTTGAGGATTAAAGAGAGTAGAATGTGGGACGACCCGCATGGAAAAACGAAGGCAAGTTAGAAAGTGATGAGACAGAGAGAGTGAGGGTGGAACATATTAATTAAGTATTTATTTAAAGGTAATGAGGATAGTTACGTAGCAACCACCACCGAAATATAATAAAGTATTAAGAAAATAAAGAAAAGAAATCGGTGTACATAGTAACGGGTTTCTATGGTACTTCCCTTTTCTGCTATCTCTCCCTTGAAAAAACATACACATACACACAAACATAGTATTATCAAGGAAAATAGATAGTAATAAATCTATCTCTCGTTCCCAGAAATACTAATAATTCTAAAATCGAAGACCCGAAACCTTCTTAATTACTATTGTTTTCTTGCAATTTCCAGTTAATTTTAATGGCATCTCCTAGCAAAAATAATATTATTTTTATTAATAGGTAAATTTATTAAGTTCGCCCCCACCCACCCCCTATAATTTATTTTAATGGTAAAAAAAGTATGAAGAAAAAGTTTTTTCTACGCAGATCATTTCTTCTGTTTGAGGAATGTAGAAAAGTTTTATAACCAAAAGCGATTAAAAAAAAATGATATTATGAAATCCGTTACTATAGCGAAATTAATTTCGTTTTTTATTAGTTCAGTTTTATGTAAATTGGGCGTGTTGTTCCTGTGTTTCTTCGTGTAACTATAGTGGTTGCTACGATAACTTTCTTCTTCCAAAGAGTAAAAAAGAAAAGAATTTAATGATGTAAGATGCCGGGAATTATTAAACAAGACAAAATAGCTACGACAAAGTAAGAGTAAAAAATAAATTGTAGCACCAAATCTTACAAGGGGAAGTAAGAAAACACACAAACCAGAAACCGATTATTAATAAAAATTTGATTATTTCCTTCATGCTTTTCTGGGGAAAGACCGTTAAAAGTTTTCCATTTCTCTATAGAAAGTTCTACGTACTGCAATCTGTGTTCGAGCTTCCTAAGAAGTTTCTTTCCTGTTACTATGGAAAACAAATAAAATAAAAAGAGGGGCGGCAATCGCGGGAGACCGCCAAACTACAGAGAAGAATACGGAGGATTATCAGAAGGAGAAAGCAAGAAAGAGAGACAAACTGCCCACGAAAGATTTTAGAGAAGGTTTTGAACTGTATCCAAACCGAAAAAAAGGGGTGAGAGCGAAGAAAAGTATCTGATTCTATTTGCCCTCGTTTCTTCTTTTGTAATATTATTTTATTTTTGAGATGAAAGAGAGAGAGAGAGAGAGAGAGAGAGAGAGAGAGAGAGAGAGAGAGAGAGAG